AAAGTACTGAGGAGAATACTAGGACCTGTGAGGGAAAACGGAATCTTCAGAATTCGATATAACAACGAGCTCTATCAACTGTATAAGGAAATACCCCTGTCAGACTTCATTAGAATACAAAGATTGCAATGGGCCGGACATGTGATACGAATGGGAGAGGATAGGCTACCAAAACGAGCACTGAACGCCAGAATGCAGGGAAAGAGACCAGTTGGAAAGCCAAGAAAACGCTGGGAAGACACAGTAAGCAGCGACGCACAAGCACTTTTAGGAGTCCGTGTATGGAGAAGAGCAGCCACAGACAGACAAGGGTGGAGGCAAAAAATAAAGGAGGCCAAGGCTCATTTTGGGCTGTAGTGCCGTAGAAGAAGAAGAAGTTATACTCGGTTCGCTAATGCCAGTCCGAACTGTCTAGTGATTTTAGTAATTATGTTTTTACGAAGTTAGTTACTTTTTGACAGACTAGAAGTGGCTGGAAATTATTATACAACCAAGTACACGTGCTCATAGCGCATTTCATTAGAGTATTTCGTCGACCTCTTTTGCAAACTTATACTATGAATTAGAAATTTATAGCATGTATATAGAATGTAAATATAAAAAATATATTTTATAAAAAAAGTTACGGTAATTTAGTTTATATCGTTAGGTTGTGCCAAATGTAGGCAACCAACTTTTTATTGACATTTAGCTGGAGTCATGATACTATAAATAACAAGATAGGATCTTCCCGTAGCTCAAAATCGGTCGGGTTCGCGCATGCCGTCATTGGAGACTAGAATTTGAATTCTTGTTAAAGTTAAATGAGATTTGTATGCATTCTGTGATGAAATTACTAGACGAAAATAAGTTAAGAGGTTTAATAATTACAATAATGGTACACATAAGGATATCTCCAAACTATTTATTAAAGATTATTTATTGATATATACAAAAACTGACATTTCGAACGTGCAAGTCTCCAATGACGTCACAAAAACATGCGCAATATCTTATCTTATAGTCAGTATCATGGCTTGAGTTTCTTGAGAATATATTTAATATTTTCCAGTTAATTTATTATTTTTTTGTTAAGTGATGATAATAATGCTGAATAAGCAATATTTCAAATGATATCTAATCACAGGACGTACTTAATATTGTGTTATAAAGCATCAATAGAAAAATATAATCCAATATCAGCAAAAATATAAGTAAAACAAATCATAATCTAACGTACTTTATTATGAGGATTTTACTATGACACCATATTAAGTACGTTTTGTGATTAAATATCATTTGAAATATTACTTATTCGGCATTATTATCATTACTTTTAAAAAATAACAAATTAACTGGAAAATAATAAACGTTTATTAAAAACATTCTCAAGAAACTCCAGCTAAATCCTAACAAAAAGTCTAAGTTGGTTGCCTACATTTGGAGCAACTTAACGATATAAACTAAATTACTGTGACTTTTATTTAATTTTTGACGCCATGTCAAACTGAACTGGATGTTAACTGAATGTTTTTGTTATTAAAAACATATTTACATAATTTTATAAATATATTTTAATGATCCACCTACGCCGAATGGGCAAATAATTAAACAAAAATGGTTGGTATTTTGAATAAATCTTTGTGCAGTTTGATTAGCTCGTAATTTAACAGCATCCTTACTCATCTAAAAATATTAACTTTTAAAGAACATTTATCAGATTTATATTTATTTAAGAAAAACTTACCAACGCATTATCTGATAGAACAAATGGAAAACTTTGACTATCTCTAATAATAAAATTCAAAAATTTGACAAACAAAGAATTAAACAAAAATAATGGAACAATAAAACTATATTAGCTAAAATAAACAACGCGAATAATACTAAAATTTTCTACAATATGTTCAATTGTAACAACTCAAAAATTATATTTTAAATGTACAGGGAAAATTTTATGGGTTTAGTATACACTTCCATTATTTGGAATAATTCTTCTTTTTTTAAAGGAAGAAGTCTGCAATAGTTGTATATTTGAGCTATTAATACTGAGAAGTAGGAATTTTTGTGTTGTAGGTTTTCGACAATGAATCTGTCAAAATATGCCCGAGCTAAGCGAATGGAGAATACGTCTTTTTTTTCGGTTAGGCCGACTTTGTTTTTATTTAGTTATTGATAAAACTGTAATGAGAGTACATTAGCCTTATGACATATCTTATTGTACAGTTGCTAGATTCAGCGTTCTATAGAGACTTCAATAATGGTTCTATATCTGATAATTGGCTATTAATTTTAATCTTTCTCTACTACAATTGACTGTCACTAATGCCATCTTCAGTGACATTTAAGCAGTGTTTTATCTTTACGTGTTTGTTCTTCAATGCTATCTGGGTTTTGAGATGACTAATTTGAGTATCATTCTCTACCAATATTGGAAATTTTTTGTATGGTAACAATTTCTTATAATAAAGCCGTTTAGCCATACATCAAGTCTCTTGATGCTTCGTTTTTAACCACAAATTAAGATTCTCTACTAATATTTTCTCATCTACATCATCGTTGCAGCTGTTCGTAAAACCTATTTTATCAAATACATAAGAGCTCTTACTTCTTGGTGGCGGGAAATTTTTTTATTTTGGCGGGTTTTTTTAATTAGGTTGGATTGCGCCCTTGATTATAGGGGTTTTATATATACTTGTTTACAGGAATTCGTCCTAAACTATCACTCGCTAATTTATTGTAAGGAGGAGAAAACTGTAAGTTCATTTATTGTGAGGAGAAAATACTAACACATGCCACATCATTCAAATTCATAAATGGCTTAAATACACGAGGTTTTATTGAGTGTGTAAGTTTCAATTCAGCGATAGTGTATCTTCTACGATTGCCATCTCCATGACGCCAGGTCTACCTCCGTTAGCAGTTCTCACTCCCCTAATAGACCAAGAGTGATCCTTTACGATAATTCCACGATCCGTATGCTTTAACACATTGAATGCTTACTCGAATATAGAGATGTCATCAAGGGGCGCATGTCATAAATAATGATATTACTACTTAAGATAATAAATTTGTGTTATTAGATTATTTTTTATAAAAACAAAAATGTTTTTTAGTTTCATTTTGAATGTCACAGATCCGTGATAGTAACATGACAAAAATGTCTTTAAAGATTCTATCTGACACGAATACGTGACATTAGGTTTATAGGAAATAACAAGGTAATTCTGATAATTCGAAAAATACAGCAATACATATTTATGTGATATTTAGTAAATCATTCGCCTGTACAAAACCCTGGTGTATCATCACAAAAACTGTAACTAAAAATTTACACTGTCAAAAACTGCCATTTTTGTAAAATCAATAAAATTTGTTTTTTTATGTTCGATTCGCTGATCCCGTCCCGAGTGTCTAGTAAACTTAGTAATTCATTACTATATTGGGCAAATTTTGACTTCGAATGTAATTGGCTGAAAGTTATTATACAATCAAGCTCATGAACTCGACAATATAAATACAAATTTAATTTTTTAGTAAAGTAGGGGTCTCCCAATAAGAATGTCCTGATGTTTTTATTAAACGAAAACGGTACAAATTGCCGTAAATAAAAAAAATTATTGCAAAATATAATAGATAACAATTATGTTCCGAATAACACATCATTCAAAGGTCCACCGCGACTACTTTTGCAGGAGCGAATCCGATGGACCCAATTTGCGGTGACTTTATGCAAAATATCCGCAATAATCTCACGGATCGTGTGCTCTATGTTCCACTTCAAGTCGTCAATAGATTGTGGTTTGTTCACATAGACCAATGACTTAACATAGCCCCATAAAAATAATCCAACGGTGTTAAATCGAAGGTTCTTGGAGGCCAAGCATCTGGCCGAAGTTGCTGAATTCTCCTGGAATCTCTGTGGCATCAAGAGAAATCAATGTTTCCGGGAAATTTTCCTTCAATAAATCAATGGTTAGGGCAGTAGTGTGACATGTGGTGTCCTGTTAGAAAAATATACCATTCAAATCCATTTCATCCAACGGAGGCCACAAAAAATCCGTTATCATCGTTCGATACCTTTCACCGTGTTCAAAAAAATAAGGTCCGATGATGCCATCATGCCATAAACCACACCAGACAATGACTTTTCTGGATGCAAAGGCTTCTCAAGAATCTTATGTGGATTATTTTCACTCCAAAAACTACAATTTTGCTTATTTACAAAGCCGTTTAACCAAAAATGAGCTTCATCGGAAAAGATTTTTTTTTTAGATTTAGATTAGAGCTTAATCAGCGAACAAACAACGCTTATGATGGTAAAGTGGCCTCAGTTCTTGAGTCAGAACAATCTTGTAAGGGTGTAGGCCTACATCTTCTCTCAGAATTCGCCAAGTTGTCATTCTGGTGAGTCCAAGTTCTTGAGAACGACGTTTTATGGATACATTTGCATTCTCCGCTACACTGGCGCTTACAGCAGCAATATTGTCCTGAGTTCTTGCATTTCGGCGTCTAGTTGGTGGTTTCGTATCGTACAGAGTAAATTCACGTTCAAACTTTTCCACGATTCGACGAATTACACGCACATCAGGACGATGATTTGGTCCATACTTTCACGTAACGGATAGGTATTCACAAAAAAACGATTATTAGCATAAAATTTTAGGATAATTTCCAGGCCGCTATGACATTTCAAACACAGGACGTCCATATTGGGAAACCCATTAGTAAGTAAAGAATTATTCACACAGTTTTTATCAACAAAATAAAACTACATCAATTAAAACAAAGATTTAAATGTTTATTTTTGATTTTTTTTTATTCAATTATACATTATTGTTTACAAATACAAAGTTTTTAATCAAAATTAATAAATACACTCTCATTATTTAAGATTATTCGTCTTTTATCATATCTATTATTTGTAAAAATTGTTTTTAAAAATCATATTTAAAACAGTCGTTCAAAAATTAATTCAGAATAACAATTGCTATATTTTTGTGTTGCAATTATTTTGGGTATTAAATCACAAATCGCCAAAAACTAATATTCATTAACATTTATTAGAAGTGCTAATAAACCATGTACAAAAATAACTATACAAAAATTAATTATGTTTACAAAATGATTTTGTAATACTTAACCTAATAAAAAATAAAGTCTTTACAACAAATAAAGTCATTACAACAAATAAAGTCTTTACAACCATGGATGCCATGCTGGGTCCATTCGACAGAGATTATCTGGACTATTTGCAGCAGCAACCAATGTAGCAACCTAAAATTAAAAAAACGTGATATTACATGGTCAATTGATATCATCCTAGTCATGGAAAAAAAGAGGTCTTTCAGAACATTGAAAGAATCGCTAACTTTGTAGCATATTTTTGATAATTAACTTTTGAATGTCACAATTTTCCGAAGGTAACTGAAAAGTAAATGAATGAGCATCGCTGAGTTATGAAATATTTCTGATCGTATTGCTCATCCATAAGCCGACTTGATTCATCCGTGAATTGAAACTTAAAATTTGTACACTCGATTTGTATTCTATTTTACGACGTTTGAAAATTGGTTGTGTGCATCAAATCAATTACCACTACATCGCTCACAATAAAGCGAGCGCTGATGACTTTCTAAGCTGACGAACCGATATTTTTTATATATAAGCACAACGCGTTTTAGAAAACAATGATTCGTTTAATAATGTACATCGATACCATCAATATTTCGCCCATCGAAACAGCAAGTTTAAAATTGTCCTTTTACCTAATCCGAAATGACCAATTTTATTATTCATAAACTGTGGAAGGCGAATTCTAAATTATTTATATACAATTATTATTATCGTTTGTATTTAAAATATTAGTTGGTTAAATATTCTCATTTCAGTTATAGCTTAATTGTTTCGGACTGAAGGCGGCCATTGAAATTTATATCTACCGCCAATCATCGATATACTCGATATATCAACGGATTAATTAATTTCATAAATTTGGATATACAATATAAACTGATTTTTTTCAATTAATAACTTAAATAGACTAATTCAATATAAAAAGAGAAATAGAAAAGAAGTATCAAGAAATTTCTAAAATGTACCTCCCACTGGAGGTACTGAGTATTAGAACGAGTTTCAAGCAAAGCAAAGATGTAGACATTTTCTTGCCATACAACAACTCTCGTTATTAATATTATTTAAATAAAATAGTTGTATCCAGCAAGTTATTTATAAAATTAATGTTTCTAAAGTACCTGTTTATAGTTTAAAAGCTCTTACCTTACTATCAGTGCCTTCAAATTGTGCTAAATTGGTAAGTCTGTTTGAAATAGAAGTGACTGCCTTATTTACCATATTTATGATTTGCTCAGAGGCGTCATTCATTTTCTCGGGATTATTTAAATCTTCGGCTTTTTTGGCTCTAGCCAACATCATTTCATCTCTTATAATAGGTTTCAAAATTGACAATACCTAAAAAATATTTTTTTATTCATACGAATCTCGCTACATACATAGAGGATTAAAAATAACGTTTACTAAATATTCTATGGACGGCGACGGCTAGGGTGTTGTGATCATAAGACTAGCTATGACACTGAAGTTGAGAAGTTAAAAGCAAAGTTGAACAACGAATGCAAGTCGCAAAGAACTTCAAAGAAGAACTACAATTATATACAAAACACTGCTGAGGCCGGTCCTCACATATGGAGCAGAAACGTGAACCCTAACGCAAAAGGATTGAAATACTCCTCAAAATATTTGTAGCTATAAACGATCAAGGGCAGTGGCGCAAAAGATATAACTTCGAATTATAATAACTGTTTAATGAACTAGACGTCGCACAGAGTGGTATTTTATATAAAAAGCTGTCAAAATATAGAAATGTGAAAAACTAGTAGTTTACGCCGAGTCTTCTCCCTAAACCAGGTAGCTGTATGTGACGTTATGTGAAACGACCCCCACCCCAAATAGCCTCACCAAACAAATTTTACAGTACCCACTTCCTAACACGGTTTGGCTGCGTTATGTATGAGATTTTATTACACATTTCTGAAGAGTTTGCGATTTTTGTGAAGGGGATCATTATGGATAAACCAAAGGAATGTAAGTACTCAATATTGAACCATTTTTTAAAATCTTGCCATTCTAGAACTTCAATCAAAATTAATCCAATATTTTGTATAATTTTTAATATAAACGAATGTTTTAAGTAACCCTCTACTCATTGACGCTACATAAGAGTTATTTCATAATGAAGTATCAACTGTAATAAACAGTTTTCACAAAATAAAATAAAAACAAAAATACTGTGAATAGATAGTATTTATAAAGTCAGTTGAAACACCCAAAAAGACTGGTTGCAAGGTAAAGTATATCATATTACGAGACATGGGCACATTTTTTATTTTTATATTCAAATAGAGATTATTGAGAAACAGAATAAGGACAATTTTAAGGTACATAAAACGGTCGTAAAGTACATAAGTGTATAAAAAAGTTGTCAACATGTAATATTTAGCGACAAAAATAATTTAATTTCATACAATGTGTCAATGAATAATAATATGACACTAAAATAGAATGAAATTATATCAAAACAGTTTGTATGTTTGCCCAAAGTTTCATTATTTAAATAGTAAAATAATATGCTTTCCAATGCTTAAATACTAGTAAACCATAGAACCACTTAACTAGACTATGAATATAAGTTTTACACTTATACTTTTAATCAGAAGTATAATCATCATATGTAGAGTCAGTGTCCAAATTGGGCCCAATAACAATAATTGATGAGGTTGAAGGATCCATTATGAGGTATTCATTTTCTTTGTCGATAACAGAGAAAATACAATTATTCCAAATCTGACTATCAAACTCGCTGATTGCTTATATGCTGTAAGATTATTATAAGTTTCCCCATTTAACATGGTGTATTTAAACTGCAGCTCTAGGAGTTATCTACCCAACCATACTTAACGACGTTATATGTGTATAGGTAAAATGCTGATGCGAGCGTCACAGAACCAATAGATAGCGTCTTCACGGGTAGCGTCATAAAATAGCGGTTCTTCACATCGATTCACTACTCTCAATCAGTTCGTTTCTAGTCATCATATATTTATTCTAAGCAGGTTTAAATTAAAAACTGCATGAAAAATAACTAACAAAACGGCGACATTAAATAAGAAGTAAAAAATTAAAAGAATATTTGTCAATAAAAGATTAGATTCACTATGATTGTCAAAATTTAAAGATCATAAATTTCATCCGATTAATAATATATTGAATCATCTGTTTACATTTTTAACACAGTTTTCGTTTTAAAATAATTTCATATAAATACAATTAATGTTTTTAAACATATTACATATTTAGTTTATAATATATAATCATTAAATTTACTATCAAATGATATTTATTTATATTTTATTATAATTTAATATTTCGTTTGAATTTAACAGATCTACCAAAAGTAAACAACGTACGCTCTCTTAATACGTCAACATGTGGCGTTAGGGGAAAACATAATAATTCGAATTACTTAAATAAACAAAACAACATCGAATTACTTAAATATAATATATATTTTTTAAAATATAAATATTAAATAAATAATAAAATTACTTTATTCCAATTTAAAAATATAGAAAACATAGTATAAAGCTTCTTTGATTTTATGTAAATATTCATGTCTAAGTTTATCTATTCGTTGCCACTCCATCATTACCATTTTATTATTTATTTTCTTATATATAAACCCACAGTCTATCAAAATACTTGAACGCAATGACGCAATGACGCTAAACATTAGTAGTCATAATCAGAATTTTCTCTTAATGCATTCTTGATCATATCTAGTGTAGGTACCTTGTTTTCCTTGTAGAAATTATACATAGTATTTCTAATAAAATTATTATCGATATCGATAAGATATATTATAATATCGATGATTCGTTCGTTTCCGTTTTAAACAGTGATTTATAACGTTTCCCTCCCTAACAATACGATAAATTGTCAATAGTGATAGTTTTGTAAGTAGACTTCGATTTACGATAGTTCTGTCAATGTTTTTCATTTTCTTTTTTTAAACACTCATATATGTTCAAAACAATACGTAGACACCGTCTTTGTTTCTGCACTGCACATGTTTCTTATCAGAAAACTCTCGCCGGCGGTAGTGAACGTCAAGTAGCATGAAAAATATTATTGATTTTGAATAAATATCAATGTCCAATATTTATTTGGTGGGATAAACCTTTCATTCACTGTTTCTTCCATATCTCTCCTACGAAGTACGGAGATTAATCAAATACGTTTAAAACATTGATGCGTGTTATTTATAATTACTGGTAAATGTGAAATTAAACTGCCCTTATAAATCGCGTTGACTGAAACGTGTCAACTGACTTTATACGTCTTACAAAAAAGTGTAGTAAAATCTCAGAACTAAACGCAGCCAAAAGGTGTGTGCTTTAAAGTCTATTTGGGGTGGAGGTATAATAATACGTCATATACAGCTACACGGTTTAGGGAGAAGAATCGGCCCGAAATAATGTCTTGAAATTTATATTTTTGGCTAACTTTTTATGTAAAATACCACTCTGTGCGTCGTAACATTCATTAAAACACATCGGCTCAGATGGACTGGACACATAATACGAATACCAGACAACACTATCGCTAAAAAGCTAAAACCACAGGAACACCTGTAGGAAGAAGAAGCAGAACAGGCCGACCACGAATTAAGTGGTTGGATGAAGTTGAGACCGACTTATGGGTATTAAAAATCAGAAGATGGAAACAGGTCGGGGGAAACCGAACATAATGGCAACGAATCTTGGAACAGGATAATGCTATTAGCATCAACACTAAAAAATGTCAAAATGACAGACCATAGGTTAAGATGGTTAGGGCATGTTCAACATCGAAATGATAAATAGGAAGAATTGCGGATTGCAAGTTCCTAGAAAGAACATGAGAGAAAGATCAAAGAAGAGATATCTGTGAACAGATATGCATTTGTATCAGCCAAAATGGCAAGTTTTTGAGAAACGTAATTACTAACTAATTAGGGAGCCAACGCATAATGATAAAGGCAAAGAAATGATAATGATGGTGCTCGTGAATCGTGATCAAAAACTATCCTGCTGGGTTTAAATAAAGAGTTGAAACTTTAAACTTTTTCAAAAAATGAGTACACAACAGATACATTGGCAACACAGTTTACTCCCCCACTCAGGTTTTTGTAGATTCATAACATCACTGTCACTGAGATATCGAAATTTTTTGTAAATTGTAAAATGAAAATTTGTTTGGCTTCATAAATGCCTTTAGATGTCATCATGTATGGAATCTTACAAAAGTCAGGCTGATTTTGGCCGATGGCATGGATTATGTTCGCTTCTAGAGCCGCTGTGGTTTGTAGATTATTCGCATAGACCTGCGACTTAAGGAAAACCGCACAAGAAATAGTGTAACGGGGTCAAATCACACAATCCCAGTTCAGTTCACATCATCTCCACGTGAGATGAACATGGCCGAGCGAAGTCCTGTTAAAACCACATGTTGTTGGTATCATCATCATCCAATTCAGGCCAAAATAACGGCGTTTTCAAAGAAATATGTACCGATGACGCCGTCAGCCAAAATTCACACCAACCAGTGACTGCCTCGGATTAGCGAACTGCGCGTGATGTTGCCCAGAACAGAACACCCATTTTGATAAAAAAATATTATCATTTGCATGTGTGACTGAATAAATGACAGCTAATATGACAAATAATTTTAACCATATAGCCGCTACCAACTTAAACGTCAAAGTTCTGAACTCCCCATTGGAAGCATTGCGTATAGATTAACATAGACCAAGAGGTTTGTAGAGCTAAGTAACGAAACCATCTTTGTTTTCGTTGTCAGTTGTGTCTCTATCTTACATCAAGTAAGTATAGCCGAGTCTCTTTTTGGTCGGGAGAGAGCGAATGGTGAGTTTCAATGTGCTAGAGAGAGGCAGATCGAACAACCGCAAGATGTCGTCAGTGCTCGTTGCTGGCATGCTCAGTCTATGTTAATACACACGTCTATGATTGGAAGACCCTATGTTTCTTTCAGTATTAACTTTTAATCGTCGTTCTAATTAAAACATTTTGTAACAAAAATAAGATCTTGACTCACCTTAAAATTGGGATATATGAAACATCTTGATGTTGCTATCATTGTGGTTGTAAGAGGACCAGTCACTCCAATCGTAGATAAATATTCAATAATATTAGGAGTCAACCGGAAAGGCACAGGTCGAGTTGTATCCAATTCACCTATAAATGTTGGAAAATTTATTCTATAAATTTCTAAAAAATATAATTAAAACAGTTCTAAAAAAGTCCAAAATATAACACCTCGATCGAAAATATTCATCCAACCTTAAAATGCCTGTAGGGGTTTCAATTTATCAATATTCGCTGTGTGCAAGTACTTGGAGGGGATACGAGAAGCAGCGAAACCTTGCATTTTTATTAGCACATTTCATAAGTACTATTATTGAAGAAAATGTGATCTCGCAAATGTATTATAAATTGTAAAAAAACAACAAGAAATAATCAATTGAAGTTCTATTCGTTTCCAAATTAAAAGCAAAAATTAATGCAAAGAGAAAAGTGGATTTCTATTATAAGTTACAATAATTATTCTATTCAATAAACACGCTTAATTCATTTTATTTGCAGTTTGCTTAAAAATTCGCTAATCTATGACACTAAGTGTCACTTTTCCGAAATGTTTAGCTTTTAATAACTTCTATTTTTAATGTTCAAATGATGAAATCTAAATGTCAAAAATATATTTACCCATTTTTACAATTAAAAATCCATTAAACATTTTTCGAAGTTATATGATATAAATGATATAAATTACAATAATTATTGTATTAAATAAACAAGTTTAGGTCATTTTATTTGCAGTTTACACACGAGTAATATAATAAAAGTACTAATAATTTCGCTGATCTTAACACTAGGTGTCACTCATCCGAACTTGCACATAGCGATATTAGCAACGATGAAATTAGCAACAAATATAGAAAGCACATTTCAAATGAAAGAAATGGTCACGGTTAGTATACTTCAAAATACTCCTGTAGATGTCGACTGCAGAAATTTTATTATATTATTTGAAGATTTCTACACATTTAAATTAAACAATTGCATGACAATATTGTTTATAGTTCTAAAAAGATTCAATTATTAAAAAGTATTAAAAATTTAAACAAATATAATGGATGAGTAGGATTTGATCTCTAATTTTATAAAATGTAAAAATTTAAGACTTAAGCAATTCCCAGCCCAACTCTTTCATATTTCAGAAGCAGTAAGGCGGTGAAGGGAGATCACATGGGCGCTCCCTGGTGTTGCGGGTACAATGCTTAAAAAGTAAAATGTTCCCGTAGACCACATAACAAAAAATTAAGTTTCAGTATTCTTCTATATGCGTCTGTTTTCATTGAAATTAGTGAAGAACTGCGATAGCCATATTCGCGGTAAGCTTTTAACGTGTTGGTTTAGTGTAGTATCAAGACGTGATAAAAATACGAAATGCCCGTGATCAAAGTAATAGCAGGAGACTTTAAATCCAAAGTCGGAAGAGAAAATATATTTTCGCTCGCCATCGGAAAAGAGAGCCACGCAGACTCTAATGATAACGGTCTACGAATCATAAACTTTGCGATGTCTAAGAACATGGTAATAGCTGAGACACGCTTTCCCCATAAATATGTACATAAAGGAACTTGGAAATCTCCTGGTAATGAAACGATTACCAAATAGATCATATAATTATCGTTGCAAGACACTGCTCTAACTTATTAGATGTTAGGTCTTGTAGAGGAGCAAACATAGATAGTGATCACTATTTAGTTAAAGCACGATTTAAAGAGAGAATATCCAATTTAAAAAATGAGATCGGGAGAAGGAGAGAAAAAATCGACATTAGGTACTAAACTAAAAGATCCCAAAATAAGGACAAAAAACTTAGAAGAAGTGTTCCAGAAATCGGTTGAAATGTTGGGCAAAACCAAGTCAGAAAAAAGAAATCATTGGTTTGATCATAAGTGCGAAATGGCCACACGAAAGAACGCAGCGTATCAAAAAACCATCGACGCAGGTTGTACACGAAGAAAAAAAAAAAGAAGAGTATAGACGTCTTAGAAGAGAGGAAAAACGTATCCATCGACGTAAGAAGAGGGAATACGAACACTTTTAATGGGATACAAAGTTTATTCGATAAAAATGAAACGAGGAAATACTACAAATCCTTAAATAATAGCCGTCGAGAATTTAAACAACGATTAAAAATTTGTAAAGACACTAACGCTGAAATTTTACATGATAAAAACTCAGTTCTTAACAGATGGGCACAACATTTCACCGAACATCTAAATATAAACGATATTGAAGGAGGTTATAACATAGAAAATCAATAAAATCTACAATGTCAACTACACAGTGAAGATCCAACAAGAGAAGAAGTGTCAAAAACTCAAAGACAATAAAGTCTTAGAAATGGATCAAATCTGTTCGGAAATGTATAAAAAGGTGGTGATCAACTTTTTGCAGAAATCCGTAAACTAACAGTACTTATATGGCAGAATGGATGGGTACCAGAAAAATGGCCAAAGGGAATAATATGTCCGTTGCATAAAAAGGTTGATCAACTGGAGTGTAAGAACTATGGAGGCATTACTTTGTTAGCATCTGCGTATAAAATCTTCTGCAATGTATTGTTTGAAATACTTAAACATTTTACAAATGATATTGTTGGTCAATATCAATGCGGATTTACTGCTGAAAAGTCAACTACATATCGAATTACAGCACGTAGGCAGATTCTAGAAAAGTCACTAGAATATAACATAGATACACACCATCTCTGCGTTGACTTCAAAACAGCCTATGACAGTGTGAAAAGAACTGCATTATATAATGCAATGATAGACTAACAATGCAAAACGTAAGCTCATGCGTTATAATTGAAGGAGAAAACTCTACGTTCTGAAATTAATAATGGTATAAGACAGGTGGACGCGCTGGCGTATCTCCTCTTTAATATTGCCTTGGAAAAGGCAATCAGCAATTAAATATTAGAATGAATGAAACTATTTTTAATAGATCGACGCGATATAGTTATAGTAGGCAGAGACATAGTGCAGTGTTTTACAAGGCTTGCGGATGCAGTATGTGAATTAGGACTTGTAGTAAACGAGGAAAAAACCAAATATATGTTGGTTTCTAAAAACCCACGAAATATCCAACAGAGAATTCAAATTAACAACCATACCTTTGAGCAAGTCAAAGAATTTACATATCTTGGATCGCTAGTAAACGCAACAAACACGACAAGCGACGAAATAAAAAGACGCATAGCAATAGCAAACAGAACTGTTCACGATCTCCAGAAACCTTTAAAAAATAAAAATACAAAACGTGCAGTAAAGCTTAATATATACAAGACCTTAATAAGTCCGACTTTGATATATGGGGCTGAAAAGTGGACTTTATCTCAAAATGACGAAAGACTTCCTGGTATTTTTGAGAGAAAAATTCACGACGAAATTAACATTTTCAAAACCAGAAGCACAAGAAGTAGACCTACAGATTTTAAGGGTCAGAAGATGGAGGGAAGTTGCCAGGAATCGACAGAAGTGACGACTTCTTTGTGAGCAGGCCAAGATCCAAAACGGATTGTCGAGACACTTATGATGATGAACTGATCTGTGAATTCAGAGAGAATTAAGCTTTCCCCCTTTTTCGAATTTTGTCACTATATACCCAGAACTTGCGTCTCTTCACTAATTTGGGCTGGTGTACAAATCTTATAAAACATTATTGTAAGGAGAGAATCGTAAAATATATAATATTTGGTATATTATACAGGGCGATTCTTTGGAAGTTCTAATTAGATGTTTTAGAAAAACTTGACATAATTAATTAACATAACATTAACTTAACAATAATTAATATTTGAAAATTTAGAATGAGGGGTTTTTAAATACCCAATTGATTTAAAATTCCTTTTAAAGCAGTGCAAAGTAATTTAAATTTGGCAGTGCCAAATTATGAATATTAAAACTAACATACCTATTATTTATTAAAAAATTTTGTTTAAAAATTATCTGAAATTTTTACCTGTACTGTCGTCCACGTCAAATTTAAAATACGCAACGTTCATCAGTCCTGAGTCTTGGTGCAAGTACATCATATCTGGATTAAGCCTCGTTAAATGAAATACATACTCAGCAAAACAGGCTAGAGCCAATTGTAATGTGAACTAAAAAAATAAGGATACATAAAAAATATATTCCCATATATGGATGTTGTCTGTTCAAACTTTTTATTTTAGTATGATGGTCAATAAGTTTATTCCTTTGAATTCAAAGATATTTTCTTAATGTTGTTTTTAAATAGGCAAATTGAAGTGCTGTAAATTTCATTCCTTAAATAAAACATATTTTTTTGAATGTTTTGAAAAAATCTTGTACTTTTCATATTTTTCAATTTTTCAATGTGCGATTCTTTATTTTTATTCGTAACTATTATTTAAGTTAAATATTTTCTCTTTTTTAAGTGGGTCTACGTTCAATGTAGAGCGCTATAAAAGTAATTTCCTTATCGCTTCCAAATATCGTTTGGTTACTAATTTTCGGACGTTCGATTGTGATATTCTCCTTATTAAAAACATACAATAGCCTTGTTTCTTCGTCATTCATTTAGCAAATTTCCAACTGTAAACAAACGCACGTGTTTATATTCGCCCCATGGACGTATAAACACAGATGGACTTAGTTATTTACATAAAATTGTGAAGTCAAAATTATTTGAATAGGTCACAATCTGAGCATCTTCAACTGTTGTCACGTTTTGTTTTAAAATTTCCTATTCGCGAGTCGCTGAAAATATTACTCCGTATTTTATACTCTACAGGTGCTATCAAACCAAAATAATAATTTATTGGTTATATTAATATATTTAATTGTAATCAAAATATCATGTGTGCACATAGTGTGCATTATCATTTATTAATAGCGTATAAAAGATATCAATCAATTATTTTATATGTAGAAGCACTGAATACTATTTATAAATGGCAAAGGTTGTTTACATTTCTCTGTCTTATGGATCTACGTCAAACTTCAAATGCTGTTCCATGTTTGTTTACTTTTAACAGTAAATGAGGAAAAAGTTATTTTTCGATATTTTGGCTGTATTTTGAGTGATATTTGTGAAAAGTGAAATAAAATAAACGAAATATTTACATCCCGATCTCTCATTTCATTTGTAAGTACATACAATTTACATTATTTAAGATGAGGAAATGAGGAAGCGTGTTTGTTTACATTTTAATAGGCGTATCATTGGGTTTATTCATGTTCAATAATGTATTGAATAAGATATGAGTTCATGAAATTAGTAGACATTTATAAATTGTAAGCAGACATCATCTGATTAAAAAAGATCTGTTTAGTACCTTTTTAATTTAATATTTCTCATGGATACAAATAAATTAGTGAAATGAATAAAACTCATTTATTTTTCTATGTAGGTTTCCAAATAATATTGACGATCGAACTATTTGGGTAGCAAATAACATAAGGAGAAAACATAGATTCTTTATTGTAGCATTATTTTGATACTATTAAAAAATTAACTTGAATTCAACTATATTTAATTGTATTAATTTTAAAGCAAATAAAATTGTATTTTAATTTTTCTATAAAGACGTGATTTGTTAATAGTTAAACTCTCGTTTTTTTTAAATTCTTTGAACGTGTTTTTATACATTATTACTACTTCCAATTTATAAAATCTGAATAATTACCCGCAAGTAAAAATTCATGCACGCTTATGCTCATTGCGGAAGCATCACATTCTATCGAAGCTTCAAAACATTGTGTGTTAAAGGTATCTTATTGCTGTGTTCATCTATATTTATACGTCCATGATTCGCCCTCTCATTCGTCAAGAGGCTATTAAATATAAATTATTGCCTCTCTATAGCCAGACGGATTCTCATTTTACAGGTCCAAACTTGTCAGTCAGATTAAATTTCAAGAAATTCTTACACTAATAGTTTCAGAAGTAAATATTTTTAAACATCATATGATACAACTCAGTACGACGCTGTTTGGCTTTCACGTACGTTTGTTTACAGTTGGGAGTTTGTAAAACGAATGTAGTATATTTATGCCATCGATACGCAAATGAATCATAATAATAAATACATGAACTATTATGACTGAAATAACATTATAATTTTAAATCAACCTTACCATTTTCCTAAACTGCCAGTAATCCGTTGCTGATGGGAATGTTTGAATTGCCCAATGCTTTATAATATTTCTTGGTATTTTGCTCTGCTGTATACCTTTAAGAATATCTCTGTATACTTGATGACTCGCCTTTATACCTCTACTTTGGACTTGAGCTAGTCTTTCATAATAATACTGAATCGGTTCATCGTGTTCGATACCTACAACATATTTCAAACTTAACGAAAAACAAGACAAATAAATATATAAGGAACTGTTCTAGTATGGTAACATCATCATGGAGAAGTAGGAGAAACAGAAACTTGTTATAAAATACAGCTGAGTTAAAATAATTGCTTCTGCTTGGTGAAAAATGTAAAGGGTAAAAGGTGCAAAAAATATTAAGGAGGATATGGCAAAGAGAAGAAACTAAAAATTTGTTAGGCTTTATTAATATAAATGTAATATTTTTAAAACTTTTCATGAAGAAAAACGAACGAAACCTGTAAAATATTTTGGACTGCTTACCTAATTTGGTACAACTCTTTTTAAATATATCTAGGAGTGATATAGATGCAGGATTGTCTTCTACCAGTCTTATCTGTTGTGAAACCGCAATTACTCGGGGTACAGTGTAATGCAAAAATCTTCTTGCAGTTTCCTAAAAAAGTTAAAGAGGCCAAATGATAATATTTTTAATACGAACATTTACAAAAAATGGCTCGTAACCTATATTCGTTTAAAACGAACGTGTGGTGTGATTTTACAAAAAGGTTAATTTTTGCCGACAATCTATGAATGCCGAACGTTACGCGTTATGAACGAACTGCCTTACAAGAACGTTAGTATACTAGATTTGCTGTTAGAGAGAAGCTTGACAGAAATTACCTCATTGATTGTTTGAACATTTGTTTAATATGGTTATGAAGATTATTAGATGATTCGGTTGACAATGTTTTGTATAATTATAGATTACTATACAGCGTGCGGCAGATAAACGACCAATTAGAAATATCTCGAGAACTAAAAGTAACTGAATCATAAAAATGGGAATAAGGGAAGTGGATTTGAAGAGTGACCTATTTAATGAAAATATTTTCATCCATTTGGTACTTCCGGTTATACCGGAAGTTGCTTATAACTTCGTTTTTTTAATTGTGACACCCTGTATATTTTTTTAATTTTAGAAATATACACGTTATTCTGAACATTTTTTGTTAATACTTCCCTATACTTATTGTGAACCGTTTTTGAGTTATAATGGTTTTTATATGAAAATTGCACATTTCTACCATCTATATAAAGTTCAATATCCTTTAATATAATTTGAATTAAAGTTTAAATTCCTTATGAACTTATTAACCAGATACAGCATAATATTATACTGTGTCTAGTTGAATTTTTCATTCTACAAGGTACTGTTAAAAGTGGCATAAAACCGGTATCCTACATTTTCGCCTAATTACTTTTTTGCAAATGGACACCCTGTACGTGATTCATTATTTTAGAAAAATAGGTTTTTCGCTATCGATCTGTATTAGTGTGCCCTATACCTATCTCTTGCAGTTTCAAATAAATTAACTGTATACATTTTTGCCACAAAAAAATTATTTATCAAGTAGCCTATTGAATTCTGACAAAAATATAAGTTATTGTTAATGATTCAATAGTAACCTTGGATGCCATTGGGTGACAGTTATAATAGTAATAATAATTTGCCTAATTGTCTTGACAAGATAATAATGGCTCATTTAGGATATACAAATGATGATTTTTTTAAATTTAATTATAATTTACGGTGAGTGTAACAGAATAGTATCCATAACTTGCCGTGTTTTTGTTGAGAGATATCCGTAAATGCAAATGCTTTTACGGCAAGTAATTGTACCAGCACTGCACGGTTCACATAATAAGGCTAACAAGGCTTGGTTTCAACAAGATGGAGCACCGGCTCACAATATTCGAGGAGTCGGCACATTGCTTGATGAAATATTTGGCAATAGACGGATAGCTAATAAAGATCTGTTTTTCTGGTCTCCAAGATTCCGTTGTCACCGTTAGATTACTATATTTGGAGATATGTTATAAATAAAGTGAACCTGTCACTACTGAGGAAGCTATAATAATAAAGTCCTTCAAGTTCTTAATTAAATAGATAAAGAATTAATATCAAGAGCTACTAATGAAAATCTGATTAAAAGAGTTCATAAATGATTGGATGTTGATGGGTAACTTTTTGAGCATTTATTACATTAATAAGCTAGTGGCTTTTTTTGATCGCATCTTTTAAATTGTTCAATGTTTAACTTACAATATGAAAGTTGTAAATTAACACAACATAGTCTACGAACAATTTTTTTTTGTGACAAAATGTATAAACTCAATTTATTTGAAAACTGCAAGAGCTGTATAGGGAATACTAATTTTTTAGGAAAAAAGGATTTTTTTTGAAAATTTAGTATGCCGGATTTATGCCTATTTTGACAGCACCCTGTATAATGAAACAGGCAAATTTACACTGTAACCTATAATGCTGTATCTCGTTAATAAGTTCATAAAGAATTTAAACTTTCATTCAAAAACATTAGAGGAGATTAATAAACTTTATATACATGATAGAAATGTGTAATTTTCATATAAAAACCATTATAGCTCAAAAACAGTTCAGAATATGTATAGGGAATAGTTAGAATAGTTATAGAAAACAGTTCAGAATATGTATAACAAAAAATGTTCAGAAGAACGTGCATATTTCTAAAATTAAAAAATATACAGGGTGTCCCATTAAAAAAACTTTATAAGCAACTTCCGGTATAACCGGAAGTAGCAAATGGAATAATATTTTCATTAATTAGGTCACTCCTCAAAACCCCTTCATTCCAATTTTCATGATTCAGTTACCTTTAGTTCTCGAGATATTTCTAATTGGCCGTTTATCTGCCCACCCTGTATACATAAGAATTTAAATCGTAAATATGTAAATATTTTACTACAGATTCCCGCGGTTGACAAAATAAAATATGGAAAATATCAAATAGTAACTGTCAAATTCTAATAGAAATAAAGTAATTGTGATATATAAAACGTGTAGCAACATTTAATGTTTTAATATAGAAATTACAAATATGTATAATAAAATAGGTCTTACCTTTTGTTTTCCTAAATACAAATTAAGCATCCTCATTAACTGTAAAACTCTTTCTTCTCTTCTAGCATCTGCCAGACCAGAATCGTTTACTACTAAGTAAGGATATATTTTGCCGTTGTGGCCCCTAATGTATAATCTTCTTGCTGCAGCATTATGTTTTTGCACAACGTCAACTCTTGGCATGAATCTAGTAATTCTAACAAAGTAATGATTGTGTTTTGGAAGCAAAAATTCCCCGGGTAATTCTACTTCTGCTGTTTTTAGTGTGAAATTAGACAAGAAACGACACTTTTCTTCTATTAGGCTTGATCTAAAATGTACAGTTTACATTTAATACTTATTTTTCGATTCTTTGAATACATATTACAAATTATTTTCTATACACCAAAATCTATTCATATAATAAGTCAACAGTGATAGTCAACGATCAATATTATTAGGAATGCATTGGGAATAACAAAACAACTTTAATGGAATATTATCTAGCATCTAATACACGTTGATGATTTAGTATTGGTAGGAAATAAGGAACTGCGTCTTTGGCATCTTTAGATAATTTAAGTGTCTTGATTATAATCCTTGTATCGGCATGTAAGTAATATTTATTAGTTATTTAATTTCAATTTCACTAGATTGTTTTTTCACTTAAGTTAAAGTCATATTATAATCACACACACTTTTTAGTTCTCCTTCTATATAAATGGATTATTATAAGTATTTTGCAAAGTTTTTTATTTTTTAAACTACTTACCGTATTAGGCCCTCTATAATAATAAAAGTTTACTTTATTTTGTTAGACAACTATAAAATTCCTGTCAAAACACACATGATAATTTAATAATTATATCGGTCTTAGATTTAATTTTTACATAATTATTTATGTGTTTAAATAAATAATTAAAATATTATTTTGGTACGCCTCTGCAAAGTTGATAAGTAGAATATCATTTCATCGATTCAAGTGCGACGTTGCCAATAAATCACCTTCAATTAAAAATTGTTTTACTATAGTAATAAAAATGCATGAATCAAGATTTGAAAAAAAAAGGGAAAATTCCTATGGGAACAAGCTGGAATGTGAAAACTATCAAGGCACAATCCTCTTGTGCCAGTTTACGAAATCTTTACATCCATCCTTGATAAACGAGTCTCTTTGACTAAAAATATTGTCGAGTAATATCATACCAACCTTCAATAAGAACCGACAAATTCTAAATAAATGTTGGGAGCAAGTTATTCACGTGCATCCTAACATCATTGATTTCAAACATACTTATGACTTAATATATACAAAGGAGCTAACAGTATAAGATCCTACACAGCTTAAATATCTCCTTGAAATATGTCCAACTACTAAAAGCAGCGATGTGCACAAGAGCAACGGTCCGCACACAGAATGAGCTTCCTTGATTTCCGCCTTGAGACGTCTTGTTTACTATTCTGCTCCTAATCAACATTTGTTAGCACCTTTACTTTCATATACTACTCCTATAATCTATTAACAAAGTATATAAAATAAATATTAACAAATAATATCCATACATTTATACTTACTGTAAAAACATTTTAGACCGATCATCTAAAATTTTAATCCATTTCTTCAACTTAAATATTAAAGTGTGCAGTCTCATTGAATTTGATTGTGAAAAATCGAAATCTTTCGTAAACTCTAATTTCATAGCTTTAAAAACTGGATCCTGGTAAGTGGCTTCGGCCCTTCTAGCTAAACTTTCTGAAGCAGCAGAATTAAAGGTAACATTTACTGAGCTCGAAATAATATTTTCAACTCCTATTCCAAAGGTAGACATTAATTTCTTCACGAAATTGAGAATGTGCGGTGTTATTTTTGCCTCATTAACACCCTCTCTATTTTCAAATGCTATTGCGTAGCATTTCGTCAAACCTTGTCGAAGCTGTCTCAGTACTTCTTCATACCTAGAATGATACACTACTGTTAAAACTAAATACTCAACAAAGGGGTAGATCAAGTAAAAAAAAAACCAAAACAGCTTTGCTAAATGCCTACACAAAAGAATGCGTTGATACAATCATTACCGAAAGTATTTATGGAGTTGTTGATATGTTTCGCTTTACGAAAAATTTTAAACTATTTTAGTATGGAAAACAATTTTTAATATTACCTAAAGAAAGATTTTAAACAACAAAAAGTAAAAAAAAATAGACTTACTCGAAAGTATAGAAATCAATTAACTATTTGAAAAATAAAGATGTAGTTTTCACGAATAAAATTGATATTGTTACTTAGTTTCCGTTACTTAGTCAAACGGAAAGTTATGTAGGTAGGACGTAGGTAAGACAAGTAAAAACTTGCGTGTGGCATTGTTACAAATTGTTTTCCACTCTAAAATATTTAGTTTAAAATTTCTGTACAGAAGAAGCTGATGTTACAGCTAAACGTATCAAGTTAACGATATTCTATAAAAAACTCAATCGGGATTAGCAGAAGCTTACATACATGGAGCACACAAATTCAAAATAAGCCTCCCTCTGAACTGTTGCATATTTAGTGGAGAAGCACTCGCTATTTTCTAAATTCTCATATGTGATGTCATCACATATGAGAATCAAGGGAAGCGAAGCAGTGCAGTGGACCAACTTGAGAAATAAGCTGCACTAGATGAAAACATCCCTCAGTCAAACATGCTAACAAAAAACGACCATAAAGCCTCTGCCTCCACTGGTCCAAAGCCTGTAGAGTAACTGGCAGTCCACACCCAACAAACTAAAAGATGCCATAGAATATGTTGGCACCAAATTACCACCCCCACGCAAACAGTAGTGAGCAAGTAATATTAAATCGATTGCGATTAGGACATACTATACCAACTCATATCCAATTAATAAATAAAGAACCAATCCCTTTCTGTTACAACTGCAACATTCCAATCACTGTTAAACATATTCTGTTATAATGCCAAATATACATTCACTAAAGAAGAAAAAATAACCTGATTACCAAGATGAAGGATCTACTAAACTACCAGTTCAATCAAGTGCTGAAATACCTATTTAAAAGACATTAAATTTTACAATATTTAAAATAATATATTTAAATTATGTACTTTGTAAAAATTGAAAAATGTAATTTATGTTGTACCCCCTGCTAATATCTAACTCTCAACAGTAGATGCAGGGTTATTTTTGTTTAAATAAAAAAATATTACGATAATGGACTAAATAAAATCAAAAGTAATTGAAGAGAAATATTACAAGTTTATTAGTCCAATTGAAATTGATTTATATGAAAGACAAACTTACAAAATGATGAAGAAAATGAAGAGAATACAAAAAGAGACTTACAGATGGAAGTCTTATATATAACTTATATATAATAATATCGTATGGTAATTTTGCCGGGGAGATCCTTTCGAAACGTTCCGGTGCCAATTGCATCTTTAACCCTTAGATTACACTAGTAACTTATTTAGTTATAGGTAACGAGTGTCGATCTACACTGGCCCAGGGGGCCGACGGTTTTACGGGGATTCCGAAGCACGGTGAACAGTACATATCACTAGAAATGAAAATTGAACTCATGCGCTCAACTTTGATGCGATAACTTTGATAACTTTGATGCTCAAAAGCGATATGACCATTTGCACAACTCATGTGCAAATGGTCATATCCTTTACTAAATTTTGCATTTTATCCAAAAACTATTGCTGATTTCGGATTTTTTGTAAAAAAGATATAGAAAACAACAAACTTTGCCTCCTATTTTATAAAATATTTTCATTTTTATAAAATATTGTATGTAAAAATATAAAACGTTTTACCAATTTTCTCTAAACCATTCCATTTGGTCAGCAATACCCTCCAAACTTGATAATACCGTAGTGTGTATATCCCTCTGCATTTTCATTATCTTAGAACATCTAATCATCGCAGGCGTCGCTTTTATAGAAGATCCTTCAGTAGAAACAGTAGTAGTACTAGCACTTTCTGAAGAATTTGACAAACTGCCTTGACTGTTAGACTGAGTACCAGCTTCGCTGTTTTGAGATTCTTGAGATTGGTGTTGCTGTAGAGTTAATCTCTGAAATTTAAATGAAAAATATAAGAAATGATATTATTTTAAGAAATTAAAGCACCCCTAAATGATTTTCAGGTACATCCAGTACTTTTGATTTCATAAGTATTGTATTTTTATCTAATTAAGAGATTTTTTTATCAATAGTTGTTTGAATCAATCAAGACATTTGTATATAGATATTGTCAACAGTTTGATAACTTGTAAATTGTTTGACAGAAAATTATAATAATAAGCGGAAAGTAACAGCAATAGTGGTCAAAATAAACTAGACAGCGCAAGTAGAGACAGTAACAACGTTTGTTTAATAGAATTAATGAGACAAATGTTATATGAATGGAAAAGTGGCATCTTAGTATACACCTGTACAAAAATAAAGTTCGGCAATATAGAGGTACAAAACATGGAGCCTAAAATAATGTGGTCACATCATCAAAAAAAAAAAAAGGAAAAATGTATGCAAATTTTCATTATCAGACAGCCAACGGAAAACTAAATTAATATAAACACAAACATTTATCTGGTAATAATTGATTTTGAGAAAGAATTTGATAAAGTACCTCGCCAGGCACTATGATGGACAGTAAATATGAAAATAATTTCTGGTGAGTCGAGGAATATGGGATAAAGATGTATGATTGAGTAACAATCAGTGTTAGTGGTATGGAAGAGACTGATAGATTTCATGTAAAAGTAAAATTGAAATTAGTCTTAAGCACCGTTTCAATTTATAAAAATTTTAACCCTCAGACAAGGCGTTAAGTTGTAGAATAATTCAATATATTAACCATTCAAGTTATTACTAGAGCTGTGATGTTTGAAGCCGGTATGGCAGACATCCGAGGCAGGTGTGATGTTGGAATTCCTATGCTCTACTTTTCGCGAAGATAAATTAGGCACATTTTGGCCAAAGAACGTTTTGCAAAGAAAACCTATTAAATGTAATTATGATATTTGCAGCACCATATAGAAAAAATGTAAGTAACATCTTTTTATTGATTAAATGTTTGCGTTAGTTTTAACCTACTATTTATTATGTGAGAAGTAACGTAGAATATTTTTCGTTTTTTTTAACTGCACCATTGAACTATTCTTATAGCTGACTGAGCACAAGTTAACCTGTGTTTTAGTTACGATCGTAATTTAGACAAAAAGGGCAAGGAAATATTCTGATTTATTTTGTGAAAATTGTGCATATCAATAAAAAAAGGCAGTAAGTGACAAACGATATACTATTTTTCACTTAATTATTCCAAATAACAAACATTTAATTGTATACACCAATAATATAACATTAACCAAGAAATTTTCAATCGAGCTTTAAATTGATAACAACTGGTTCGGGTTCCCATCAAATGATAGGGCCGCACTCACTCATGCGGATAACACCTGTTATTTTAAAACAATTTTACCGAAGCAAGCATGGATATAAGTAATGCATAACAACTTGATTTCGAATCAGTTCAACATAAAAGAAATGTACCAAAAAGCTACTTAGGAGTGACCAATCAATTTAAATTTCCATCCAAAGAACAAGCATTAGTGTTTCGTGCAATTGAAAATACTCCGCTTCAAGTTACCTAATTCCTCTTGGTAATAAATTTCAACCAAAAAATATCATTTTCGCCTCTCGACTTTCCAACAAAAATATCCTAGATGAGTTTTTCGATAACCATGGTCAAATCACTATCCGAGGAGAAGACAGCTAGTACAGACTTCGAATTCTACAAAGACAACTGTATGGTGTTTACGAAAAAATCATCCATTACACCAGTCCTTTATCTTCACAACAGCATCATTCCCTTCCAAAACGCCGTGAAATTCCTTGTTATATGGCTGGATCAAAAACTTTCCTATGGAAAAAGCACATACAACACTTTGCGCTAACATGCAACAAAAGACTCAATTTGCTTAAAACCGTATCAAATCGTTTCTGGGGTTCCGACTTCTCTGCATTACTCCTTCTGTATAAAACACTAACTCGAATCAAACTCGATTACGGTTCAATTGTTTATGCCTCCGCAATCAAGAGTACCCCATAACCGTTAGATGCAATCCACAATGCTGCACTTCGGATCGTTCTCGAAGTTTTTCACATTTCACCCATAGAAAGTTTATATTTCGAAACTGGAGAACCATCATTGCGGTATAGGCGGGCACTATTAACACTTTCACACGCTTCTTCTGTAGCTGCTAATAAGGATCATCCACACTTCGAAAATACTTTTCCTAAAAATAATCTTGACTTTCTCTTTAATACACTTCGTACTGGAAAACCTTATTACACACAAGTAAGATCAATCCTCTGAATAATTTTGACACAACAATCCCAAATGAATTTCACTGTAACATCCAACTCCATGGTTAATAAGCATCCCAAATTGCAACAACAATTCCAACGTCTCCTGTCAAATTTAAACTACCGCCTAGCTCAAGTATTTTCACCGATGAACTGTTTGCTTTGTACCGTGCCCTAAAACATGCAAACCTCGAGAATTTCAAAACCTATGTTTCTCACCGACTCGCTCAGCTCTCTTCTTGCAATACAGCATCTGTATCCTAAACAGGCCTTGGAGCAACTAATAAAAACTGAACTACAAATCGCCCAAGAGAACCACATAACTCCTAAATTTATATGGATCCTATCGCATATAGGAATTATCGGCAATGAAGAGGCAGACAGTAGTGCTCGTGATGCAGCAACAAGTGCGGAATCTGAATTATTGCGTGAGAGTGTATGTAAAGATCTCAAAACGTTTTTTAAACAAAAAGTGATTGGTCAGTGGCAGCAAGAATGGTTTCTATCGCAATCTAAATTGAGATCGTTAAAACCAGATACACGACAGTGCTACGCCTCTTACCATCGCCCATTTGTTAATTCTTCTTCTTCTTCTACTTTTTGTAGATCTTTCGATCTGTTTAATTCTGAAGCTGCCTCTGGTTAATTTCTTGGGAGGTAGATTGCCAACTATCCCTCCATCTTTTAGGTGCTCTTCCGGGGGGTCTTGAACCAGGCGGATTGTTTTCTAGGGCAATTTTTGGGAGTCTATTCTCATCCATTCGTCTTACATGGTTGTACCACATCCTCTTGCGCTGTCTTCCCCATATTACAATATCTTGAATTTTGCACTGCTCTCTAATGTTTGTATTTCTCACTCTGTCCCTTCTTGTTTTTTCCATTATTGTTCTTAGGGTTTTCATTTCGGCAACCCTTAGCATCTGTTTCGTTTTGTTGGTATCTTCGCGCACTTCTATGCCATATGTCATGATCGGTCGTATGCAAGTCTTATAGATTCTAATTTTACTATCTGTGCGCATATACAGATTAGACCAGACTATCTCCCGCAGACATCCTGACAGTGCAGATGCTTTGTTGATCTGACTCCTCAGGTCCTTTACTGGGTCATGAGTGCTTGATATATCTATTCCCAGATATCTGAATTGCATCACCTGTTCTATGGGGTTGTCCTCAACCACTAACTTACATCTGAGCGGATCTTTTGCTATTGTCATACATTTAGTTTTGTTGGTAGAGATGTTCATATTTAATAGTCGGCTTGTTTGAAAGAACTGAAAGAGCTGCCTTTGGAGATCATCTTCTGATTCGGCAATAATTGCTGCATCGTCTGCGTAGCACACCATACCAATTCTTTTGTTGCCCATTCTATATCCGAGATTAAGAAATGTTACTTTGTTGATAATTTTGCCCATGAGAAGATTAAACAAGAAGGGGCTTAAACTGTCGCCTTGTCTAATTCCTCCCGGTGTTGGAATATTTTCAGTGAATTCGTCTCCTGCTCTAACTTTGGTTACGTTGTTGTTATTTAGGTTATGGAGTATCTTTGTTATACTGGTCGGTGTTTCATTTTCTATTAATATATTTAGAATGTCTCCCAGGCGAACTCTGTCAAATGCCTTCGTCAAATCAATGAAGCAAATATACGCTGGCATGCCGAACTCTATAGCTTTTTCTTTTATTTGTTTTATTACAAATACTGCGTCTGTTATATACCGCCCTTTTGTAAAACCTTGTTGTTCTTCAGCATTAGTGATTTGCTTTTCCAATTTGTCCTTGAGAATACCCGTGAAAAGTTTCATTGTTGTATTTAAGAGGGTTATTCCTCTATAGTTTTGTGGGCAGGTTTTTTGTCCTTTTTTAAATATGGGGATTGTGATACTATTATGCCATTCCTCTGGTGTTTCTGTTTTGTTTAATATTTTGTTAAATAGTTGTGCCAGTTTACTTGCAAGTTCCGGGCCTCCATATTTTAAAAGTTCATTGGGTATACCATCCGTTCCCGGTGATTTTCTGTTTTTTAGCTTTTTGATCTTTGCTTCTACTTCTTCGTCATTGATTGTAGCACTCACATCTGTTTCGCCTTCGTTTATATTCAGCGTTTCTTCAGCATCATATAGCTCTTTAAAATGTTGTTGCCATGTTTCTATAGGTACTCCTTTGGTCTGCACGAACTCGTTAACTGGTTTTTTCCTGTTGCGGAGCATTTTCCATACTTTCTTTTGGGCACCATATAGGTCGTAGTCCATGTCGCAAGTGAATTTGGCCCAATGTTCTCTTTTGATTGATTTTATTCTGGCGTTTACTTCGTTTCTTATTTGGACATATTCTGCATGAGCTTCTTCCGATTGCGTGCTTTTATATCTCAGGTAGCATTTGCGTTTTAATTTGCATTTGTTAATTGAGTGTCCAAAATACCATAGAGAACGTTCAACAAACAATATACCAAATACTCTACCAGATTTATTAGGAGAAAACTGTCACGTAACAAACTTATTAAAGTACCTAAAGTCAATCAATATGTTGTATCAGATTTTAAGTTTTGTTTACTGAGTAATGCCGCTAATAACCTGTTGGTGGATGGGGCAATATTTCTTTTTAATAATGAAAAACTTCTTATATGAATTAATTTTGATGATATTAAATTCGTGGAGATAACACGTGTCTTAGAGCAACGTCGTATATCCTATCTCCCTTATGGTATAGTTTTTCAATGTTTAAATAATAACCCCGTTATTTTAAACGTATCTTTATTTAACACTATGATTTCTGTTCATCTAAGAATGCGCTTATTATACATATAGAGATTATTTAAACAAATATTTATACTAGTAGCGAATTAAAAATATTATCGTAAAATAGTTTCAAAACACAAAATATTATCTTACCTGAACACTGTTCGTTTTTCTAGCAACAGAGGTACGTAAAGTAAGATATAGCGTTCTTATGGGGAAATAAACAGCTTGAGGAAACATTCTTCCAACCTAAAAAATAGTTGATAATGTTTTTCTTGAATTGAATTGGTTTTTGTTAACAATCTTTATACCTGACATAACAAATTAAGAATGACGTTGCCTTCATATTGTACCAAACAATTTAATAATTGTGGTGTCCACGGTAGCCACAGTAAGGGTGGCACGCCCACAGAGTATTTATCCAGTGCTTCCATTAAACTAAAATATAGAAATGTAAAGTAAGATGGATTTTTTACAACCACACCACAAAGAATAATATTTTTCAAATACCAAACAATTTTTTTTAATACACGTGCAGTCAGAAATCCGTTAAAACAAGTATAAGTTAATATATTAGAAGAGAACTTGCAAAATTGTGCTAAGAAAATAATCAATCCTTGAAAGACTGATCAAAAAACGTCTCATTAGTAAAAAGAATTAAACAAATGCACCAATTCATTTGTATTTTGAGAATTTTTGTTAATTCCCATTCCCCAAGTGTCCAAGGATGTATGGAAGACTTATGCTACAAATCTTGTAATAACAGACTTACATTTCTGATCAATCTAGTGGTCCAATTTTATCGTAATCTCAATTTCAACGAGCTTTGGCATTTTTAAAAGCAATAAAATTGCAGGTGAAGTATATAGATAAAAAAAGTGATACAGTAGGCGGCACTAAATATGTTTTCAGAGTTTTTAAAATTGATTATTTATTGATATGATATGATATTGATTATATTTATGACTTATTATTTTTTATTTTTTTAAGATTTTTTATAATCATCGATTTACAAAGTTTTGTACATTCGAAAGGTAATTACATTAGTTAATATTCTTGTTGTAGATTTTAATAAAATTGAAAAAGTTTACATGTTGTTCAACGAAATCCCCTCGTCGCGTAATTTGACTCTGCCAACTATTTAATGACGCTGCTTTCGTGACGCTCGTCTTGGCATTTTACTATAGAGAAAAAGTAACATAACGCCAGTATAGAAACTTTGCTTCAAAATTCTGAACATTCACAACAGACCACTCATTAAAAAAAAAATTTATCACAATTCACAAAAATTAACAGTGCAACGATTTTAGACGTATTTGCTTAACGAAAGACCTTCTAAAGACATAGAAGGTGTAAAGGGATGAGTGATGAATCTTTTCTCGTTGAACTTTCGTTTAAAAAGGCTAAGTTTACTGCAGCTGATAGTATCCATTACTAATGATATGATATACAGTACCACAAATCTTTAAGGTAGTTATTGAAAATATGAAAGGGTAAGATATAGCTACGAACATTGAGACGAAGCAGCAGCAGAAACTTCAACGAATAGGAATCATTAACGAATGGGAAGTATATTGTTGCCAACCGTAATATTATTAATATTGTTCTGAAGCTATTTTCTTGTGGCATTTTAAATTAATTACTATTTAACTGGGAATAAACAATAAACGTATTTTTATCTTTAATTGTGGTTATTCCCAGTTAAATAGTAATTAACGTAATATTATCCTCTTAAAACATTAAAAGAAAGTATAACGAATGCTTTTTTATAATATACGGCATAAATTGTTTGGTATAGTCGGTTCGCTATTCACAGTCCGAACAGTCTAGTGAATTTAGTAATATTTTTTTTGCGAAGTTAGTTACTTTTTGACACACTAAAAGTGGCTGGAAATTACTACACAACCAAGTACACGTACTCATAGCCAATATTAATAGCAAACAAACTATATAGTAAATAAAATAGAACTTTACGAATTACCGACAATCAATATTTATTTATCTGGACCATATAATAAATAGTTATATTAAATTATAACAACTGAAATATATTTTTTAAATACATATATACTACCCAAAATTTTATGGGTTTAGTATACACTTCCGCTATTTATAATAGTTCTTCTTTTTCAATGAAAGAGGTCTGTAATAAAAGTTTATTCAAGCTGTTAATACTGTGAGCTAGGAACTTTTGTGTTGTAGGTTTCCAGCTATGAATCTCTCAAAATATGCCAGAGTTGAGCGAATGGACCTTAATACATTTTATATGCAGTCTATGGACGGAGAAATAAGCAGGGACAAATATAAACAAAATTATATTTCTTTTCACTAAAATTTCCTTTTAAGTCAAAACTAGATCAGTTGGAACTAATATTTTCCTATGAAGCTTTAAAAATATTATTCTTCATGATTTGTAAAAGGTATATATAAATTTGAACTATTTAGTGACGTATTTTTTCTCAGAAAACGTTTTATTTTGTATGAAAAATGGCAGTTACATGTTTTAATTTATTACCATCCAAAAAAATAGTTACCTAGAATTTTCATCGTCGTAGCTTAATAACCACAAAACTTTAGCCAAATATTTTCTTGCTTTCGCTTCATTTTGATGTCTACAGGCGTGCAGGAGACATGTCATAGCGTTCACTCCTAAATTAATTTGTCTTTGATCCCTTGTGAAGATCTGTTCTAAATAATCACCGTATAAAGCCCAAGCCTTAGTAGAAGCATCGTGCATTTGTACTGCAGCCGAAAACATTTTATTGGCTTCGTCAGACTTATCTGCAAAAAATAAGTAATTAGAAGTAAACTAAAATTATATTTATGTTACGCCATAAATTGAGAACGACTTCGATTTCGTTCAACTTGTTTTAATTTTCTAATACTGTATAGAAGGTGGTTATGGAAAGAAAATTTAAGAGAGTTGCCAAGAAAATGATCCACCTGTCACGCGGGGGACTGAGGTACGATTCTCCACAGGCGATTTTTTTTTAATTCATTAACTTTTTATCTTTTATTATTTTAAATCTTATAAATGATTAACCAATCAATCAAATTAAAATGAAATAAAACATATGATGAAATTGGAAAGAAAATAATAAAAGCAACATTTTTTTTTTATTGATGATGATTCAATAAACATAAAGGAGTGAGTTGTGAGTAGACTTTTCCACTCATTAATAGTTTATTAATACGTTGCCTACAATCCCGATCTATGTGACAGAGAAAAAATTGCTCTGAATTTTATTAAAACATTTTAAGCACATAAATGGCTCTTCTTCATCCTTGACAGTAAGTTCGAATCTTCTTTAAATTTCTGGCAATTTCGGTTCTTCACATCTTTTGTTCCTGTTTCGTGACGCCCACATCGTTTTCAAGTGAAGAATGCTAATATCGCTATTATTTACTTCTTTGTGCAAGATTATTTCAAATATTAACTTTTTGTACCACCTTATAGTGTTTCTTAGTGGTGACTGATATGCTGTCATTTGATCGGATTGATTAACACTAGATTTCCCCTCGTTGTAGACCAATATCATTTGGGGCTTTTCTCTTACTTGACCTCGTCGGTTTTTAACTTGAGCAGTTTCATGCGAATGTTTTGTTGGAAGCGTAAATATATATATATATATATATATATATATATATATATATATATATATATATATATATATATATATATATATCTCTTATCTTTCTATGAAAGTACTGTACCTTTCCTATTTTCGTTTGCATAAAATTCTGCAAATTTGAGGTTTTTTCGGATTAACTCTTCAATTTCTTCTTAATGTAACAATCAGAAGCGTTTGTCTATTTATAAGTTGTTCTGCTAGAGGTAAACTAGTGTACCAATTATTGATAATATTTTTTTTTTGTAAGAAGGGGAATTTTGAAAAATTTTAAACATGAATCATTACAGGCTATATAAAGGTACCTCTGCGAACCGTGGTAATTTTTTCGACCATATAGCAGAAATGGCATTGGCGTGAAAGGATAGTATTACAAATTCCTCTAAAGAGGGCAACCTGTTATAGATACATACTTCTTTTTAGCTTGTTATATCTTTCTTAGAAAATTTTTGAACGCACCATTAATATTTGACAATAAACAAATATGTCATTCATATCCTTGTGACTAAATCAATGATGTAATATACTAAGGATGGAACATAAGGTTTGTCCCAAACCCTTTTTTCAGTGCGTCACTAATTTTGACGTCATATAGGATTTTAAGAATGTCGAGAATTATTGCATGACATTTTAGTTAAATCTGACAGTTGCAGGATCGTAATCGGCTAAACGTGAAAAGGTTATTTTTTTTAATGCATAGCAGTTTGTCATAATTCTATTCTATTCTGTTCTATTTTATACATTCCATGGAAAGTGCTTAATTAGCTAAGATTTGTTTATGGATTTATTATTATTTATTACAAACACTAGGGAATTGGAAGGTTTGTTTGTTTAAAATAACGCTTCCTCCTAGAATCTTTTAAGAGTTGACTGCAAGGTAAAAAAAATTACTGACAATTGCAAGGCATCAAAGTAAACATTCCTGCGATAAAATAATATCGATTTAAATCAGTCATATTTGGATAAGGAATTTTCTGATAAGTTTGTGTGGCAGCTAATAGTTTAATTTTGTGAAGAGTTGTCATTAAATAGTGGAAATAGTTTAAATAGTGAAGCAGTTGATTTTTGAGTTATTCTACCAGATTTGGTGTGCAAATGAAAGAAGGTTATAAAGTTTAGTTAAAAAAACAATATAAATAGTTTATATAGTGAAGCAGTTGATTCTTGAGTTAATCTACCAGTTCCGATATCCAGATGAAATCGTGTTAATGGAGTTTAGTTAAAAAACAAGATACAGAATGTAAGTTTACCTTCTTTTTTATGAATAACAAAAATGAATATTATATTTCAAACAATCTATAATCCCATTCAGAATCTGATTCTTGAAAATCAATGATTACACTAGATATGTGGCTGGTAAATTATATCCTACATTTCAAGAAAATGTCGTGGTTCTAAAAAGAACCGTTTTAATACATATAAATATCCATAAAGGTATTAGTTTAAGATATTTCCTTAATATCATTCCGGAATTCACAATCTGAGTCGCGAGCGACAGAAACTGAAATAAAGATAACTCAGCCTCATTTTCTAATTGAAACTAATTTAATAATTTTAATATTAGTCTTTTTTCATTCTCGGTATATCTCGGAATATTTAAAATATTTTTATGACAATAAATACAGAATTTAATTTTCACTGTAGTTAAAATGTCTGAAAATACTAACCTGGAATGGCAATTATCATTTTATCAGTTGTTGTGAAAGTACTGTCACTGTCATTATCAAGATCATCTGTGTCAAATTATATTTATATGCATAATTGGATATCTATTTAGCATATTCTAAACTCCAACCAATTATACGTTCGTAAGTAGAATTCGCTTTAATATGCGAATACCCGTAAACGATACCTAATTTTCTAATTTCTATGTATAATAATAAGCGACTCACGTTTTTTTCTGTCACTTCTAGCTTAATGCGTTAGAGAGAATTCGAACAACTATGACGCACTGAAAAAAGGGTTTGGGACGGACCGTATGAATAAATATTTGCAACTAAAGTAGCCGATAACAATGACCGACTCTTGTTTCCGGAATGTCAGTGGTTTACGAAAAAATTCTTTTGGTACAATAATATTTATTATAATAATTATATGTACTTACATATTGTACTACATATGTACAATAATTATTTATTTTCGTTGTTATTTATATTTGAATAAAAGATACCTGTAATAGTATATTATGTAATAGTATATTACAACGAGAGTTGTAAGAAGCTTATTACATGCGAGTAAAAAAGTTGCGCGCGAGCCGTGTAGTGGCGAGCGCAGTAATTTCACAAGCATGTAATAAGCTTACAACTCAAGTTATGTACTATACTTTTTCTACGATTATTTTCGTTTATAAAAATAAAAATTAAATTACCACTATATTTACACTGACAGATTAATAATTTTTAATCTGTCAAAATAACGTATGTTAATTCGTTTCCATGGTAACTCGACCAACTGACTTACGAGGCTTATGTGATATTACACATTTTTATAAAACTGAAGCGTAATTTTTTTTATTACGTGCTAGTCATTACGTGTCTGTTATGATGCATTTACTTAGCATCCAAATAGTACGTAATATACAATTTACTAGTAAGAGATTAGAAAAAATATATATTTTACCGGTACGTAGTTGAACTTCGCAAATAACTGATGTGACTAGATACAAAATATTAAAAATTAAAGGAATTTATTGATTTACCAAAAAGAATACAATAACTTATCGACTTACCATATAATTACCTGTTAACATTAAAATATCGGGGAAAACTATATTCAAATTAATCACCTGTCAAATTCACGTCGGATATTGTAGCTAGTAATATGACGTCAGTTCCGTCGTTGATCAGCTACATGTAAAAATATCAACATGTTCCATGCTTAGCATACTACATCGTCTAGGTAAGTAATGCCATTTACTATTTTTTTAGTATGATTAGTGAAATAGCTTAGTAGTTAGTGCGCGAGAATTTTTTTAATTTACAATGCCCAGGAGGAGACGACCTGATTAAGGTTGTAGAAGTGGCAAATGTGTGACGAACTAAGTCACGTGCTGACCGCACTGATGAGCAACAAGACATAGAGAATGAAAATAGTCGTATTGTCATGTCCACATTGCGTTCTAGAGTGATAGAAAATGAATTGGATACGCTTAAAATGGAACGAGTTCGTGCACATCGAACAAAACAATAGCGAGCTCGATACAATGTCAATTGTGCCACATAATTTTTGAATTCAGCAAATTCACGATAAACAAATCGCCAGGTAAATCATTGGAAGTTTCGAGAATCAATTTGCAATTTCCATGTTTTGCGCATGGACAATTATACGTCGCGTTTTCGCGCGCCGGAAAACGTCATCGATGTATATTTACGCACATTAAAAAATACCAAAAATATTTTTTATCAGAAAACATTAAATTGATTAAACTATTTTTATACAGAATGCTTTTGAGTATTTTTCTTTTTGGGTTGTCTGTAATTTTTGATATTTGATATCTGCACGTACTATTGTGATATTTATGCGGTGTTTAAATTTTAACTTTTCGTAATTTCGTGTTTTTTTTAGCGAAGTTCCAACTTTTGCTTTTTCAGGCTTGAAACCTGCCTAATATCGAGAAATTCTTGAGTCAGAGCTACAATCTCTTATATAATATTTATAGATAAAGAGGTCGTTTGACTGAGTAGACATTTCCACACAGATTTGAAAGATCTACTGTATATAGGCTTGTTGAACCTCTTCCTTGCTGCACCGCTCATGCTCGCTCGCTGGATTTTTTATGATCATTCTTGTCCGTCAATAAGAATGGGTCCGGAATGAATGGTTACTTCCGACAAAGTCCCGCATGTCCAAAGAAAGTTAATGAAACCTAGGTGTCACCTGCTTCCTGTAGTTGAACCGTTCTTAGCTTTGAATCGGTAGAAAACATTTCGGAGAATTAGCAACCATGACTAAACATAAAGAGACCCCTCTACAACAAGATCTCACGATTGTCAGAAGGGTCTTATTTAAGTTTTTTAACCATATTTTGTATTCGGCGTTTATTGGTCTAGGGTCATTTAACGGTGGCTATCCAATTCCTAGATTTTTATTTGATTCTCGTTGGTAGACTTTTGACATATTAGCCTTGGACACAATTCGTCTGTGTTTGTTCTTCCAACTAATTACATCAATTATATCGGGCATATCATGGGTTATATGTTGCCTACAATGTTTAAAACAGTCTTGTGATTCCATCGCTATGATGGCATATGAGCAAACTTGAGAAGGTCACATGGACTTTTTAGTACTAGGAAGATAATGATGATGATGATAGGTCTGGGTTATTTCGCGAGAACCGGTACCCATTAAAGCACAGCACAACTACACAATAACTATAAATTTTAAAAGTAGATTAGAGGATTTCTTAAACTACTACTTTATCATAGCAAACACTTTAATCAAAATGATACTGTTTAAAATAAAAATTATTCTAACATGAAGCTTCGATTAATAATTTATTATATAAATACAAAAAAAAATATTTTTTTACTGAATATGTTACAAAAATACTTACTGCTTAACTGAAACAGCAGACCATTCAAAGCATAGAATTCGGCCGTCATCTCCTTGGAGAAGTACTGCATTTTTGTTCTACTGAGGACCTCCAAACCTTCGTTAATATCATTTTTGTTCACTGAAGAATTCTGCAGATAACATTTTACTTGCTGCCTAACTTTTTGGAAACAATCTACAATCCGAACACTTGAAATACTGTAGATTTTATTAAGCGATTCCAAACACACGTTTACCAATTTGTGCTTTCTGGCTATCTTTCCAAAATGAATGCTTGACTAAAAAGTATATTTGAATTTTATAAAACACTATTGCGCAGTAAACAAATATAAAATTATATATAGTAATCTGCAGCTAGAAAAAAACCAAGGCTATTACTCAGAAAGATTAAATCTTTTCATATCGCGCCGTGATTGGTATTAAAACTTTTTAGATTGGATCAAGGTAAAGAAGTAAGAATCGTAGCGCTGGTTTTTCCTAACTGAAGAGCACTATATTACTGTTTGGATGCCTATTTCCTAATTTTAAACAATTTAAAACCATTTGTGTGAAACACAAATTTTAGTTTTATTAAGAAAATTAATAGTTTTAGATAATAGAATTGAATAGTGATTAAGCGCAAAATATCAAAATAAGCTGAGCTGAGAAATCGTACATGATTTTACTAACTCATACCTGAGCTGAAGCCGAGTGAGTAGTTGAAGCGTCTCTTTGGTTGTCGTAATGGTTGACAATGACTTGGTAGTGATGTTGACGCCATGTGAAAATATCATTCCAATGAACTAAATCATCTGCTATAACTGGTAATCTATTTCGCCAAGTTTTTACAATAGCCTTCATATCATGAAGAGAATTGTGATGGCTCTGTAACAAACCTTTGTGGATCTGGTAAGCTTCTTGAAGCTCCATAATCTGTTGAGCAGCCTGGAGGTATGGCAAATGGATATGACTTACAATATGAGGAAGTCGTCTCCATTCGTTTAAACATAAAGCACTGGCACTTTCTACGTATCGCTCAACATATTTTAAAGGTTTACTATCATCTGGCTGACATATTACTAAAAATCCTCCATACATAGTTATTTTCCAACCTAGTTCTTTGGGACAAGAGTACTCTACATTTGCAGACGCCTCTTTCATTAAGTCCCAATTAGGTATTCTCCATGCACTTTCTAGAAGCAAGTAAGGATCATAACATCCATTTTTTGCGTATTCCATAAGAGTGTCCCATTGATTAAGCTCTTTAGCACACCTAAAAACGTACAATATGTCATATTAATCATTTTAAACGTATCTTTCCAGATCATACGTTGGTTAAATATTAGTTGTACAACTGGAAGATATTAGCTGGAGAGACTTACCAACCCAGATAACGTTCATATAAGTAGGATATGGAAACACGGATTAGTTGTGAATAAAACGGTCCAGTGGAAAGAAAATAAAGGATGTAGAGTGACAAATAAATAAAGCTGATATAGTTACAGGAAGTTTTACAGATCCAATTGGTAGAAAATCAAAATCAAAAGTAAAATATCAATCAAATAATCAATCAAATGTAATGATTAAAAATAGCTGACATACTGTAAAAAATTATTTTAAATAAGATTATATGGCAAACAATAAGCAACTTACAGGATCGTTTAAAATTTTTATTAGTCAGAAAACCAGATGAGGCACTAATTTCACATGGGTTCAGAAAATATGTTAGAACGGTGTGGGGAGGGGGCGGAAAACTTTAAACACCGACGGTATTTATACCGGGATATAAATGCATAAATCTCTACTAAATACCACTACAACATACACGGATAAACTGGCTCCAAATTAGCAAAACACAAACAAAATAGTATAGCTATATGAAAGAACAGACATTAAATTGAAGCCCAAATCACTGACATATATGAGACATTCTACTTAAAGTTGGCGGTCTCAATGTCACTGAATAAGAAAAAATATATATTAAAATGTTGAGAATTTCTTTAAATATATCTAAAACCATAGAATTTTGATTTGATTATTCAAATATTGTTTATTTATCACAATACGGCAAAAACTGACTGGAAAACGGAAAGATACTGATTACTAGAATAAAAAAGATAGCTCGTAAAATGTATCTTTTGCCTCTTACCTAATCCAATGATCATTCCACAACAAAGTTTCCCTTTGAGTATGCATAGGGACAGGACCCATGCTGTTATCGGCTTTATGCTTGGCCATTGCAGCCTCGTAAGCGGCTTGAGCTTGTTCGAAAAAGCCATGCTGCTCATAAGCGATTGCAATACTGGTCTCTTTATAGTGAGCGTGTCTTTGCCATAATCCAGCCCAGCAATCTTCTTCACATAGTAGGTGGTAGAGTTCTCCGAGACAATCCAGTAGTTCCTAAAAATATTAAGTTTACAAATACAATTATACCACATATAACAATAGTGAGTGATGTGGTAGTATAACTTATCTTAAAAATTATTAATGTTTCAATATATATACTTATATATATATATATATATATATATATATATATATATATATATATATATATATATATATATATATATATACATTAAATGTAAATTTTTAATGGACTAATATTATGAAATACTAACTTCGTTAATGTGGTACGTGCCACTCAAAATAGGGAGAGAGAAATCGTAAAAAGGGCAATACGATCTCTGGAAGAAACGCAACATTCATGATCACTACGCGTCTCTTAAGAAGTATAAATCAGAAGAAAGGTGTGGCGATACACATTTACAAGTCGCAAATGAATTTTGGTCAGCGTTAAATCTCTTTTATGAATAATTTTATCATAGCACAATTCACTTTTTCCGTTTTTAACACTACGTGTACCCTAACTGCTTCAAACGAAGCAGTTAGGGTACACGTAGGACGAAGGACGTATAGACGAAGTCGTGAAATTATCAGATCGCCTTAGTATGATTTAATCATTTTTTAAATACCTGGATCTTTCAAGTTTGCAAAAAAATTTGAAATAAAATGTGTATGTAGTATGTATGTTGAGATTGCAGTGGTGTTGTTTACAAAATATCATAATTAAATATAATGAAACTCACAGTTTTTAATGGCTCTCCCTCAAACTCATAACAGCTTGCTGGATTTGATGATTTAGGCACAGACATCTCATATGCCATTTGTTCAAGACCGAGAGCCATTCGGTGCCACAGATTATGAGATTTGCCCAGGTAAGTCATGAGGAATCTAAAATAAAAACAATTCAATAACATATATCTGAAACAAACTTTAAAAACCAGAAAAACAGATTAATAACTTACGGTGCCATCTGAATGTGGTTGGTGCATCTGTATAACGCCTCAACAAAAGTATTAATTGCACTAGGATGACAGTCTTTCTGTATTATATGTGTTCCAGATGTAATGAATGGTATTATGTCTTTCTCTAAGATCTAAAAAAATAGTTGAATATACAATGACATTATGCATACTATTTTTATATAAATAAAAGGGGTTAAATGCTAAAAAAAAAGATAACCAAAATTATTGAAAAGTCAGACAAATCGAGAATTAAAAGAATTGTTCAATGTGCAATACATGGTGCTAGCTTCTCCAATAACATCACAACAATTAAACTTATGAGGCTTGTTGAATTGAAACACATCTTTGACCAAAAAACCAAAGATATATTCAAATCCAAAGATTTGAATATGTCTTTGTATATATATTTGCCAATAAAAAATTATTGGCAAATATATCTACAAATAATTACCACTAGAATTAAGGCACATATCCCATTGTTTTACCAACCGATGAATACTCTGCCTAAATAATTCTTGTGGCCGTTGCTCGAAGAATTCCTTTACAGTACGTTAAACTTCTTACGATTGAATGACTGAAACCGATCAACTTTTAACGCCTTTTTCAGTGGCTCAAAGATGTAAAAATCGCAAGGCAATAAATCGGGACTACAGGGTGGATGCTCTTTGGTAACCTGAAGCCTATCATTGTGGTGCAGAAAAATGGGACTATGTGAGAGCTTCCCTGGACGTCTTCGTCTTATTGCATGCTGGAGCTTGTTCAAGGTTTCATTATGCAGGTTTGCATTGATATGAATTCTATGTGATGTAAACTCTATGAGACAGAATCCTTCATTGTTGATAAAAAATTTTTTTTTTTTTACCACACGCTGATTACATTTGGACGGATTGTTAACAATTTTTACGCCATTTTTAAGTCACAATACTTAAATCGCAGTCAAATAAAGTGTGACGTTTACAAACATAACTAACATTGTTTGCAATGATAACCTGACCAAAGATGAGTTTCAATTGAACAAGCTTATACTAGTCACACTATCTAAATAAAAGCATCAATTAATTCAAAACTGCCTTTGACGTTCTGTTAATTCTTATTTCACTAGTCTAAATAATATACTATGCCTACAAAGTAGTGAAACAATTAATGCGAAATTATCTAGACAACGGGCAATTCCTTTATATGGATAATTTTACCAGGTTACCCTTTATCTAAAATGTTGCTGAACAGAAATACTTGTTGTACAGGTATTTTTCCTAAGAACCGGAAAGGTGCACCTTTGGATGTCGTAAATGCAAAGTTAAAAGCAGGTAAAACAAAAAGTAACTACCGCAATAATATTATGATAGGCAAATGGCAAGATAAGAGAGATGTGATATTCATTTCTACTGAATTTAAAAATCAACTTGTACAGGTGAAAAATAAAAGTGGTGTGACATCAAGAACAACCAGTGCCTATTGTTCAATACAACAAATTTATGGGTGAAATAGATCTCCGAGATCATCTAATTTCATACTATACAGTGACACGAGCGACATTACGATGGTATAAAAAACTTGCCATCCACATTCTTCAGCTATACTTGCATAATGCTCAAAATCTTTTTAACAAATATTCTGTTAGGAAACTCACAGTAAAGCAATTTAGACTTGCAGTTTTGGAAAAACTGTTGCCAATAACAAAACCCTCATTGCCAACATTAACGCCCCCATTTACAAGTAATGTAGGCAATATTGGAAATGTACCTGTCAAGATTGGCCTGGTCAATGAGCAAGGCGGGACTCTCAGAAAAAATGTACATGCACAAAGAAGGTGCACAAAGATACTTTATACCATTGCGCAGCATGTGTAGAAAAAACTGGTCTCGACCTAGGCGAATGATTCGTTGAGTATCTCAAAAAGTATTGCACAGTTCATTTTGTTTTAATTTGTTTTATTTCGTCTTTGTTAAATAAATTTTTATTTTCACAAATATTTGCATTATTTGATTAGACGCTCAAGTGCGCCCCCCTCTTATTGTCTGACAATCCTACAAATATTCGGAAGACGCACATGGTTGCTTTGCAAAAAATTTAAAAAAACATTATTTTGGCTAACAATGGGATATTTACAGACCATTAAGTAAAAATTTTGCACTTTTCGTTAAAAAAAAAAAATACCTTCGCATGGGCTATTCGTACTACTCTTATTTGTATGCCGCAGATAAAAGAGTTAATAAGCAGAAATTTATAAGAATATTTTTTCTTACCGTTCTTTGTTCTGGCTCGAGAATGGCCCACAATTTTGGAAATAATGACAACCACACATGCTCAGCTAATGACGTGTCCATGTGGCACAACTGTGATGTAGCTAATAAAAATCTGTCAGTGGTAATATTTCTAGCAATTTCTGTAGATTCGTAGTCCTTTTTTAACATTTTTATTGTCTCTTCTCTTATAACAGGTTTTTCTTCTACCAAAGGATTCGAATCTATGTTACTTAAGTCAACGTCGAGTACTTCCTCTTTAATTTCGGAGGTATAAAAGTCTGGATTTTGGAGCTGGTGTCTGCTGAATTCTTCGCGTTTTTGTTTTTCTGGTATAACAGACGTTATAGCAGGTAATATGCTACTTTCATGAGACATTCTAATACCATCGCCTGAAATTCGAAAAATTATGAAAGTAGTTTAAACTATTATAAATATTGTAATAGAATGCCATATAAATCACATGAAATGTACACAATCAAAGACGGCATCAATACATACATTTCAATTTTATACACAAATTAAACAGGACAAATCACTTATGTAGAGTGAGTGAAGCCTAAGTTAAGAGAGAGAGAGTGTTTAGAAAGTGTCCTGGTAGAGTGAGTTAAAATGTACTATACTTTTTGTAAAATAAATCTTCACTACAGATCAATGTATGTATCAAATGAAAGTGCTCGATTTGGGGATTAATTTGGACATATTCACTAATTTACAATAGTATATAGCTAGTAATGAAAACAGACAGATAATACCACAAACAAATAAAACTTATGTGAATTTATCACAATACATCCAAGACTTTTTTAAATAAACTTACAAACGTAATACTTCTAGTAATAATGAAATAAAAACTTACCTGGTAAAGCTGTAACAAGCAAGAGTTCAATGCATTGCTTAATCCAATAATGAGGACCGATTGCATCCCAATTTTGAGAACAAATGATGTAGAGCAACCTATCGTGAAGTCGTCTGGGCATAGCTTCATCGAAAACTTTAAAAAACTTTGCTCTAATGTGAGGCTGAGTACACCTTAAACCTGCTAAAAACGCTGGTTCCAGTTTAGAAGTAAGTTCGGTTGCTTTTAATTGTTTGTCACTAGAACATATTTGCGATTAGCGAAAAAAGATCCAATTATATTAAGGCATATATCGTAACACGAAAACGGTAATCTGATTGCTTATAATATCTTAAGTCAAGATGGACCTGTGGTTCAAACTGAGGAAATGTGGCAAAGATACGAATAGCAATAAATAATAATTGATTCAACGAATAAACAATATTTATTATATTAGAGTTACGTAAAATAAACATAGGCATCACGAAAGATCGAGGTATATGAAAGTCCTCAATTAGCAGATACATTTAGACATAACCTTCCATTTTGCTATAAAGCAGTTGCTAGATATTTGAAAAAAATACACTTATGTCACTAACCTAAAAAATAATATATTGCATAAATATTTGGATTCATTTACTATTTAATTGCCGATTTCATAATAAGCGAATTCTTCTAGGAACACCTGTAAATTTAACATTGGCAAGTGGAGAAAGCATTAAGAGAGACAGAGACAAATTGGTTAACCTATTTAATAGAATTATGGAAGTTGGACAGATGCCAGACGAATGGAGAAGCAGTGTACTATTATAGTACCTGTCTACAAAAACAAGGGAGATGTACAAACTATAGTGCAATAAAACCACTTAGTCACACCATAAAAATATGGGAGAGAGTAATTGATAGATTGGATAATAATGGATTCGTGAAATACCGTACCGAAATATCTGATAATCAGTTTCTCTTTATGAAAGGCAGATCAGAACAGGCGACATTTTCATTATAAGGCAGTTGATGAAAAAATACAGGAATAAAGAAAGATGCACTCATATGGTATTCATTGATCTCGAGAAAGCATCGAGAAAGTTCGTCGGAAGATTCTGTGGTGGGCACTCAGTAAGAAAGGAGAAAAATATTTGTACTTTTTTATTATTAAGGATAGAATAAGGATAAAAACACGGCCACTCGTTTCTGGTCTAAGACATTTTTATTAAGACAAACTAGACTAGGTCACGGGCGGGAGGTATTAACAAATGGGGTAAAACAGAGGTTTGAATTCTAATTACATAATGTTTGTAAATACACATATATTGTGAGAGACATGTATAAGGGAGTAACAACCAGTGTTAGGACAGGTGTGGGGGAGGCTGATAAAATTCATGTGAAAGTAAGATTGTACCAAGGCTCGGTGCTTAGAACTTACTTATTCTCATTAATTCTGGATCAAATAACAGCGAATCTACAGGGTAATATTCCGTGGTGCTTAATATATGTTGATGATGTAGTGTTGGTAGGAAATAGTGAAAGCGACTTAGACTAAAAACTGGAACAGTGGAGACAAGCTCTTGAGGAAAAAGGTACTAAAACTTAGTACGACAAAAACAGAGTATTTGGAGGTGGAGTTAGTACAAATATAATAATAAATATTTGGATAGTGAAATGATTGTGAAGAGTAATAGTTTTAAGTACCTAGGATCGGTGTTACAGAGTAATGGGGAATAGATGAAGATGCATGAAATAGAATTAAGGTTGGGTGGATGAAGTGGAAGGAAGCAAGTGGTGTGTTGTGTGACAGAAAAATTCCAATGAAGCCGAAGGGAAAATTCTATAAAACAGCCATAAGAGCAGCTATGATATGCGAAACTGAATGTTAGGCAGTTAAAAGAAGAGGAACAACAAAATGCATATGGTGGAAATGAGAATGCTTAGATGGATAAGTGGAGTGATAAAAAAGGATAAAAATAGGAATGAGTATATTAGGGGAAGTCTAGGTGTGGCACCAATTGTTGTTAAGATGAGAGAGCATAGGTTAAGATGATTTGGTCACGTTCAACGTAGACATGTTAATCACCCAATAAGGAGAATTGCTGATCTGCGGGTTCCTGGAATTAGCAGGAGAGGAAGACCAAAAAGGCTTGGGCGGGGACGCTTAGGCGAGACATGTCAGTAAAGGGTATTAATATTAATATGACACAAGATAGAAACTTATGGAGAAATGTAATAAGGGAAGCCGACCCCGCATAGGGATAAAGGCAAAGAGAATGATATATTTTCCAGAAAAGCTTTCTATTGTTTAGATGTATGTAATACAGTATATGTCATATAAGCACGATATGTAAATCTTATTATTTAAACTGGTAAACAACATAATACTATAACGTCATTTCGAGCTAGTCTGGTCTTATCAGATACGGGTAGTTGTATACAAACTCAAATACGAAGACCAGAAAAACGTCTTCCGAAATGTCCCACCTAATTGACAAGAGTATAAAGGTTCCATCTACTATGATGGCCATGAACGAAAACAGTTTATTAATTTTATCGTTTTGGTCTTCTGCGCTACACGGAATGTGCAAAATGTTCATCTTCTAGTAATGCTTTCTGTAGCTTAGATGTGGTAAAAGGTTAGGGCATAGTAAAAATATAAAAGACTATAGAAAATCTTTTATAATGGATAAACCGGGAGATGTAAATAAATTAAAGAGAGACCACATGGTTGTATGCACATATTAAAAAGACTTTTAAGAAAATACTTACGTATAAACATAATTAACCAGTTCTAAAAATTGAGCATTTAATTCATTATCATCTTGAAACCGTTTTTCAACATACTGCATCATTTTCACCAATAAAATTGATTTTTCTCGTAAACTCGGAGCTTGATTTAGAGTAACTACATTTTTGCATTTCATCCATTCTTCCAACATCTAGAACATCAACGAAGAAGTTAAATTGTAATTATCAAAATTAAATATAAAAAATAACTAAAGCATTTTCTACTTACTCTGGTTATGAACTTCATAACCTTAATATCTTGCGTTCTTTCTATCAGTCCAACCAAAATAGAACCAATAAATGTTTTCCTCATTTCAACTCCCATAACCACCACCCTGGTTTTTACTAAATCCAAACTCAATATTAATAGTTCGCTCGTCAATGCGGTATTTTCGCTGGAATGGTTTAGGTGCTCCCTTGATAACTTGTTAAGAACCCTCATGAAGGGCGTAATCAAAAGATCTATGTAAGAATGATTGTTTGCACAAGCTGCTTTTAGTATCATTACAGTGCCGAAAAGGCTAGAAGGATTTTCTTTCTTTTCGTAGCTACTTAGACCTTAAAAATAATTGCAGTTACACAATTGCTTACAGATAATATTTATGACATCAGGACAAACTCAGACAAGACAATTACAAATATAGCGGGTAATTATACTTATGATTATAAAAAGAATAGACTAATGATGTTTGGAAAAGAAAAAAAAACATGGTACACAACAATGTCTAAAAATAAATATAACTTAGTAGAAGAATAAAATAATCGACAATAGACTGTCGCAATTTTGCAAATTGTATAAAAAATGTAAGAACTTTACCTTCAAATATAACTTTTCCCACAGTAGCATAAAGAATGTCAAGTTCTTCGTATTTACAACTCAAATTCGTATTTGTTCTTTCCATTGGGAACAAAGTAAATAGTTTCGTTAGCAGATTGTGGACTAGTTTAATAATTCTGCTGTTGTTTGAAGTTATGCATGCACCAATTCCTCGTTGGAGTGGTTTAAAACTAGCTAAAATAAAAAAAATGTGGCTATTTATCTTCAGTTTGAGCTTTCGTATTGCATAATACGTACTTCATAATAAATGGTTAGTATCTGATTGGGAGATTTCAATGATTAAATACGCATTAGAGAGAACTTCCAACTCCTTTTTTGAGAACCGTTTGGTGTTAGAAACGTCATACATTATTATTATTAGCGGCCAATGTGGTGCGCCACAATAATACAGACAATGAAAAAAATATTGTACTTACCAAGAATTTGTTCCTTTTCAAACACAGTCAAAATATAGGTCAAGAGCTCCAAAGCTGTACATATATTGGCGACATTATGGTTAGGGGCTTCAATTGATGTCAAAATCTTATCAAAAAATGCTAATTTTAAATCCACTGGTTGTGGCCAAATGTCTGGCCTTAAGGCAGTTTTCAGTAGAATTACACAACGCCTTGAAAGTACTTCTCCTGGACTGTTCGCAACCGGATTCATAGGATTAGTGGGTGCAGGTTCGTTTACCTGAAAGTTAATGTGCTCCAGTAATATTGGAATAATCACGAAGAAATATAATTTTATAAGAAATTAAATAAACTAGAGTTATAGTTTTTAATAAAGTATATTGGCAAACAATTACTCTCTAGATGCACAAACTATGTTCAGACATTTCCTATATACCACGAAAATATTTAGCACAGCTTGACTGTCAGAGACAATACATATTTTCTACATATGTATCTAAATAAATATTAAACATATTTATGTCATACTAGTTCATTATTGTGTTTTTATTGTTTGTTGCCAACTACCCAATAGTATATTTTATGCCTGCGCGGGCATAAAGTGCACTTTATGACCCGCACAAGCATAAAGACAAAAAAAATTTCTTAATAACATTTATTACAATTACAAAATATGGAATTAAATTATTATAACTACATATCATTATATAGTGAAATTCACATAAAACTGGCATCTCTCGGAAGGTCCGGTGATGGATAGATTTGCCATTTTCACTTTTTAGGTTTGACAGCCGCAGATGTTTATTTATGATCATATATGACACCAGTACAGTTATTATGACCTAAAAGTTTGTATGCAGCGTGGGCATTAATGGATGTGTATACTCTCGGGCGACTTACAAACACTCGGGCCAGACGCCTAGAGGCTCTCGTGTTTGTAGGATAGTCGCCCTCGAGCATAAACATCTATTTAATACCCTTGGTACACAAATAACTATTATATACACATGTACAATAATTACAAATAGGGAATAACATACCTGGCAAGCAAGTCTCAACAAAAAGTTTAAGACATTATCTGTGTGCGTCCTATCGATAGGTTTATTAACGCTAGGTTCTGTCTTTATAGCGGGCTGGGGAGCATTAGATGGTCCTGGAACCGCCAACTTTTTTCTACTACTTTCAGTACTTTCCTCTATCGATGGACGCTTAACGGGTGGATTTTCAGTAGTCTAAAAACGGATATCATTTTGAATTATTTTATATAATCAAATATCATGTTTTGTATCATTATATTGGGAAATTTTACAAAAGAATTTTTTTATTGTCGAACTCAAAACCAACATACAAAGAGCTGCTAATTTAACAGGCTATTGATAAATAGAACACAAAAACTTCATTATCATCATCGAGTAGTGCGACTATTTTTTTGCTTAAGATCAAAATTCTGAGTATGTTGGAAGTCAACTTTTTTTCACAGAAGATAATTTTATCCGCAAATATTTGCAATTTATCAAACTTTCGGCCTCCATATTCAAGTAAAGATAACGTTTTGCCTTTGATCTTTAAGTCTTTGTCTTTAAGTTCCAAACGGATACAACATCAAATACGCCACGACCCAATAGGGATAATAGGAAACGTCCTATGGGTATATATACCTCAATCAATAAATTACCATACAGTCGAACAATGACTGAGTCATCATATGGTAAGATTTGGTCTGAGAAGATTGGGCTTCCCAATCCCGTGATGTAACATAAACCCCATAAATTGTGAATGCATGGTACGTAGAGAAGTGTCGTCTAAGCGATGATCCAGAGAGCTGGAAATCTCCTCCAGGGGTGCCTGACAGCATTTCTTCACGATTCGTGGAAATGAAAATGAATCCATATCTTTAAAGCTTTCACAAATGGGTGACTTTTCTGAATCCATAAATAAAAATGTAGATGGAAACAATAGAAGTGCGACCAAGGTACCGGCTCTATTTCTGTCCCAAATAATCAGTCAGTCTCAATGACCCCTATATTCGCCTACATACAGGCCAACCTTTAGCTCAGTAAGTCAGTATCTACAGAACTTACTCTAGCTAAGGAGGGGTTCAACGTGACCTTAATACAAGAGCCTTAGGTGCACTAGGGCCAAATAAAAGATTCATCAGGTGATGACGGAGAGCTTATATATAGCAGGTCTATCGAAGTCCTGAAGACTTGTATAATTGTTCATAGAATATGTAAAATAAGCCAATTGGCTGCAGAACGAACGATTTGGAACTGGCAGTTTCCATAAAAAATTAATTATAGCAAAGTCACGCATTGACGAAACCGTATATATAAAATTTGGAAATCCCCAAAGATAACATAAAATACAACATACACATAGTACTAATGATTAGTTACTACAAAACCATCAAAACGAATAAAATATTTTACGTTTTTTTAAGAATATAAATTAACATAAAATTGATCTGATTATAAATAATAAAAATATAAGACAATGTCGTCTAAAGCTGTTTTTAAACGTTATCCAAAATGAATAAATATAAGTTGAAAAAACTTTTCTTCTTAAAGTCGACATATATTTACCTCTGTACTTTCGGATTCTTCTTTGATACCATACATTTCCCATTTAATAATAACTTCAGCTAACTCAACAGCTAATTTTCGGTGTTCCAAAGTAGCTGTAGGGCTAAAACCAAGTCTTTGAATTGAGCTCACCATATGCTGAACCAGGTGATGTCTAACTGGGTAATAAACCTAGAAAAATATGTTTTTTAACACTTTTTTTTTTTCACAAAAAATCTAAATTTTATACCTTATAATGCTTAACCACAAGTTGTAAAATGTGGAAAAGTTGTTGCATAGAGTGTCCTTCATCAACAATAATTTTCTTTGTCCAATGAGTAAGCATTGTGTTGCCCTCTTCCATTCGTAAAGGCATGGAAGGAGTAAGAATTTCCAAGGCTTGTCGTACTACATTTCTAGCTTCTATAGCGTGGGCTTTTAATAAACTGTGGAAAACTGAAAAAAATGATAATAATCAATATTTGATTTAATATTAGCACAGAAAAATATTTAAGTTGGTATCAAAAACATACCAGCATAGACTCTGAAAGCAATGGGCGAGATTGGCCTGAGAGGTGAATCAACCTTTATCCCTATCCATAAGAAAGGATCACTAACCGTATGCAGTAAGTATCTGCCAAGACCGACCAACCTTTTTTATGTAAAAACAAGGTCCGACGAAAACCCTAACAATAAAGTATTTCATTATTCATTTGCGCCCAGTTTAGTTCAATGCAAGTTATTTTGAGAAATGAAAACAGTTACAGGTCACTCTGAGAGACAGAATTAGAAATGAATAACTCACGAGATAAAACAAAAGTAACTGATGCAACAGAAAAAAATCACATGGCAAGAATAAAATACGAAAGATGGAATTGAAAATCATAAATGGAGACTGGGATAAACAAAACAAGAAGAGGAGCACCCATAATGAGATGGCATGATGACCTAAAAAAAGATATAAGTCAAAAAGAAGAGGCAGAAATGGAGAATGGAAACAGTTAAGGAAGGCCTATGTTCAATTTTGGATGTAAAAAGGCTAGAAAAGAAGAACATTAAACATACTAAATAAATATATATTTTGTTTGTACATATTAAACTGCCTATTTTAAGTTTTTTATCTGATAAATCGTTTAATTATATAAAAAGTATAATCGCGCCACTGTTTACCTCTTCAGGTACAGTAGGTACACATCGCATGCGCGAAGTTGGATTATCGAACATGGTTTTTACAGTACATATGTAACGTATGTACTATAGGCAATGCGTAAATCTACTAGATCAGATTTTAAACATAACAAAAATTGTAGAAAAAGCCAGGGGATTCAACTCATACAACTCATACAACACGTTGAAGATAAAAGTTTGTAAGACAGTCTCCAGATTAAAAAACAAAAAAAAAATGATAGTAGACCGACATAACCCCAATAATATAAATATAAAGAAAATCTATAACATAGAAACAGTTAGCACTTTCACTTATCTCAACTTCTTGATAACAAACCAAGGGGATGCAGTGAAAAAAAAATAGAAGAAGAATTGCACTGAAAGAGCAAGCAATGACAAAGATTTGGAAAAGTCATTGTATAACGCTTAACACCAAAGTACGAATACTTAAAAGCCTAGTATTCCCTATATTTCTATACGCATCTAAATGTTGGACATTAAAACAAATATACAAAAAGAAAATATATGCCTTTAAGATATATTGCTGGCGTCGAACACTAGGAGTGTCTTGGACTGAAAAAAAAAAACAACTAATTTATGAATCCTCCAATAGATCTACATAAAGAAAAGACTACTACCATACTACCTGAAAATATTGCTACGTTCTTCGGCCAAGTTATTAGAAGAAATGGCTTGGAAGGATTTACTGTGACGAGCATGGATCACGGAAAAGAAGTCTAGGAAGATCGCTAACCATATATACAGATCTAATTACGCAACTTACAGGCAAGACTCTACCACAATCAATAACAATAGCTGAAAATCTAGACAAGAGGAAACACTACAAGATATTTCACGAAATCACGATGCTTGACAATAAGCTACCGACTAGGAAGAAGACATAAAATAGCTGTAGATTTATTTGAAATTAGGTAATTTGGGAAAAATCTGAATAGACCAGGACGACGAACAACTGAAAACGTTTATATTTTGTTTAAATTCTGCACAAATGTTGTCTGTTCTGAATTCAAGCTCCCGAATTTTAAAAATAATCTAGACTCCTTAATGGTTGGATGAACAGAGCAACGAAAATATAATAGTTCTTATTCTTTGCATATGTCGTCTAGGGTGTTTCGTGTATAAAAGGCAAAGTATTCCCTGCTTATGTCAATCTCAGATAGGACTATGAATGCTTTATATAGCGAGCCGTAATTAGGACTAGCTAATTTCTTACATAACAAAATAAAACAACTATTGCAGTAAAGTAAAAAAGCAGCCGTAGAATCTTAAGGAAGTTGGCTAGGCCCCCTAACCAACTTCCCCTAGTGAGGGACTGTCCTGAAATTCACTAATATTTACATATATTTTAGGAATTTTCAGATTAATTGGCCAATAGGAAGGCATTCAAGGCGGGGCGATGCACATCGGCGTGCATAATGTTGTATATTCTTATAATGTTTATGGGATTGCTTCCATCAAGAGTCCATATGGTGGAACTCTAGGGGTAGCTTACCCCTTGCATGTGGTTGATTAACTTGAACTCACTGGACACTCATAATTACTTTTTTGGTTCTCTAAGTACAATTATAGAGAGAGTACCCAGTTGACGGATGGCAACACTAGCTTCGACTGTTAACTCTTCATTCTTAATTCTTAATAATAATAATCTACTCCCGTTATTTTCCAGCTATTTAACTAACGTGCGTTTGTTTATACAATAATGTTTACCGAATATAATTTGTACACATTATTTAATAAGTTTTGGATTACAATGCAAATTTCACTAGGTCAGCGTGTGTTCTGACCTAGTGAAAGGACAAAGTTCTGACCTTCTGTCAGCTAGGACACCGATATTTTCAATGTCATATACAAACAATCGCGTTTAGCAATAAGCAATTATTAATGTTATTAAAGGATTTCAAATTTTTAAACTGAATTGTGTTACTTAGATCTGGTGCTTAATCAGATAATAATATATGAGACGCAAATATTTTTACCGGAGTTGATATGAAAATATAATGCAAAAGTGTACTAAATTTTACTTACCTTGTAAAACAATTTTTCTGTGTATAGCAAACTTCTCTATAATATGAGAAAGCAGTAAATGACCGTGATATCTAGTAGCCGGATCTATACAATTTTCGACAAGTAAACATGGCCAAGCAAAGGTCATTAGTCTTCTCAACTTAAAGCCTTGAGCGTTGTTACTCGGATCATGATCATGAATATGTGGACTCGCTTGTTCCACGAGAAGACATGAAAATTGGAGAAGAGAGATCCTTACACAATCTGCGGATGGGAATGGATTGTCTGAATCAATTAGCTAAAAAAATGTTAAATGAGCATGGTTTGTCTAATCCAGACTTTTTATTTTTAAGATACAATAAACTAATAATCTATCAACTGACAATCTATCAAATAAAATCGTAAAATTTTTCACTTTAACAATTCACAATAAATATGTTTTGTTTACATAATTCTGAACAATTTCGAATATTACTAAACTTACTCCAATTATTGGAAATATTGGCAGTATTAGTACATTTTGCAATATTTTACTATTATTACAAGATAGCTATAAGGTTGTTACAAATATCGCTACACTTACCTTGTTTATGAATACAGAAACAACATTATCGGTACTGTCTTGGTAAGGCATAGGTAGACCACCTACAAGTTTATTGGTTTCTCCTCTCTCAAAAGCTAACCGCAAAGCAGGGAATAAGGATTAGTTGTAGAACTTTCGCTTTTAACTCCTAAAAAATTAAAAGTTGACGAATAATTTCGATTGCAATTTAAGCATTTCATTGCAAAGTTTACCAAGCATAAAACACTTAAATTAAAAACTTTAAAAAACTAGTCTATCGTATTATTCTATAGTAGTTGATTTGGATATAAGTTTTTTACTTTCAGACATAATTATTGTTAGATATTTTGAGGTGATGAATCTTTCTCCCAAGACCATGTGATTTACAGCAGGCGTGCTTCTGTGGGAAATTATTGTAAAATGATCGGTGATAATCTTCAAATTACTTCAAATTTTCTAATAAGTTTTCTTACTTTAACATATATTTTTTGACGAATCAATAATATATAAGACTATGGCGCACATTATCGAAATTCTTTTGGTTGTAGATAAAATAAATGAATACCTACATCTTTTCTCTGATCGTAGCACGTTTGTACCAGGAGTTGCATACAAAATAGTGCATACTAACCTACACTTAAACCAAACAATGCAATTCTCCTGCGAACATGTGAAATACGTTTACATCTTTTATATATTCTTTGATGGATAACTTTAAGAAAAGCTTTAAGAAGGTGGCTCATGAGACTAATAAGCCTCTTGGCCTTTGATTTCTTAAATTAAATTATCTTTGAATTTTATTGAAAGGTTCACACAAGATCTTCCTATCCTTCAGCTTCAGCACTTCAGCACATTGGTCCGAAAGCTGGTAGACATTTTTGGGTAGGTATTTAAGGAATTCTGAATAATTTTCAGATACCTCTCCATAATATTATAATATAGAAATACAGACCTGACTAGAGGGTATCGGTCATTTAACAACCGCTAGACTAAAAAATCTGTAAACATTTTGATTACAAAAAATATCTTTGAGACAACCTGTAATCTTTTTAAAGTAAATTTAAATATTCAAAATAAATGAAAATAAACAAGCCACGCGATTGGAGGGTTTTAACTCCGCAAGATGCTTGCAAAGGTATTTTGCAAATAAATATAAAAAATATGGTTAAGGCAAGTTGTTATTTTGATAGGGTATTTTTTAATATTAATAAATATTCCAAAAATGACAGGTTATTTTCGTGAGATTTTCTACCTGCCTGGTGATCAAACAAATTTAGCGTGCGTGTGAGTGAAAAGCGATATAGGTACGCTGCAGAGAGAGCGTATATCGACAGTTGTTTGCATTCTCGATCACAGCGATTCCATTGGTTCGAGCAAAATGAGAGCAGCAGACTTTGGAATTAAAATTAACCCAGGAATTAAAAAATTATAGAATTTAAGCAGTTTTGTAAAATATTTATTTGAACATTTTTCTACAGATGAGATAATGCCTTTTATTGGTAATTCATGCATAAATTTAAATTATGATTCATGTTATACGTATATTGTATATTATACCAATCATGTATATTATACCAATGTTCTTATTAAAACTCTCCAGTAGCCATCTGGATATTTATATGTAGTATGATACTGGAAATTCGAAAAGAAACATAAATATAGCAAAGCTACACACGAAATTGGAGCCATCTTTATGTGCGAGTTTGCCTGCTTTCCACGCATTAACTGGATGTTATTATAATCTGTCTTTTTTTTCAGAAAATTTAAACTTTTTCAGTCTTTAAAATATTAATAAAAAATATAATTTATCAGAAAGCATTAACGGATCTTGGAGTTGTCCCCGCTGTCGGTTAGCGGGATGAAATTTTCGAAATTTTGGAAGAATTTGTGTACTTCGAGATTTATAGTAAAAAAAAAAATGTATCAAATATAAATACAGCACGATTTAAAACATTGTTCACAAATTATAAGGCTAATAAGGAAAATGGGCCTTTAAAAAAATTGTGATCGATCTATTTGCTACGTGCAAAGATGAATTGAGACATCTGTTAAGAATAACAGTATATTATGAGTATTTGGCGAAACAAATTTTTGCGATTCCTCTTTTTAAACACCTAACGGAAAAGGATGAATTTTAAATACGGAGAAATTTGATTTTCATTGGTTTGAGAAAGATTGTTTGCCGCAATCAATTTATGATGCTATCGTTCATGAGAGAACCAAAGAGAATTTCAGAAATATTGCTGAAGGTAAGCTTACATGTTCTTGATATAATTGCAGTCTTCTTTTTTTTTATAATTCAATAAACATATATATATATATATCTTATATATATATTATATATATATATAAAACTATTTACAGATCATACAGAGGAATCCGAGTCTCGAGGAAAATCCGAGGAAGAAGAAAATGAGTTTCAAGAAGTACAAAATTCGGACACAGAATTAAAATTGAATTTATATTTTTATGCTTTTATATATATGTATTTATAATAATAAATTTAATTTTTTCTATTCATATTTACAAATTTCCATTTTACTATTCTTTACATAAGAGTACATAATTATCTTTTTACCTATAAAAAAATATCTGAGAAATCGTAAAAAACATAATAATTACTCCAAAATTTTGAAGCACAACAGCATAGGTATCGTCACGTCAAGTGATTTTGCTCGGGACAATGGAATTGCTGCGAACGAGGACGCAAACAGCTGTCGATATACGCTCTCTCTCGCACTGCAGCTTACCTATAGCGCTTTTCACTCACAGGCACGCTAATTTCTTTGATCACCTGGTACGTAGAAAATCTCTCCAAAATGACCTGTCTTTTTTAGAATATTTATTTTTAATATTAAAAGAATACCATTTCAAAATAATAATACAATATTTTTTGTATTTATTTGCAAAATACTTTTGCAAGCATCTCGCAGAGTTAATATCCCTCGAAAATCGCCTGGCTTGTTTATTTTCTTTATTTATTTTTGTAATAAAATTTTGTACATTTTTTGTAATTTAGCGGTTGTTAAATGGCCGCTAGGCTTCAGAGATGGTCTGCATTTCTGTATTAGGATAATATGGAAGAGGTATCTGAAAAATTTTCTGAATGCATCAAATACCTACCCAAAAATGTCACCTCCTAGTATTTATGTTGTAGCCAGCTGTTTTTGCCATTTTAAGATGTAAAATGGCATATTCCTTTTCTGATTCAAGTATATGTGGTCCTGTAAGAATTTTACTTATACTGCCACTGTCGTTTTTTTTCTATGAACGATTATCAACAAATATATCTTGTATATAGTTCTTCCAAGTGTTCTTGCACAGCTCTTGAGGGTCGATTATAATTATGAGGCCGTTACTAACACAACTGATACTTTTTTAATTTATTTGTGAAAATTGTACAAGTTATGCAACTCATGCAAGTCTTCTGCTTCTTGTACTTATCAGCTACCCATTTGTTTTTCACTCGTCCTATTTTCTGGAGAATGCTGTTTTGTACCGTTTTGTTTTTGTTGGTTATTATCGATTTTAGTATGTCTTCTTTTTTCCATCAGTATCACTATATCTTAGGTCATCCAGGATTTTTTGGCTTTATTCTTGTCTTGGTCTACAACCTTTTCTGTGGATTTCTGTAAAATAGTTTTGGCAGTATTACAAGCTTCTTCCACATTTTAAGTGCACTTTCTTTAATTTAATTTCTTCCGTTTTTTGCGGTATTCTCAGTTGTCGCACATTAAAATGACAAGCGATCGAGTTTTGTTTTAATAATTTACACTGAAGTCTAAAATTTGCTGGATTGTGATCGAAACTAACGTCCTCTGTAGTTATATTGTTCAGGCATCACATGTTTATTAGAATGTAATCTATTTGATTTCTTACTATGTGTTTGGGATTGTCTTGTGGAGATTTTGAGATATATGATCTCAATTGCAGGTAGTTTATAAAAGTATTCTTAATAACGAAACCTTCTTCAGAACAAAATTGTAACAACTTCTTCCAACTTACAAAAGTCTCAAAACGCCTTAAAAACATGTTACCATAAACAACAAAAAAGGGGAATTACAACTTAAAAATTTAGGTCCTGATAAAAGATCCCCTATTTTTCTCTACGATATTCGATTTTGTTATAAGATACAAACTGATAAGACATACATTCTATAAAAAACTGTCCATTTATTCTATAAGCTCGATATTGATTAGTATTTAGTGCATTTAGTGTATGTTTAAAGACCGAAACTTACCTGTGACATTTCATTTGATGGAAACAGCTCAACAAATCTAAAGAATGCAGATCGTTTCCACTCAACAGTATAATTTTTGTGCCACTGTATTCTCCAAAAAGTCCCTCAAAAATTGGAAGTCTGGTAAAAATCTATCAACAGTGGCTCTCAATAATTGAAACAGAAGATCAATATCTGTAGGATGATGGCAAAAATAGTGAAGTAATATCTTAACTACAAGTTTTGGTTCCTTCCAATGTGTATACTCCAAGTGTTCAATATTTTTATGCCTTTCTTGGTATGAATCGTCACACCATATCTGCTTAAGAGCGTCTACTAATTCTTGTTGCGTCGACAACCATTGGTCATCAAACTTTATCAACAATGAAACGATTCTTATGCTTTGATATTGAAGTTCGTTCCTTTCGTTTTGTTCTAGAAGTAGATTTACGTAGTTAGACAACACCATGGTTATTAGACGCTTCGTCATATTGCTCTGCATAAAATCTCTGAACGGTTTACCTTCTTTGTGCTTTATTAAATATTCCAAGTATCTGCTGAATTGCTTATCTTTAATATATTTATCGCTTAAGAACATCGTTAATGTTTCTCCTGGGAATCTGAGAAGGAATTTCATTAATACCTCTCTGAAAGGACTGCTTGCTTCTACTTCCATCGCTTGTTCTGTTTCCAAGATTAGCTGACACAATTGATTGATAAACTTAGAAGACGCAGCGGGTGTTTGATGGAAAACACTTATAATAGTCACTATCTTCTGTTCGTCATCTCCTTTTTTGGACAAGCCATTGCCTTGATTATTTTTATAATTTTCTTTCAAACTCTTCATCAATTCATTTAAAAATGCTAATAGTTGTTCGCACAATTTTTCTTTAAATACGTGTGGGAACAATTGCGTTAAATAAGACAGCATTTTTACTCCGTTTAAAGTAAGCGTTTTGACATCACCCAATGTCAATAATAGAGGCCTCACTGTCGTGTACACCAATTTGCTATCTATTGGATATCCAGCTTTAAATTGTTTCATACATTCAAAAGCTGTTTCTTGTAATTCCGTATTTGGTTTCTCCAGCGATTTATATAATACTTGGAAAATATCTTCTCTAACTTCGTCTAAATAATAGCAGGCGGCCAATACTCTCAAAGCACTTGTTCTTAAAGGAACAAAGTTAGTTATAGATTTGTAACATGAGAAAGTGTTTAGCTTGTTGTCTTCAGTATTACACAATGAGATAAGATCTTGAATAAATAAGCTGTGCTCTTCTATGCTCATATCTGAAAAAGATGAATAATAAATCAAAAATAAGATATTCAAACCAAAAAATATTAGTACACGTTTTGTAACAAAGGTAATACAAAAATATAAAGTGAATTATGAATATTAATATCATCAATTTTATGTATTTTTAGTATATTCAACCATATTTGAAATATATTAGATAATTTAGATATTATTTTTGAGATTAAACTACATTGATTGCAATGAGAATTACATTTTACATATTTTTTTATGCTTTTCATTTCCAATCCGGAAATTCTGAAATAAAAATTATTAATTCATAATATTATTAACAACAAGAGAAATCATAAGATTTCCTACTTGGCGAAACTGAATTCAAATCTTTACCACTGTGCTTTTTACAACTTGCAAAGTAGACAGATTTGCCGACGAAGTCATCATACCACTGTGCTTTCTACAACTTGCAAAGCAGACAGATTTGCCGACTAAGTCATCAATTGATGACGCATCTGCAAGCAGATGAGAAGCAGAGACCTAAAGAGGTTGAAATACGTATAAGCGGCTTGCCACTGCTCTGCATCGAAATAAAAATCTAATACGGTCATTATGTCATAATTATTACTTCAGATATAAATATTTATGAATTCATAATTTTTATTTCAAAATCTTTTGAAAACAATTTCCGGATTGGAAATTGAAACGTCAAAGCGAATGTAAAATGTAATTATCATTAGAATCAGTTGTGGTTAAACATTATACAAGAAAACAGTTTCAAAACCGTTTGAGATAATGCATTGAGGAAAATAAAGAACAAAGGGTACAAAATGATTTAAAGTCTATCATATTCTACCCTATGGAAATGATGTATAATTAATAGGAATTATATTTTGTAAATAAATATTTATTTAAAAAAAAATGCGAAAATAAACGAAAAATCACTTGAAACCCTGTAAAAGAACAACAAAAGAAGCAACATATAACATACATTCAATGAATAGAAATCATAACAGAAACAAATGCAATAGGGGAAACCAGTATTGAGAACATATGGATAAGCTTATGACACGATTACAGACACAGGAGAAATGAAAATAGGAAAATGGGAGACACGAAAAAAAGAAACCTTGAATGACAAATACAACGATTAAACATAAAAGAGATACGCTAAATTAAACCTCTATAAAGAAGTCGATAAACAGATAACAGTAGCAAAAATAGCAATGAATGAAAAGCAATTTGGGAGAAGTAAAGAAACTATAGGAACAACATAAGGATTGCGAATTACATCACAATATTAAAGATGGAAACCTAAAAACTCTCACTAAATGAAAACGAGAACAAAGTAATACTCTAACAAAAACGAATATAAGAAAAAGACGCAAAAAATTGTTTGGAGATCACAGATCGGAAAATAGCTAGCCAATTAAATATAAAAAGAATTTTACTTTGGCATTTATTACTCTTGCTTTTACAATTATTCACTTACTCTTTTCACATCAAACAATACCTAAGAGCTAAAACCATAACGTAACAAAATAATAATAAAGGAAGAAGATGTTACACTAGCTGAACATTTTAAACCTTACGTTGAAACAGCAACTAACCAATTAAAGTACCCGTTCAGCGGGATATACGAAATCAAGACTCTCCGCAAGATTGGTTAAGTTTTACCTATTTAGACATTAAAAATTGTTACCGTTATCATACAATCAGGTGCACAAAATTCAATCTATCACATATTTCTCATTTATTGTGAGTTTTAAAAGTTAGGACTTGTTAATGGCATATATAAATTTAGAGAAACTATCTAACTTTAGAGAAATTTTTATACATTATTTTTAAATGTTTTATGGCATTTCTTAAAAAAATAGGAACCCATGTTTTTGTCAAAAATTTAAGTTCGATATGAGACACGAAAATAATTTGCTATCGTACCAATTTTAAAAACCAGACCAATTTGGTATTAAAACGTTTTGAGTTCGATACCAAAAATTTAAGTCGATATGGGACACGAAAATAATTTGCTATCGTACTAATTTTAAAAACCAGACCAATTTGGTATTAAAACGTTTTGAGTTCGTAATCTTTAATTGTATTAAAATGACAACAGCCGTGGCTTTAGTGCAAGATGGTCGTAGCTAATATTATGCCGGTCAGGTGCTAGGTGTAGGTCGTTGCTTTGTTCGCCATTCAGCGATTCAATCAAAACGGCAACTACACTAGCAGATCACGATCAGGTCATAGGAGAGCAATTGAAAATAATCATTCAATAATTTCAAAATTTCAATAATTTCAAAAAATAAACTTCAATTGAGCTCGACTTGCTTTTGCAAAGGAACACAAATCTGGAGAAGACAAGGAGAAATATTTACTCAGTGCAATATTGCCAACAGAAATACCTATCGAGAAGGCTCAGTTCTTGTAGATGGAGGTTCTATGGCAGGAGCCGGGTATATAAAACCATTTCAGATGTGCATGTGGTACCTTTTGCGCCATTCATAGGACCTAATTTTATTTTTATGGACGATAACGCGCGTCCCCATCGTGCTAGAATCGTCAATGGATACTTAGAAGACGTGAGAATTGTCCGTATGAATTGGCCAGTTGCCAGCCCTGACCTCAATTCAATCGAACATCTATATGACACACTGGGAAGATGAATTCAAGTTCGGTTACTCAGCCCACACACAACTTGCCTTAGCTTAGTGCGGCTCTTCAGACAATATGGGACGAATTGCATCAATTTTATGTTCAAAATTTAATTATCACAGTGCCAAGACGTATTCAGGCTGCTATAAGGTCAGAATAGGAAATATTTCTTCTTCTGACCAGAAAATCCATCACCTTCCTGGTAACCGTTTTACTTCTACTTTGTATCTACTTCTACTTGGCATCTCCAAAAATATGTCTTCTCTATAAAATAAGCATGGATCGATTTTTTTGCACCTGAATGTATTTAAAGAAGTAAAATCTAATATTAAAAACTTACTAATTGTGAATAACCGAGGACTCAATGTAGTACAGAAAGTATTGCCATCCATCAGAGCCATCTGTGCAATCGCAGGTTGATGTTTGAGAAGGTGCTTTTTGGGAGGAACCATATCCGCCAAAACATCCTTGAAAGGTTCCATCACGGCAGTAACGGTCTTGTTTTGTTTTTTCGCTAATAATCTTAAAGACGCCATGGACTAAAAGTGAAGTATATTACTATAGATACAATATTGACAAATAATATATTAATTTGATACAATGTTTGTTCTGTTTGTAATACTTTTATAAGTTTCATAAGTATGCAAAATCGAGCAATTAAAGCAGTTAATCGCAAAAGAATAATAAAATAAGATGTCACGCATAAATCTAAATAGATCAGCATGTCAGTGACGTTTCGAATTCCGTTATAACTAGTTTTAATAGTTTCTTAATATATTCTACAGTGTAGGAAAAAGTTTATGGTCGGTATGGACCTTACGTGAGATGGAGTGAGAAACAGCTGTTTAGAAAGAGAGAGGTATATTAGGTCCGCCCTTTATATCGCCGAACATGCAAACGTGGAAATAATAAAAAAGGGGAAGTTCAACGTTGCCAAACTTATTGGTTTTATTTGACCTGTTGTCTTTTTTGCATTTAAACAATGTTCTAAGATAATCAAATTTGGGCGAAATTGATTTAAATGGCAGCTTACTATTTTTTTTATTGGGAATATGCCACAAGTTTATTTTACAATAAGTGTAATATAACATTTTGATTTCCACGGTAATCGTTTTATATAAATAAAATTTATTAATGTTTCGTATTTTAAGTACAATTTCCGAATTAAAAATCTAAACATCAAAATACGCTTATTTTAAAGTCACATTGTGCCTTCTTCCCAATATGAAATAATAAAACTGCATACAATAACGCCAGATTAAAAAATATTCATACACAATAATTATTTGACAACGTCGGTCTGGTCAAAACAACGAGTAACGGGTAGTAGAGGTGGGTCGTGGTAGTTTTATCGTTAAGAACGTAGGCACAAAATTTAGGGCCAATATTTTTTAAATGCATTCATTTTTTCGAATCCTGAGAAAACTAATATTTTTGAAAAATTTAAACGCAGAATGAAACAATACATTATTACCGAGGGCCGAAAGTCCCTGACAACTTCTATAATGTTTATTTTAATAAGTTATAGGGTGAAAAAAAAATTAGTGTTATTTTTAATTTCAAATATCTCATTCAAAAAACTTTTTGTTTATTCTAAGGGACTTTCGGCCCTCGGTAATAATGTAATCTTTCATTTTGCATTTAAATTTTTTAAAAATATTTGTTAGTTTTCTCAGGATTTCAAAAAAAAATGAATGCATTTAACAATTTAAATTTTTCGTAAACAAGTAACTATGATTGTTTAAAAGTAGTTTCAAGTAAAAGAGTACCTACATAAACAAACATAATGGTTATTATCGTTTATGTGTATATTTATTGAAGTGAAAGAAACTAATGATATATTTATTATACCTTGAAAAATAAACTAAATAATACAAATAGTAAATCGTACTTACATTTACATTACACGTTATTATTAAATCGCGAATAGTCTAAATTGACATTAAAAAACATAAGTGTTTTCTACTTTACTTCTTATTAACTGTGTTCTTTTTTTATTTCAAATTAAACTAGATTTTGAACATGTGTTCACATTGACAATACTTTATGAATATAGTGGTTAAGTTAGGATATACATGGCGATGGTTTTTCCACCGTTGTAATGGACTCTCGATACAGGTGTACGTGTAGATGAGTCATCTCCAATTAATTGATCAAATATACACCATGGACTTAAGTCATCTTTATTGGTTTCTTTTTCTTGTACTGGTTGATTTTCAATAGTACAATCTTCTAGTTCGTTAATTATAGAAGTAACCAGCTTCTTAACTTTTTCTTTTATTTTTTTTAGCTTCATTTTTATCAGAAAAACCCTGCACTTTAAATGGTGAATCCATAAATGTACATAATGACAATGTGCCACTCTGTTCTATCCCTTTAAATCTTTTTGCTACACCCGATATTAGTAATTGTACTACGTCGGATACTATGGATGTAAGGTTACCGTTTGCTAAAATTTTATTGCAAGATTCTTGCAGGTAGCGTACCATAACAATCACTAAACTACCCTTCAAGTATTTTTGGTCACACATTGTACTTGTTATTTCTTTAAACGGCCCTAAAATTTGGGAAAGTTGAGAACAAATAATTCAGTGTTCTTTATTTAGATTTGGTCTACGTCTAAGTCTATATTATTTAATGTGGAATCCGATGTGGAACGGATTGCTTCTAACTCGGTAACTCGGTCATTCTTTTTAACATGTAATATGCGAAGTTCTACCTAGTTTCGACGTCTTGGATTGGCCGTTTGGGAACTTTGTTATGTTGTAATTAATACTTTAAAAGCCTTTCGGAAGATCAGGTACTTTTTTTTAATTTTTTTTTGCAGAATTGTCAAAAAAGGACTTTTTATTTTATCTATTTGTACACGACAGCATTTAAGTGCATCCTCCACCAATAAATTTAACGTATGAGCAAAACAACTTAAATGTTTTCATTCTAAAACATCTTTAATAGCTTTGAACATATTTGAGGCATTACCAGTTACTGCAAAATTTACTTTTCGTTTTAGACCCCACTGATTAATAATTTTACTAATCGCTGTTTTCTGAATTATGGTTTTCAGAAAAATGTCAGCAGCCTAATAAAACCGTTTTAAATACTAAATTTTCGGTTAAATATTGTCCTGTTAATGGGAAGTAACTCCCAGTTACTCCAGATGTCCAGAGGTCAGTAGTAATACAGATATTTTTTACTTCTTTAACAACTTGTGATCTAATAATTTGCTCAGTTTTGACATAACATTCCTGAAGTAACGAACCTGACAGTTTTTCTTGTTGGCGGTTTATATCCAGGAATCCACCCTGCAAACTTTTTAAAAGCTGGTTCTTCAACTATGGAAAACGGATGAAACGAGTCTTTGCATAAGTTTAGTAAATCTTGAAAATCAACCAGTACAAGAAAAAGAAACTAATAAAGATAACTTAAGTCCATGGTGTATTTTTGATGAATTAATTGGACATGACTCATCTAAACATACACCTGTATCGAGAGATATAAAAGAAGTCTACGTGTATTTGTCTGATGATATATTACCCACAAAAAATTTCGAACGTAGATTGGAACTATCCATAACCGTGGTAGAAAAACCATCGCCATGTATAACCTAACTTAACCACTATATTCATAAAATATTGTAGTATTGTAACAAAATCTTTTCCTTGTGAACACATGTTTAAAATCTGGTTTAATTTTAAATAACAGAAGAGCACGGTTAACAAGAAAAGTGGAAAAACTTATGTTTTTAAATGTCAATTTAGACGATTCGCGATTTAATAATGTGTAAAGTAAATGTAAGTACTATTTGTATTATTTAATTTATTTGTCAAGTTATAATAAATCATATCCTTCGTTAGGTTCTTTCACTTCAATACTTATACACATAAACAATACACTTATACAATATGTTTGTGTACTCGCTAATTTGAATCAACTAGTTACAGTTTACGAAAATCGGTTCCGATAAAAATTTAAAAAACGGGAGGACCCACCTCTAGTTGTTTAGGTATATTAGGATCGGAACCAGAGAATATGTAAAATATCTCGATCGGAACTATTCTCACTAATGGGCAATGAGTGTTAAACATATTTATGGAGGGGAGACCAAGGAGAAATATGATTGTTATATTTGTCTATTCGCTGAAAATATGATTTTATATCTGCGTTCGATATCCTGTTAAATTTTACCATACCGACCATAAACTTTTACCTACACTGTATATTCTCAGCCAAGAAAAAATAAGCGAAATTTATGAGCACGACGTGACAATTCTTTCAATGGTGTATTAATTAACTGAAATATTATTCTAGTATACGCATACTACTTTTGATTAGTACTTACCTGATTTCTGACCATAGTGTGTGGACTCGTAACTTGACGTACCAACTCATGGGTAACTTTATTCAATGCTTCTTGCTGTAAATTTCTTGTTGCTTGATCGGACCCTTCGGGAGGAGGTGTAACGCATACAATAAGCATTTTTTGCAGATTTTCTTTAGCACAATCAAGTGCTCCACTGGAAACTTCGCCGGTAAGATCCATCATAACGAACAATAAAGCTTTTAGGAACATAAACATGTGCTCGTAAATCCACTTGAGCGCGCAACGTTCGAACATAAATTTGATGGCTATACAACCACCTAACTTGGCATACCAAGCGCGTTCATAACACAGAGCACACATCTTTTCGGAGAGGTACTCAATTAGTGGCAGGCGACATGCCTAAAAATTATTAAAATTATTATAGTATAGATGTTAAAAATAATATCATAAAATTATAAGTCAGATTAAATCACAATAAGATGGAATTCGAAGAACTAAACACATATGAACAAAAAGAGAAATCATACGATTTCTACCTGGCGAAATCGAATTCAAATATCAGCCACCGTGCTTCCTAAAACTTGCGAAGCAAACAGCTTGATGAATAAATCGGCAAGGGAATCTAAATTGCATTCCAAATGCCGTTCATCATGGCCAATATTCGTAGTGAATTCGATTTCTGGTACTCCAAACGAAGTAAAGAAATAAAACACAATGACGGTTATTTTGATTCGATACAGAGCAGCTACAAGCCGCATATACGTATTTCGACCTCTTTAGGTCTCCTCAGTACGGTATAGCCACTACTCCGTATCGAACCAAAATATTTTCCCGTCGTAGACCATAGTTATTAAAAATAACTATGTACAGACGTAACTACGCCATCTAAGAACAAAAAGAGAAATCATACGATTTCTACCTGGCGAAATCGAATTCAAATATCAGCCACCGTGCTTCCTAAAACTTGCGAAGCAAACAGCTTGATGAATAAATCGGCAAGGGAATCTAAAATTGCATTCCAAATGCCGTTCATCATGGCCAATATTCGTAGTGAATTCGATTTCTGGTACTCCAAACGAAGTAAAGAAATAAAACACAATGACGGTATTAGATTTTGATTCGATACAGAGCAGCGACAAGCCGCATATACGTATTTCGACCTCTTTAGGTCTCCTCAGTACGGTATAGCCACTGCTCTGTATCGAATCAAAATCTAATACCGTCATTGTGTTTTATTTCTTTACTTCATTTGGAGTACCAGAAATCGAATTCACTACGAATATTGGCCATGATGAACGGCATTTGGAATGCAACTTTAGATGCAAATTCTCTTGCCGATTTATTCATCAAGCTGTTTGCATCGCAAGTTTTAGGAAGCACGGTGGCTGATATTTGATTTCGATTTCGCCAGGTAGAAATCGTATGATTTCTCTTTTTGTTTTTAGATGGCGATACTTACGTCTGTACATAGTTATTTTTAATAACTATGGTCTACGACGGGAAAATATTTTGGTTCGATACGGAGTAGTTGCTATACCGTACTGAGGAGACCTAAAGAGGCCGAAATACGTATATGCGGCTTGTCCCTGCTCTGTATCGAATCAAAATCTAATACCGTCATTGTGTAAACACATTATGATTTATAGCATCCAATGATATTAATGCAGCTTTTATTGCGACAAGTGTCTCAGTGCAGATTATAATCTTTCAACGATTCTAAATATCTTCCTAAAGCTGCAAACTTCCTATAAGTTCAGTTGTCTTACAAGAGTTAATTTATTATAAGTACGTTCAACCCAAACAATTTTTATTCACAAATATTATATACAAATCGCTTATCTCAAATTTATTTTAAATACAATTATATTGAAACCGCTTAGCCAAAATTTAGAGACTAAATATCTGGCTTATTTATTTTTTATTTTATCAAATGCTAAATTAAAGTTATTGTAATATCAAAATCCATCCAAAATATAAACAAATGAATAGATCTGTGCAAAAAGTAGCCATCCATATTTTTCTTTAAATTAGTTAAGTGGCAACATCTACGTAAACTCATTTGTAGTATGTGAGTAAGTTGGAAACCTGCAAAAATCCCATATGCTGAAATTCTCATCAATCATTCTTTCCGTGCAAGAAGTCGCTAAGTGCCAAAAAGCGTCTAAGTCCATAAATTTGACAATTTTTGCTGCTGTAACAGATTTCCTAACCCATAAGTTATTATTAAATAAAGATTCAACTGTAGCTTTCATCTGTGAATTTTTTTCGAATCTAGATTTTAAATTTTTTAGAACGACTCATTTTGATGTCGAAAATATTACTGGCGCTAACAGTCACTGGGAATAAAGAGAAAGATATGCAAAAGTCATGCTGATATACATGAGTAAAATGCATACTTAAAATTTGTAGAAAATATATTTTTCACATAATTCCAATTTTTAATTTTTTGTTTTTTTTTTTTGTAAAAGTAGTAAAGTACGTATTTAAAAACATTTTTTTCTAATAAATAAACAAATTTCTAATTATGTGGCATGTGTTAATATAAAGCTTAAAAGTGAACTTTCTATTTAAAAAAATTACACACACTGGTTGTAAAAATCTATATGTGGGTTAAAATTTTCAAACACCCATAACTCAGAAACATAAAAATATGACAACCATTTTTTGCACTGACCCCCAAAATTTCAACTTGATTTAAATGGAATTCAAAGATTGTCTATTAGGACTTGGTCTATAAATTCTGGTAAATATTAAAGAACGTTCAACTTCTGCTGCGTTGTAAAATGCACCATACTATGTTTCACATATGACAATTTCGGATTTTTAATAAATTATTTTCCCATTTATGTAATAAACACATGCAGTAGATTAAAGAATATGGCGATATATTTTACTACAATTCCCATCATAATAGCATCTTATTAGCATTAAAACGTTGATTAATTTATGAAACTTACCATTTCTTTACTTCCTAAAAGTGTCGAGGCGGTATCTACTATCAAAACAAGTCCCAAATGACCAGGTTTACAAAGTTCTCTTTCTTCATGACCCATTATTATTGCTAATGCATCAACAAGAACAAGAGGATCTAATGTTACTTGCTTATTAGGCCTATAAAATTATTAATATATTAATAGTTATGAGGATGTTATTACAAACTAACTTCACAAATTTAGTTTTTATATTATAAACAGAAATATACCTCACATAAAAACATATACTTACTCTGGACTATATGCAAAGGCTCCAGACTGTTGTGCTACTGCAACCATGGTATAGTGACGAACCAAGGAAACCAACGCTGGGATTACAGTTTCTCTAAGTTCCTTTATGGCTGCAGCTACAAACATACCTAGAAAAAAAATTATTTACATTACATCAAGTTTACTGTAAATAAGACGACTGCACTGTAAAAAAATATCTAATTAGAAAATAGCACTAATAGCGTTAATAGCACATATAACATCTACAGACAACTATTTACGATTATAAGAAACTTTACAAATTTATTTTAAAATATCAGCGAAAATTTTAGGTTTTAGATAATAATTATTTTTGTACGATAGGTCCACCACCTCCTTCATATTTTTATGATACTCCTCGATGAATGAAAATTGGATATATTTAATCGAGTCATTATTTTCTATCTTGAACTGTTCTTAATATGTGTAATATTAATGTAATGGGACAGACATCCCACCCGGTGGTCAGATGACATCAAGGAATCTCGACGAACTGGTTGCAACAGCACAGGGCAGAAATGATTGAAAACAACTTTGAGTAGGCCTATGTCCGACAGTGAATGTAAACAGAGACTGCATGATGATGAATGTAACGCATTCATTCCTTTCCATTTCATCATATTCTTCATCCATAAATCTTTTTGAAATCTTTGCACTTTTTTCGTTAATAAATGTTATATTTATCTATTTGTCATTCAACAATGTACTAGATAGGGCTTTCAATAAGATGATAGTATTGGAATGGAAAAATGGGAATAAAAATTAGAACTAGAGTATTGAGATGCTACGTATTCTCTACCCTTTTATATGAAGTTGAAACTCGGACAATTGCGAATGCAAGTGCAAAAGACTTGTTAGCATTGATATTTGGTGTTAATGAAGAATGTGGAAAATATCATGAACACAACAATGACCAACTGAAACCGTAAGAAAAAATAAAAAAATAAAATAAATACTTAACACTATGGATGAAAGAAACATGAGCTATTCAAATCATGAATGTGTTGCTTGTGTGAGTCCATTTCAAATAGGTAAAGAAATAATAAATAAGACTTACAATCAATTTAATTTAACTATCACCGGTTTCGCTTTCTACAATATGCAAAGCATCTTCAGGTCTCGATACAAAGTTAAATAAATGCTGAAATGATAAAAACCCATATTAGGGTGTTGTCTAATAAAGATAAACAAATTAGATGTTGTAAATTACAATAATTATGCCAATATTACATGTCTGTGGTTTTATTTCAAAATGAGTAAATTGAATAAAAAGGTATAAAAGTTTTAAAAGTTTAAACAGACAAATCAGACCCACAAATTGTTAAAATAATAGTCGTATTATGATTAGTCTTATTTATTATTTCTTTACCTATTTAAACATGAGCTACTTTGGTCACGTACTAAGAAATGAAAAATATGAGTTGATGCGATTGGTTATACAAGGGAAGGTGGAAGGAAAAAGAGGACCGGGGGATGACGTTCGTTCTAGTTGAAAAACTTAACCAATAGAGTGGCAAAACAACAATTGAACTCTTCAGAACTGGTGAAGACAGAGTAAAACAGACCATGATGACCGCCAATGTTCTTGGATGAGACACACTAAGAATAAGATAAAATTAAATGGTAATAAGAAATATATAAAATTATAATAAGCTAAAGAAGAAAAAAAAGTATTCAACAATTAAATCTTCAGCATATTACTCATTATATATTACCTGTGAGTGCAGTCTGATGTGTCTCTCTGGCTTCTTTGTATATCGATTTATATGTAGATCCTTTGATATTTGGAATTGTATTTGGATCTTGAAAACCTGGATGCAAAAACAGATTGATAAGTGTGTTTTCGTCATCATCGAGACACCTAGAAGCTGTCAAGTAACAATTGATAACCTCCCAGGCTTGTTTTCTATAGAATGGGTCAGTACTGCTCTGCTTCAAAGCATTGAACGCAGTTTCTATCACCTGAAATTAAACAAAAAAAAATCAAATCTATTTTGTAAATAAAGTTTTAAAAGTATTATATTTATATTAAAGCAATATTTCTCAACCGGTGGTCCGCACTAAAGGCAGTCCATTACAGCCTCGGGAATGGTTCATTCACTGTTATATATTTTCATTTATATGGAGCTGAGACTTGGACAATAAAAAAATGTAATTTACAAAGAATCGAGGCCTTCGAACTCTGGTTATACCGCAGAGTATTGAAAATATCATGGACTGATAGAATTACAAATAAAGAAGTACTGGAGAGGGTTGGTAAAGAAACAGAACTAATCACCACTATACAAACCAGAAAACTGGAATACCTAGGCCACGTGATGAGGGGACTAAAATATGAAATTTTGAGACTCATAATACAGGGAAAGATTCAAGGAGGAAGATCTGTTGGCCGAAGGCAGAACTCATGGTTAAAGAATCTACGTGATTGGTATCAATGCAGATCGATTGATTTGTTTAGAGCAGCAAGTTCTAAAATAAAAATAGCCATTATGATTGCCAACCTCCGTAGAGGTTGGAGAAGAAGGTAGAAGAAGAATGGTTCAAGGGAGAGTTCGGTGATTAAAGTAATATTTATTCGTGATTAAATCAAAATTACGATGTTTATTGAACACGATTTAGTAAATAAATTAGTCCTGATGAATATAAGATATTTATTGAATTATTTTTAATATAATAATTATTAAAATATACCGTTAAAACAATCATAATAATTCTTGTATTATGTAGAAAATAAGCTTTCAACAACATTATAACAGGTGAACACCTGGTATGCTGGGGTCACCTTCAGGCGTAGCAACATTAGTGAATGAGAAAAACCTAACACAGTTACGATGCATTGGATAATTCACCGTTAAGCATTAGCATCGAAAACCATCTCAGGAGACTTCTTAAAGGCCATAAAATTTAACCATACAGATACTGAACTCTGTTACAGTGAACTCTGTTGCTCTGAAAGGCAGTACAAAACACAGATGTATTTTTAAAAATTTATGAGCAGAATTAGACTTAAAACACGAGGCACTAATAATTTTTCATAGATACGTTTGCATTCAAAAGGGAATATGTTGGCATACTTATATGAGTTAACAAGGACTTACAAGCGTTTTTTATTGAGATTAAAATTCAATATTTCTTGGAACAACTGAGTGAAACAAGTTTGAGATTCAACTCGCATCTCTAGTGGTTGTTTTTAATTACTTAAACCAATTAAATTTACAAATTCAAGGTGGAGGTTCTGGAAACATAAATTTAGGTAAAGTTGAAGAACAATTTTCAATCGTTCTAGAGTTTAAAGTTCTTGCTAACAACGAGGAATATGCTGCATACTCAGTCACTTATACAGACACCTTCAAAAACACATTTGCTAGTTATTTCCCAGAATATTGAAGCAGTGACACACAATATCTTCTTCTTCGAGTGCCTCCTCCTAACGAAGATCGGCAACCGTTTTGGTAAATTTTTATTTGTCATGGATCTTCCTCAGTAAATAGTTTGAACCCAAGCCTGTCGAACCGCGTACATTCTTAAGCAAGGAGCACTGTCTACGTCCTAGTCCTCTTCTATCTTCGATCTTCATTCGACGAAAAACTTCCAACTTGTGTCGAATGGTGAATGCGAATGATGTATTATGTGACAGAAATATTAGAAGGAAACTGAAAGGAAATTCTATAAAACTACCATAAGACCAGCTATGATGTATGGAACTGAATGTTTGTCAGTTACAAAAAGAAAGGAGAACAATGAATGTATATGGCGGAAATGAAAATGCTTAAATTAAGAATGAGTTTGACACAATATAAATGCGTTAGTATAATATATGGCAAATAGATGAACTTCTTTTCATTTGTCTCTGTACTTCTGCAGTAAAACTTATCGAGCAAAGAAAACCTCTCTAGTTCCCAATCCTTCACAATTTATAAAAAAGCTTAGTCGAAATCGTTTCAATGTGAAGCCTACAGATCTTCCTGACAATATTCAAGAGAAGACTATCGAACTTCAAAATGACAGCAGCTTTAAAGACTCGTTTGAATCTGATATAAAGCTAGAAGAGCTGTGGTGTGAGAAAGCCCTCGTCTTTACCAATCTTAAGCGTAAAGAAGAGGCTCTACATTTAAACAGATTTTGATCTCATTGTTACGACAGCACATCAGGGTTTACGACCGCTGCCGAGCCTTCTGCTGCAGTTTCAGACCAAACGTCAGGAAGAAGCAACTACAGTTGATGTTTCGACATGTAGTGTACGTAAACCCGCTGAAGAAGATCATACAGTGGACGGGAATTTATTCTGAGCAGTTCTCAATAAAGTTAAGTGGACAAACGTGATTGCCAATATCCACAGAGGATACGCACCAACAGAAGATTTTATAGGTATTTATAGAAGAATATTCGATATTTCAGTCGATTGGACCTAGTTGTTTATCCAGCTTTTGACTTTCCTGTCTATTTTTTGCTCTTTTTTTAACCAATTTTTAATATGTAGGTTATAATTATTTTGAGTTTACTAATTCAAATTTTGTTGACGGATGTCTTATCGTGTGATTTCTTGAATCTGAAAACTAATGTAATTTACAGCTTTGACCATGTCGTCTCTTTCTTATAAGGTGATTTCGGCGTACAAAATTTAAAATGTTGGAGCTACATTATACTATATAATTGATTTTATTTACCAATAAAGTTTCACAAAATAAATATTTTTTTTATAAACTTACCTTGGACACTGGGAATTCTATTTCTTGATAGTGATCATGGAATCTAGCTAAAATAGCCGGCGGATCAAAATCAGTGGATACGTAGTCCAATCTTTGGGGTTCTATCATCATTTTTCTGTTACCCCCACCAAATTTACCAAGGACCCTAAAATATTGTAAATTAATATTGCAAATAAAACACCAATTTGGTACATACTTAAATGCAACTTGAGCGACTTGGTCGTTATTTCTTAATGTTCTCCATAAGGCTTGCATTAACTCGGCTCTTACAGGTTGAATGTGCTCATACAAGAAATCGTGCTGTAAATTGTCAACACAAAGCTCAAGTGTTCTTAATCCCTAAAAAAATACCGAATTAATGTAGTAAATATAGTTAACATATCTAGATATTCGCCCCCTTCACAATTTTCAATTTTATTGCTATTTTTTGGAATTCCAAGAAAACTAGAAAGTTTCATAAATGACTGAAAAACTTTGATCATCATCATCCAGCCTCTATTTATCACGTCCACTGCTGGACATAGGCCTCCCTTAAACTCCTCCATTCCTCACGATTTTGTGCTCTTTGTTGCCAATTTTAGTGATACGCCTGATGTCGTCGGCCCAACGTGTAGGTGGTCTTCCTCTACTGCGTTTGTCTGCTCTTGGCCTCCAATTTGTAATTTTGCTCGTCCATCGTGAATCGTGCATTCTCGCTACATGGCCTGCCCAGTTCCATTTTAGTTCCGCTATGCGTTACTCGTCCTTCTTCGCAGATCTTCGTTTCTTATTCGGTCCCTCAACGTCACTCCCAGCATAGACCGTTCCATTCGTCTCTGTGCCACTCTCAGTTTCGAAGCCGTGGTCTTGGTTAAAGTCATAGTTTCCGCCCCATAGGTCATGACCGGTAATACGCATTGGTCGAACACTTTTCTTTTGAGGCTGATTGGTATGTTGGCCCTAAGTGTGTCTCGCAGTTTTCCAAAGGCTGCCCATGTTAAAGTAATTCGTCTTTGGATCTCACATGTTTGGTCAGCAGGGATAACCAAACCAAACCAAACAAAGACTTTGATGTCTTTTAGTAAAACGCCAATAAAGTATTTCTCTTACTTCGACATGAGCATAAAATGATTTACAATACATTTTTTATATGAATTTCAGCAATCCAAATAATAAGAAACACATATTAAGTATGAGTTGTTACTAGCGCATGTAAACTTATGACAGATTGACAGTATTCGCTGAGTATAATCTTTCCATCTTTTCGCTTGACGATATCCCCTTCTTCTTTGTGGAACTCAATTATTTTAACTTGACAAAATCTTCTGTAAACCCTGTTTCGGCTGTATTACTTTTTCTTTTATTCTCGTCTGATAATGCCCACATTTCTGCTCCGTATGTTATAGTGCTTTCTACCAACGATCTGAACAACTTTTTGTTCGTTTAATTTCACAAACTTTTATTCCATAGTAGGGAATGTAACTTTCTTGGTATAGCTTTACATCTTCCTCTTTGTTTTGTGAATCTGCATTAGCCTGTTCACCTTCATTTAACTGAAATCTATAATATAGGCAAAATTGTGTTCTTCTAATGTCTCCAGCATCGGTTTTTATATCCTTTGTATATTTTTTTCCTATGGTGAGATACACATTTTCTTAGCATTCATTTCAGGTCCCATTTTAAGCATTCTTCCAGTAATTTCCGTATCATGTAGAGTGCTGAGTGCATCGTCTCCATCTTCGGAAATGAAAACCTAATAGTCCGCAAATAAAAGAATAGATTTGCCTAGTCTCAATTCGGGCTCCCTTAGTCCCATTTCATTGTTCATTGTTTCAGTGCAACATCGAGCTATATTTTAAAAACAGTTGGTAACAAGCAGCAACCCTGTCTTAGCCCTTTGTTAGCTGAAAACATTTCTGAGCAGCCGTTCTGTATTTCTACATAGCTATAGTTTAGTTTTATGAACGAGAGAGTAATTAGCATAATTTTAACTGGTACATCCGACCACTCCATGGGCGTGCTCAAGATTAATTGAAAAATTACTTTGATAATTGTAAAAAATAAATGAATTATTTCAGTGTTATAAAGTGTTATGTGTATGTAAACAAAAGTGACCTCTTTTATCACACACTATATTAGAACTGACTGGCCTACATTAAAAAGGGTTTTAAAAAATTCACATTTTTTTTTAATTTTTAAAAATTACAAAAGAGAAAAAGAGTTTTTAAAACCGTCTAAGGTATGTTAAATAGATGAATAAAAATATTAATATAAAACTTACAGCTACTTGTTACAAATCCAAATCAGATTCAGAAGATGAACTTTCAGAACCAAGATTTATAATAACTGGCTCGATCATTTTATCAGTAATATTGTCCAGCTTCCACATTTTTTCCTCTTCTTTAATAGTGTGATTTACTGCCTTTTCCCAGTTTTCAGGTTTTACATTATTTACGGCCTCCAAAAACAACTGTTTAACATCATGAATTTTAAAAGTGGTATTTTTTCTTGAAACTTCACTCTTTATCTGTGCCATACCAGTTCAATCGGGTTTAATTCACAATGATATGGTGGGGATCTAAGTACTGTCATTCCACGATTTTTGGCAATTTCATCAATTTCGTATTTTTTAAATTTTTCTTTATGAAGGGCACACAACGAATAAAGTTCCTTTCTTATAGATCCGGGATGGTACGTAATATTTTTTGAACTCAGCCAATTCTGCAAGTCTTTTTTTAACCACTTGGTTGTGGGCAGTCCTTCTATAAGTCTGGAGTGATAACTTGCATTATCCATTACTATTACACAGTTCTTAGGAAGAAGATCTATCATTTGTTCGAACCATTCTTGAAAGACATCAGCGTTCATGTCTTCATGGTAGTCACCGGTACGAGTTGATTCAAAAGTTAATAAACCACCTTCAACAAAACCGTCTGAACTGCCAATGTGTACTATTATCAGCCTGCGTCCCTTTCCTGATGGTGGGTTTAAACCAGTAGATAAGTTATTTACAAAAGCGTGCCTTTGACTTGTAACAGTTTCATCCTGCCAAAATTTATTTGGTGTATGACCCTCGTTGATCCATGTTTCATCAAGATAAAATATTTTTCTTTTTTGGTTTCTCATTTCCTTTATGGTTCTTAGAAAATGTCTTCTCCATATGACAATATCGCTTCTTTCTAATAAAATAGACTTTCTGGGATTCTTTTTCCAGCGGAAGCCTATTTCTTTTAAAAGTTTCCATAACGTACTTCGACTCATTTCTGGGTAATCCTTATCATCTCGAACTGAGACAAGAACTTTATCCAATGTTGGAAATTCTTGTCTAAAGAAGAATTCATGCACTTTCCGTCGAAGTCCTTCTTTAAAATGATATTCTATTTGAAATTTTGGTTTCCCTGGAGCATTACGTGGCATTTGAAAACTACCACATTTCTCTTCTTTAATAACTCTGTAAATCGTAGATTTCCCAACACCAAGTGTACTGCTAACTAACTCAACGGTCTCATCAACACTTTCACATAAACGTTTGTCTGTAAATGATTTAAAACAATTAAATATTAATGTTTTTTCATTAACTGTTAAAGGACCAATTTTTCGGCGTTTACACGGCACTTCCAAATTTTCCATAACACTAGTATACACAATAAACTGCACCTTGCAACTGAAGTACCTACTTTTAGTGAACTGTTAAGAATTTTGAATACGCCACTTGGACCTTCCTACAAAATGGAAAAACCCACTATCACATTTTCTGTGGAATAAGTTTAGAAGGTAATTATCTAGTCAATTACTGTCGTAGATTCCTGGAATTAAAGAATTAAATGTTTGATTGTTGAAACCCTTACTTCGTGGAATGCACTCATTTCAGATAAAATAAAACGTTTTATTTTATCTAAAGAATTAAACTTTATTTTGCAAATAGGTAGGTACTTATTAAACTTTTATTGGTTATATATAACCAATAAAATAAACATCTTACATTTCTTGCAAATTCATTAGTACCTGTTAACCTCCATCACTCCGACACTGGCAACCTTATTTAGGGATTAGTAACCCTCACAACTATTGTATTCTATTCTGCTCCAACCTTTATACCTGGTGGTCATACTCAATTAAAATTGTTTTCCTAATATACTTCTGTAAAACTTGTTGACAATTATCTGTTTTTCATTGAGTCACCCGTATCAACAGTATTAGGGATTTGCATACATAATTTATTGTTTTATTACTCTCTCATACATAAAATACACTATAAAATTGGGTCAATTGACAAAATGACCACAAATGTGGTCTTAACATATTTTTATATTCTATTTCTGGTTGTTACCCGAACGTTTCTCCTCAAGAACTTTCGTATATTTGTCAAAGTGCAGTAAAGCCAAAAATTATCAAGCACCAGCCAACCATAACGGAGCTTTAAGTATGTTTCCATGTAAATATAACACTCCTTGTATCGGTATGTAAGTAAAATCATATAATTTTAAAATTGTGCACCTATTAGAACTATGCACATATAAGGTTGGTATTATTTATAATTTTTTACCTGGCAGTACCATAATATTGTCAATTTGTATTTGTAGCATTTAGTTACCTTTCCAGAGACCTGAAAATTGCCCATGCATAGAAAATTGTAGTATGCGACACCGGTCGTCCAAGGTAAAATAAGTTGATTGTAAGTTTATTATTTATTTCTTTTTATCTGAACTTAATTTTACTAGTTTATAGACATCTTAAAACAAATTAAATAATATATGATACTTTTAAATTTTTATTTTTATTTAACCTATAATTTCTAAAAAATAATAAAATTCGAAAATGTGAAATGGGTCGATGGCTATGCACGTAAGTGTATACTGTAATCTAATAGTGTTTAATAAAAATAACTGAAGATATTCAATACCTGGCTAATTAATACATGTGAGCCATTTAAGGCAGATACAAGTGGATCCATCAACATAGGCAAATACGGTAACAACGAACTCAACCGTACGGGAACAGTTAGACAGAGTTCCACAAATAGATCTTTCATGTGTTGTTTATGTAATCCACTTTGTAATCTATTTAGACCCTCGAGTAAATTTGGCAATAGTGGCAAAAATTCTTGGTACAACAAATCATGGCTTCCACCTCCTATGGATCGGAACAATGCCCTTAACAAAAGAAAATAATTATACGGTTCCATGGCGCTCATCGCTAGTTCCATTGACCTAAATCAAAATATTCGTATTAAATGTGCACTATTTTTTTACACATAAAATCAACAAAAAGAAAAAAGACAAACCTATTGACAATCTGATGCAAATGTGGTCTTAACATATTCTCATTTTCTTGTGGAAATAGGGAGACACTGCCAAAAACCAATTTAAATAATCTGAGGTACAAGTTACTCCTTTCTAAATTGGAACCCATCTCCTCCATTCTTTCTAATAAGTATTCAACTAAAACTGTTGCAAAAATAGGACTTGTTGTGGGATTCGCAAGAAGAGTATTTGGTACTGTTTGCAATGTAGGATTTTTATAGACTCTTTTCACCAAGTATTCAATTGTAGTGGAGAAAATTTCATGGAATGTTTGAGAATTCATCATGGAAAACTAAAAAATATTAATGCAGGTAATCAATAAACAATAAATATAAAAATGCTCTATTTTAAAATATCCATTCATATTTCATATTACAATTTAACCGCTTTTTGCAGAAAGGACTTTTTTCAAGAAAGTCAATTTTTAATAAAATACTGTTTTTGATTCATGAATTTATTCTAAAATCAAATTACAGCGATTGATGCAGAACAGACATAAATCAGTGACTTACGTCTATTCTGCATAAAATTTTCGTGATTGTCTTATTGAGCAAAGTGATTTGCGCGCTTCTTAGTGCTGTACATGGCACTTTTGACGTTTTGGATAAGAGTGAGAATCAAGAAAAAAAGAGCAAAATCTGAAAATTATTACCTAAATAAAATAAAAAAGGTAGAACAAGTGGTAAGGAGAATTTTAATTACAAAGGCCGCTAAAAGACTTGGAGAACCTTGAAGGTAAAATGTAATGTTCTGATTTTAAGTTTGGAGAATGTAATGAATATATGTTTAGTAGTTTTTTTTTCTTTTTGGGAGGTGAGAATCGTCAAAAGACCTTTCGGAAGGTGTGCCAGGTGTGTTGGATTCGGACGACTACGCCTCACCGTAGTTGACCGCCTACCAACTAAACTCACCCTCTCTTTCACCAACCGACGGGCCTGAGACCGCTCTTAGCGAGCATTACCATCTGGATGCGTCTCACCCCAAAGACGTCTGTACCGGACTTGGTTTTTAAGGTAACCATCCTTGTGCAGAGCGATAGGCAGGAAGGAGCGACCGCGCCGTTATTGCAACCTTCTTGAACTCAGCGAGGAAGATCAGACAACAGGTATAAGCAATTCTAGACATTCATATTCCACCTCCCGGGGTGGTCCATTCATTTCTCCATCTACACCAGCCCATTACTTAGTAATAGACTGCTCTAAAAGGAGACACACCGTACACTATATACAAGTAGAGACAAAACAAAACAACAAGTATGTAAATTGATTTCTGTAATGTAGTCAAGTTCATTGAGAATTCATTTAAGATTTCGGCGTCAGTAGTGGAAGCTGAATAGTGGCTTACCCCACTGACGTCGACAGATATGACACATTAACATAAACAGTTCACCTTTGTTGCAGTCTCCTCTCTTTTTCTTCCTTGTGTTTTATGGTTTCTGTCACAAAACCAATGATCAAGTCAAAGATTCTTTTGTTTTCAATTGCTTTATTCATTAGTTCATGTGGCTCGCCTAGAGGTGACCCCAGGTCCAGCTGCAACAAGGTTCGCCCCACATTGTATGCAGTGCAGGGCATACGAATACGACATGATACGCCTTGTCCACCACTCACAACTCGGGACACAGATCGTCCTCGGTATTATTTATTCTATATGTATAAGACCGGAAAGATCCATGTCCCGTCATAAATTGGGTGAAGTAGTAGTTGGCACGTCTGTGTCTACACTCATACCACTTTACTAAATCTGGGATAAGGGCCCTCGTCCAGGCAAACCTGCCTCATCCTCCAAACTCATTTTTCTTTCTTGTGTTCCTGAACCTAAAGCTCCGTTGCCCTTGTGGTGCATCCGAACCCTTTCATTAGCTAGGATATGCACCGGTACAGCACTGGCCACTACTTGCAAGGCAATGGTTGATACGGTCCTGTACGCGCTACATACCCTGATCAATCAATGGTTTCCTCTGCGTCCTAAGAAGCATGTCTTGATATTTCGCTTTATTGAGGATCTCATGCCACACTGGGGCCCAATATAGTAAGATAGATATGATTGATTGTAGGATAACTGATCTTTTGTGTGACCCGGGGAATCCTATAATCGGCATTATCTTATTAAGGGTCTTGGTTCTCTCTTCCGCCTTCCGACATGCTTCTTGTATGTGGTGTCTGAATGCCATTTTGTCGTCTAATATGATTCCCTCTAGTATGATTCCCACGTATTTTGCGGTGTTCTGGAGTCTTAGGTCGGAGCCTCTGAACCGAAAATTTACGTTTTTTGTATCCCGTGGTCCCCTCAAGATGATTACTTCTGTCTTTTCTACTGCAAGTTTTAGGTGAATTCTCTCTATACATCTCACAGTTTTTTCTATTGCTTCATTTACTTTGTTTATAATACCCCAATTCATATCTTCTATAAGTAGGGCTAGGTCGTCTGCGTATGGAATAGCCCTTACTCCTTGTTTTTTGTTTACTTCTAGTACCCCGTTGTATAAAATATTCCACAGTAGCTAAAGTAACTGTTTTGATAGAGCGTCTGAAGATGAAAGACAAAACATGTTTGCTCGTTTTTATAATTTGCAATCTTAAGATGAATAAGATATTTTTATTCAAGTTCTAATCGATATTAAAGACCAATAATTATATACGACGACCGAGAAATGAAAATTTAGAGTGTGAAGTTTGTTTGAAAGCACTTTTGTCAAACGTTGTTTTGTTGTGCTTTGATTTTGTGCAGAATATTCAGCTTCCAGTAACACCAGTAGAAGAACTTTTCTATTACAACAAGCTAACGATTAACTTATTTTGTATCCACGATATCAAGAAAAATAGTGCGCTTTTGTACATTTATCACGAAAGTACAGCAAAAAAGACGCCCAATGAAGTTTGTTCATTTGTTCTAGATTACATTTTAAAAAAGACTAAGCTTTACTGAACTTCACCTCTACATCGAGAATTCTTAAGGAAAAAATAAAACTCATGCTTTAAGAAGAATGCTTTTGGCACTGACTGATATGAAATTTTTTTCCCAGATAGTTTAATATTTTCCAATAATAGGGTATTATTTCCTTCCTTACAACAGCCACTTTTCCATGATCAAAACAGCACTTAAAAAACATGACCGTCTAACATTTTATTTTTACTCTGTATATCCTAAAAATCGATATTGTACCTATTTTTTGTGTTTAAAATATTAAACAGAAACAAACTTTACGAGTCTGTTTATATTAATCTAGTGCTTCTTCCAAAATTATTTTTACTCTCTCGCTCTTCAATTAGTTTTTTTCTCTGTTCCGCTTATGGAAATATGGAATACGGATAGACCAACGGTTGGCAAATCTTTATACTCCGCGTTAAAAGAATAATTCACTTAGTGGGATTTTCCATTCACTCTTGTTCAGAAGGATTTTTCTTGGTCTAGGAAATGGAGAGAGACGTTGGTAGATCACGACATGTATACCTTGCCGGTACAGACTAGAAAAGATATCAGAAATGTCTGATAATAACAGTATTGAAGTATGTAGCGTCAGCAAGAGGCTTTTTTTGTAACTTGCCACAGCAGATTCAATCACAATGTTGAATATTTTCTTATGGTGAAAAAACAAAATATACCCATCATTATTTTTATTTTTACATATGTACTTAGTGCCGTGCAGTGCTTCGTTTTTAATAGGGTGTCCCTAATTTTTTTAGTATTTCTTAATAACCTTTGTTTTTTTATATACAATAAAAAATTTGTACGCAAATTATAAGAAGCGTAATTCTCATAACTGCACACCATGATATGATAATGACCAAGGTAAATTTTAATTTTAGTTTTTTTTATTGAGATCATCTTTAAAACAAATGTTTTTACCAGTTTTACCAGGTAAATAATTTATGTTACAGCTAGATATAAATACAGCTGGTTGATAACAAATTGGGATTGTTTAATTTCTCCCACAATATACCTTTCTTTTGGGAAATAAAATAATTCTGACAGGAATTTAGGGCGATCATATAAGGTAAGTATGACCGTTTCTGGTGTTTTTGCGATGTATGTACATTTTTTTTACAGAGAGGTTTAGCATATTTGTCATTTTTTGTATCTTTGTTAAACTAATCTTTTCATATGTAAAATATCGAGTTTTCCTTGTACCTTGTAAAAAAGATAAGGTGGTGCCCTTTATTTTTCCTTTTCATTTAGTACCGAATCCTGTCTACTTACCTTTCAGTTGATACGTTTAAATTTTTCATTTTATTTTTACCTAAATATCCCCCATGCCAGATATATAGAGCCACCGTGTCGGTTTGTAAAGTCAACATACTTGGACCTGGAATTCTTCGTTTCTCTTTAAGTTCCAAGTCTAAACATCCCCCTTGAGTCAATTTTTATATAGCCGTATTTACAAAACCGTAATACCAACTTCTGAGAATCTTCACTATCCACCCAGGTCTAGAGTAGGTACATTACAACCGAATGTACACTGTTTATGGTCTAACGGACCATGCTAACATTCATCATTGCTAACGCATCTAGAGGGCATAAGCTTGAAGTAAAGGAAATTAATACACTCGAAATAACTGATTTCAAATCATGGTGGCGGAGATACTACAAGAAACATGCAATTTCACTAGAAACCACTAATCAAAGATATGGTGGATCAGGCTTTTCACGTGAACCAGAGTGGAAATAATAAAGTAGTATTACCGAAAATTCCATGTGATTCACTGGGTAAAGTTCCAAATAAACAAGAAAAACTTAATGGAATCAAAAAGTGCACAGAGTTTGTTGATACCCCTTCCAAGAAATTTTAGACCGAAATAATTTCAAATTGGCCATCATAAATGCACACACAATAACAATTAAACAAACTTTTCTATAACGTTTTTTATTTTTATTTTTAATATTTGATGTAATATTCATCTTAATTTTTTGACAAAATTTAAACTTTTTAAAATCACTAAAGTAATATTTTTTAGCCGCTCCCCCTCCTCGGTCTCTCCAGGAGTGTCACATCTCGTTTTTTTCACTTATGTACTTTTTGCAAAAAGCAGTTCAATTAATAATAAAATTAGTCTAAATTATTTTATATTGTGTTTATATTTATACCTTAATTCATAATTAATTTAATTTACTTACTACTCCACTAAAATGCTCCAGGACCTCTTTTTCTTCCTTACTTCTTACATTTTGCTGATTCATTCGTTGTGGTAAACCAGCCGGTTGTGGTCCTACATTTAAAGTATAAATATCAAGTGCTTGAAGTGCCCATTTTACTAGACGAACAAAAACAAGTGTCTCGTGGGGTGCGAAATGTTTAGACTGAACGGTTGCTTGATCTGCACCACTCTTGCACGCAGAGCAACCCCAAGTAATGGTTTTTACTCCACAAACGAGAGTTTTTACTAAACTTCTATAATCCGCCACGTTACAGTTATTATTTTGGGGAAAACCGAATTTGGATTTTTCTTCTTTGGGTTGGGCTACTTGAGCATTCACCAGCACAGCCTCTAAGGCATCAGCTGGATTAGGTTTCGTATCAGTTTCGGTTTTATCTGAACCTGTTTGGCTTGGAGTCTGGTTTTGTGGTGTAGTTTGAACTTCTTGTTTACGCTGATCACTAAAATGAAATTGGTATTAAGTTCTTACATACCTTGAATCACTGTTAATACTTACCATTTGTTGGTTAAAATCGGCAATTGAATTTTTGCTATGGTTTTAAATTTAAGGACAAACACTTCAAGCATACGCATCAGTAGTTCTCGTCCTTCATGGCTATTTTCGGCTTCTGATCTTAGTCTGATACAATCTACTAAGTTAAGTAATAGTTTGCAAGACATTGTTTGGATTCTGAAACAGTTTTGGGTTTGTTAATTTTTAAAGTAAAATATTCAATATTTTCTTTAGCAACATATTTATAAGCCACTCGAATATGTTAGACAGGTTAACTCTATGGCGTACCAATAAATGAGTTTTACCGTTTATCCAGTTTAATTAAACTTAAAATAAACTAAAATGTACTTACGTGGTAGCTAAACTGTCATCGTGAACATTTTTACTAAACAAATGGACGGCTCTCTTTAAATCAGCCAAGGGTAGTTGCTGTCTAACATGATGGACTAAATCTGCGAGGGTAGAATAAGCTAAAGGTCTAAGTGACTCATGAGTAGTCCAACCTCTACCCAGTAAGACATCTTCGTCAAACAGTCTTTCCATATGAGGCACGAATCCTGAAAGCACGATAATATCAATTGGATGATATAAATACCTTTTCTAATTATATTATTTTTACAAAGTTTATTTAGCAGCACATAATTTACACTGAGTGTTCTTAAGGCATATCAGCTAGAATATAAGTAGATGTATATTGGCTCGAACTTATCAAAAAATATATAATGCTCCATTGATTGTTTGAAAATGATTTCGACATTGACAATACTATGAGTATTTCGTTTTTACACTTGGTTTGTTTTTGTTAAGAATAATCTCCTTCTGATGGTGCTTATTTGATAGTTTTTCTTCTCCAAGTGCCTTTTCCTATCGAAGATCGGCAACAATTTTGGCAAATTATTTTCTGTTTTGGATTTTTCTTAGCAAATCTTTCGAGTCCAAGCCTGCCCAATCTCGTATGCTTTTAAGCCAGGAGCATTTTCTTTGTCCTGATCTACGTTTGGCCTCAATTTTACCCTCGATTACGAGCTGTAGAAATTATATCTGTCTTTTCTCATTACATGTCCGAGATATACAGTTCTCGGCTTTTTTTTATGATTTCAATGAGCTCAAATTCTCTGCCATTCGGTGGAAAACTTTTAAGTGGGTGGTGTGGGAAGTCCTAGGTATTCGTAACATTCGTCTATATACCCAGGTTTCAAATGCTCTGTTCAAACTGGTAACTTTTAGCACCCACGCTTCAAATCCATATAACGGTGTGGAATATACGTATGTATAACTTCACAAAATTGTATCTTATTGCAAATCGAGTGACCTATCGCATAATAGGTTTCGCATTTTCATAAAGTTCGCCCTAGCCATTTCAATTCGGGCTTGAATTACTGAATGCTTGAAAGTCAGGATTCAGATCTTCATGGTCAAGCTGACCGGTATTTAAACTTAGAGACTTTGGTTATTTCTGTACCGTACACATTTATGTGCACTGGTTGGTTCGGATTCCAGTTTACCACTAATATCTTCGTTTTGGGTGTTGATTTTTATGCTCAAAAGATAGCCTTAAACTGATATCTTGTCAACCAGACGCTGCAGGCTTTTAGCAGTCTCTGCAGTTATAACTGTAACATCGGCATATCTTAAGATATTTAGTAATGTATCATTCATTTTCATGCCATCTTCTGAACCTTCAAGTGCGTTTTGGAATACAATATCATAGTACATGTTACATAGCATAGGGCTCAGTACACAGCCCTACCCATCGAGCAAAAAGACAAAGAGGGAATGTAAAGGTAGTGGGGCAAAAATATTGTTAGACAGGAAGTGCGATCTTTAGAGGCCACATTAAACAAGGAAAGAGAGTCTTTCTCCTTGTTTGACATCAAATTTAGTTGGGTTATGTTATTGTTTGTCCCAAATGTCACATGGAATCTTATTTATATTGAAGTTTTTTAACAATTGTGTCGCATTTTAGGCTATTACCGTTAATAATTAATTAAAACTTTCTCGTCTAAAACACATTCTGAAAAATATTATGTAGCTACTGTTAATAAGTGTCGGAAAATTTAAATTTGGCGCATTCGCATTTCCGGATATGTCCGCCATCAGAGGCCACTTTTTTGGTCTTCTTTTCATAACGATTAGATTCCCTCTTTTGTCTTTTTGCTCGATGGCCCTACCTCACTCCACGTTTAACTGGGACCGCTTTTCTTAGTGTGTTTTCAAACTGTACTGTTGCAATCTCGTGTTTATATAGGTGAATTGATTTTTAGGTCTTGGGAGATTAATGCTTTTCTGTCTGGAATATTTAATAGCGCACTAGCAGCGCAAACAAAGAATCTCTGATTCCCAATCTTTCTCAAAAGCCATTTGTAGTTTGCTTAGATCTTGTTCGCAATTTCTATGCATTCGATAATGTAAAACTTTAAAAATTTAATACTTGTCTCATTAGGATGATTAGTCGAAACTAATTACATCTTTTTGCACCTGGTCTCTTAGGAATGGGGACAAATTTAGATTTCATCCTATCGTCAGGTATATATTTATTCACTGTTGTAAATTTTTTAAATAGTTTGGTTCAGATTTTTTAAGTTTTCTTCGTTTATGAGTTTCAGGAATTCTGGATAAATGTCGTCTGGTTCAGATGCTTTACCATTTTTTACCCCCCTCGAACCTTCTCTATATCTGACTTTTTTCTATACTTCTTGTTGTTTCGTGATATTTGTATGTGTTATAAGCTCTTGTGCGTTCATTCATGCACTTTTAATATGAGTTCAAGTGTACTCTATAATTTTCTTAGTAGTGTATTAGGCCTTTTGATTATTTTGGACTTGACTCATCTGTTCATTGAGTTTTTGGAAGATAATCCGGTGGTTTGCCTCGTTTTGACAATTGATGCATTAGGTCTTCTTAAAATTTTATTTTTAAGGTTCTTTAATCGAACCTGTATTTGGGCCACTATGGGATTGTAATATGACTTCATATCTGTCCGGGGTAAGCTTTTACACTGCGAATGTAGTTCCTGTATCTATGTGGTACTAGAATATAGTCAATGACTAAGTATATATAAACTATATTTCTAATCTTTTTGACGAGAGAGGCCCCTCTTTCCTCAACCAACATCAGACAGAAATGGGACTGAAATGAGAAAATGAGAAGTATTGGCAAAAGTCAGATATAGAGAAGGTTCGAAGGGAGATAAAAAATGGTAAAGCGTCTGGACCAGACGACATTATTAAGAATTCCTGAAACTCATAAACAAAGAAAACTTAAAAATATTAACCAAACTATTTAAACAATTTACAACAGTGAATATATACCTGAGGATAGGCTGAAATCTACAATAAATTGTTCCCATTCCTAAAAGACCAGGTGCAAAAAGAGTTTCGACTAATCAGCCTAATGAGACAAGTATTAAAGTTGTTTCTAAAAGTTTTACATAATCGAATACAAAGAAAATGCGAACAAGATCTAAGCAAACTACAAATGGGCTTTTGAGAAAGATTGGAAATCAGAGGTTCTTTGGGTTAACATAGGATTACTACGGAAGAAATAAAACGTAGATGTGATCTAGCAAAAGTCACCCTACGAAATATGGCAAAATATGGAAGGCCTTATAAATTTCACAAACTCTAAAAATGAGGTTGATCAACTGCCTAATATTCCCAATACTGACATACGGAGGTGAATCGTGGACCCTACGACGGGTGGAGAGAAGAAAGATGACGCCTCTGAAATTTTCTGTTGAAGCCACTAAATTTTAAATTAACTAAAGGTCAGAAAACGGCTCTCCAGCAAAGTTCATCTCCAACAATTAAAATACTTTGGACATATTATGAGAGCATACACAGAAAATATGGAAAAACTTATAATTCAAGGAAAGGTTGAAAGCCGAAGATCACGAGGAAGATCCCCAACAAGATGGATCGACCAAATTAGTGGGAAAAATTAAAGGAAATGTTGAACACCACGATCTCATGATAAGTGGGCATCTGTAAATAATGTATATTAAATAATACTACGAGTAAAAATATTAGCAAACCTGGCAATAAAAAGAAGATAAAATGTATTTGTACTTACGATTTCTTAATTCGGTTGCTAAAATGTGCCGGGCAGCAATAAGTAATTCTCTTCTAAGATGCGCTACTTCCATAGGACATAACGTCAAAAGTCCCAACATACCTTGTACCATCATCGAGGAGTGATTTTGGACGACTTCTTGATAGATCTTAATAATATATGCCAAAAATGAAAGTGTCTTTATTTGCGCTCCCATAAAATCGACGAATATCTCCTTATTAAAGGACTCAGCTTGCCTTTGCTTTAAGGTGGGTTGAAGAGTTATGGTATTCATTATTAATGGTATAAAGTCACTAACGTCCTGGTGTACACTTTGCTTGTACAGTTGATACATTAGAACTACTATAATTGGTAGTTCTTGAAGAACTTTCAAAGAAAGAACAGCTTTTGGAATTAAGTAATACTAAAAAAAATGAATGTTATTTTGAGTTTTGTTTATTAATATTTTTTTCAAAATGATAATATTGAAAAAATCTATGGAAATCCCTCAACGTTTTATTGATTTAAAATCTTACAGAAAATCTAAAAACTTGCCGAACACTCCATGATAATAAACAAAACAAGTATTTTTGTAAATATACCTAAATTGCAAAATAATTTTTGTGCGTAAAAAAATTTACTTAGTTCGTCTTGAAAAGATTTATTTTTAAGGTATATTGGATAGTTAAACAAATTAATGATTGCAAGTTTCTGAGTAGTAACTGAAATTCTTTTCAAAATATCAATAAACAATTACCTACAAAATATTAAATGGGATTTAAAAGTTTTGTTTATTATAACACATTTCTTAATCTCTGACGAGTATCCTCAATATATATTTAAAAGAAGAATCATCTCGTTTAGAAGTAAATACTAATATTATTAATATTTATAAATATTAATATTATTAAATGTTAACTGATTACAAACATGTAAGTAAAATCAAATGAAAAAGCTAAAAAATATGTATGTATATTAAAAAAACTTACAGCAATCAACGTTCCGTCTTCATTTCTCGCTTCGGTTTGGATAACAGTCATAGTAAACGTTTCCTTCAGTAATTCTTCAATATTTACTTCACTCAAATCTTTTACTTTAATCGGTGGTTTAGGTTCAAAAATTTTGTTCATATGGTTAGGTAAGTTTGAGTATATGGATTTCACAAATTGTAAAAATTTTTGAATCTACAAGACAACAAAACATGTTACGTACGATGTAAAACAAATATTAAAATTATATATATATATATATATATATATATATATATATATATATATATATATATATATATATATATAAAACAGCAAAGATGAAAACACTTGAAGAAAAATTGATGGTACGACACCTGGGACAGAGCTAGACGTACAGATATGCCTCATAGATGCAAGGTGGAGAACATCAAAAACTGGGTAAGAAATAGAAGAGTAGAATGGAACGATCATATAAGCCGAATGACAACAAATAGAGTAGTAAAGACGGCAAGAGACGGTTCCCCAATAGGAAGACGATCAGTAGGAAGATCACGAAAACGATGGAATGACAACTTACTGGGGACACGTTGAAAAACAGACAGAATCATGTCTATATAAAAAGAAGAAGAAGAAGAACAAATTTATCATAAGAACGTTCCAAACTATACAAAAAGAAAAAGGTCTGTTATTTTAGATACAATTTTTAATATAAAAAGTAAGTAGTAAAGTAAATAAAATATAATAAAATAAATACTCTATAATAAACAATAATGATCTATTAAATTTCCTATAACCATCCAAGAGTTTGAGAGAGATTTTACAAAAATCAAAAAATACTTCTACAGGTCCTGATGATATCCCAATTATTTTTATAAAATAAAATCTTCCACTATCAGCGAAAATAATCCTTTTAGACTATTTAATCATATGTTCATTAGAAAAACTTTTCATATAATTTGGTCCCAATACATAATCATCCCAATTTTAAACTATTAAGTCTAAAACCGACTCCTCGTCTTATCGACCAAATTCCTCTTACAAACAATATTTATAAACTACCAAAACAATCTAAAATAATATATTAGTTTGGTTTTTAGAAAAACCAGCTACATATTCGCCTCCATCCAAAGTGACTTTAGAAAAGAGATATCGATCAATGACAATTTAGTAACTCGTAAATGATATATGTGAGTCTTTTAGGAATAATCAACAAGGAATTTTCATATTTTTCGATATAAATAAAGTCTGTGATATCACAACCACAAATACTTTGACCACTTCTTATAGAAAACGACGTCATCGAAGCAGTTAACGAATTTGTATACCTGGGAACGCTCGTCAATACTGAAAATGACACTACCGCAGAGATAAACGCAGAATTTGCAACGGCTAATAGATGCTATTTTGGCCTTAATCTCCTTTTTAAATCTACAGTTATATCAAGAAATACAAAAGTAAAACTCTACAAAACAATAATACGCCCAGTCCTAACATATGGTTCAGAAACTTGGACTTTAACAAAAAGCAATGAAAACATGTTAGGATGATTCGAAAGAAAAATACTGAGGCGAATCTATGGAGCGGTAAATGAAAATGGTGTCTGGAGAAGACGATACAACTTCGAACTCTATAGAATATACCACGAACCAGATATCGTAAAACACATTAAGATAGGACGTCTGAGGTGGGTAGGCCATGTAATGCGGATGGAGCAAACCGACCCAGCTAGAAAAACGCTCCTTGATAGACCTATTGGTCAAAGAAGAAGAGAAAGACCCAGAACAAGATTCCTAGATAACATAGACCAAGATATGAGAAATATGGAAATACGTGCTTAGACTGGAAGAGAATTATTGGGGAAGCTAGGACCCACACAGGGTTGTAAAGCCAAAATGATGATGATGATATGACAACCAGATCCTAAAAACAATAAATTTCTTAGGCATACAAGGTAATTTTCTAGACTCTAAAGTTAAAAATTTCATGAGGAACAGGAAATTTCAAGTATACGTAAATGGTATCAATTCAAAGATTGAATATTTACAAAACGAAATTCTATAAGATTTCACTTTAAGACATACACTATTCGTATTAGCTATCAACAATATTACACAAGAATTAAGAGTTACAGAAGAAGTTAACATTAAAAACAAATTTACATGCTGACGATCTAATAGTTAACACTAGAATATCCCTCTTGCCACAAAAATTTTACAGTGATTTCTTTAGAAACTGGAAATATAGTTCCAAAAATGTGATTTTGTTTTTTTCTAGCGAAAAGACTATTTTTTATCTTTAATAACCTTTTTCCTCACAAGAAATAAAATGTAGAATAGAGAATGCTAGGAGTGCGTTCAACAACATGGCCAAACTCTGTAACAGCCAAACCTTAATCTGGAGATAAAGTCCTGGACACTCACTGAAGCGATGGAAAAAAAACTTGATGCCTTCGAGATGTAGCTATACAGAAGAATCCTAAAGATATCATGGACGTACAAGAAAACCAACGAGACTGTACTACGAAGAATGGTGAAAGAAAAAGAAGTGATGTATACGATTAAAAGGAGAAAATTAGAATATAACGGACACATAATGAGAAACGGCACTAAATGCAGATTACTGAAAATAATCCTTCGAGGAAAAGTATGTATTTGGAAAGCGAGGAATTGGGAGAAGCAGATTATCATGGTTAAAAAACCTGAGGAAATGGTTCTCCACAAGAACAACTAATATATTTAAAGCACAAGTTAATAAAATAATTATAGCAAGAATGATCGCCAATATTCGAAATGAATAGGCACCAAAAGAAGAATAACCTTCTTAAAGTCTTAGACGTTATCCAAAGCACATCGTTAAGGCTTGTGCTGTAGCGTTTTTTTTATTTATTGTGTATATAAAAGATTTCTGTAGTACGCTCCTGTTGTTTTTACCAAGAAAACAATCGAAATAATATTTCAAGTTTTTTTGACGAGATTTTTAAATGCGTATTAACGCTGGAAATATGTTTTTATCTCTGTGTTGCAATGTTAGGTGAAATAACAAGTTTTTTTGTCGCCAAAGAGGTATTATGTTACATGAAGTCCCCCTAATATTCCGGTTAGAATAATCAATAATGCGTATATTTCTACCGATTCAAAAGTAAATATAGATGTTTTTTGTCTGTGTTTAGATTCAAATATCGAACCTTTTGTTAGTCAGGTAGAACTCCGGTTTAAATACGTGCTATTTGGTTAATTTGTATCATGTAAATTTATGATGCCCCCTGATAAAAAAAGGTTTTATTTGTTTTCTTCGTTAAAAACGCAATAAACATGAATTCCCCTAATATTAAAGTTGTTTTTCGTTATTAGACGAGGGTCAAAAAAAAGAATATTTGTTTGTTTAGGCAATAAAGGAACATTTAAAATTTGTTTTTTTTTGTCGATAAGAGGAGGGAATATTTGTTTTGGTTTTAAGTGGGTCGGCGACAGGCTGCAAGACGGAAGGGGAATTTTTGGCTGATTCTGGTAAAATGTAACGAAGCAAAAGGGGTCGACTTAGAGATTTCAAACAGGGCAGACATGTGACAATAGAGTCGACGAGATTGAAAAGAGCAACGAGGTAGGCAGGTGATGTAAGGCAGCTCGAGTTGAAAGGACTTGGGCATTTTTCATAAACAGCCGGTAATTTTGTGTAATGGGTTAATTAATCAGACCTGTAAACAGTGGACTCTCCGTAAACATGACGGATTAGCATAGAGAAACCACTAAAAGGATTTATGCAGTATACCAGAACATGGTAAAATTTTAAAGCAGTACATAGGGTGTGCCACCAGCTTCGTGTGTCATCTGTTTGCCCCAACCTCGTTCCTGAGTATAGAAATGTTTCCTATGTTCCAGTTAGAGGATTTGTACAAGTAGCTTCCAGTCAGAGATGTAACAAGTTTTTTTTTAAGTTGAGTGACGAAATATGTAAATTTTAAGGTAACAATTCAATATATTAATTTTTCAAAGTAAAGACAGATATTTTTTGGCTAAAGTAATAATTGCTTCATAACAAATAAAAATTGTAATATGTATGGTTATGCTGTTAATACTTTTGTTCTTTGTCATCAAAATTAAATGTGATACCTGACAGCAAGCTTAATTTGTTTTTTTGTTATGACAATTTTAATTTGATTATTATGTAGAAACGATATTTCATATATAAGGTTAAATTTATATGTTTTCATTAACAAGGATCTTAATTTTTGATAATCTAATTGGCCATAATATAGTAAACAAAGAACATGTAAGTTTTTGTTATTTGTATTATGTTATATGATATGTTTCTTTTATAATATGTATTTTTGATCTGTTTTGTTTGAGACAAGAATAAATGTTTAATTTGTTTCTCTGATCTATTTTGAGTTTTATTTGAAAAAGATATTTTTTTCTATATTTTTGATGTTCTATAATTATTTCCCTAGTTACAACTAGTGGTTGTAATAGGTATAATTAGGCACCTCAAGTGGCGCCCTATATTAAATTTCTTGAGGTGTTTCCGTTTATTTTCATTCTGTTTGTCCCAAGAGATTTGTATAAGTACCCCTTTATTTCTTTTTTTTTGTAGTTGCCCCAATCTAACCCCCAATATCTTCAACTTATCCACGACCCAGCTCTCCAACAACCAACTGAGTGTCGTATGCACTTGTTTCGATTATTTTGTTTGCCCAATCTTGTCCCCCATATTCTTACCCTGTGGTAAGCAAAATAGTCGTTACAATTTTAGCGCCCAACGTGTGTGGCTTGTCTTAGATTTGCGCCAATTGTACCTATTCGTTACAGTGCTGGGTGCCTTTCATTCTAGTCCAACGGTAAGTCTTCAAGAAGCACTAAACGAACTGGTTTGAGATTTGTTTACTCCGCAAGAAAACGAAATAATCGTTTCCATTTTTGGACAACAATTCGTTGGTTGTGTTGACGCAGTGAGAACTTCGTCGCAATTTTATGGCCGTCCGACACCAACTGGACAAACACTACGGCGTTTGGCCAATTGCTTTGAAGAGAGTGAAACAACATGAGACGCTCTGAAAGCTGGCCGTCTCCGGAGCAGCCGTTCTGCTAAGAATATCGTTGCTGTTGTCCAAGATGTCGAACAGGTGCCCGGAACATCGATAAGATGACGTGCTACGCAATTGGGCACTAGACGGCGGTCCCTATGCAGAATTTTGGTGATAGATTTGCAGATGTTCCCTTAAAAAAAGTGCACACAGTGCATCAGCTGTTAGCTGTTTACCGCCAAATGCGTCTATTCTACACTCGAGTCATCCTGGATCTCAACAGAGATGAGGACGATATTTCATCGAAAATTATCATGAGCGATGCGGCTCATTTCCACCTTACCGGTAATGTAATTAAACAAAATTATCGTTTCTAAGGCACGAAAAATTCGTGTATCGGTCACAAAGAGCTCCAGCGTGGGGTGCCGTTTACGTTGTAGGAATCATCGGATCATTTATCTTGTCGATTAGCGAATTTTGTCTTCTTCAATTGGGTGAATTTGGACTGGAGAACATATGATTTCGACAGGACGGTGCAATGGCGCACACTGCTTCGAGCCAGAAACGATATTCTGAAGGAAGCATTTCCGGGTCGCTTAATCTCTCGTTTTGTTCATTTCCACCGACCGGCCAGATTTAACCGTTCTAGACTTCTCGTTATGGGGTTTTTTGAAGTCGCGGGTTTACGTCAATAAGCCTCAGACTCTTGAAGCTCTTAAGGAGAATATTCGCTAGAAATACGAGAACCTGTCGCCAGAAGTTCTGACAAGAATGAAGGAAAATGTTATAAAACGAGCCATAAAATACTATAAACGGTATTTTATCTACAGTCATCAACTCTGGTGGCGGCCACTTGGCCGATATCATTTTCTCGACTTAATGGAATAAATTCTAATGGATTAAATAAGAAAATTAGTACTCCAAAGCACACCACAGGTCTATTAGATTCAAAGAATCACCCAAAAATTAGATTTATGATACACTGCCAGCAAAACAGAAATACAAACATTCACTTTATTGGGCACCAACAGATTTCAGATAATAAAAAGGTAGATGCCCTAGCAGTTAAAGCAACTACTGATCAAGACATTGACATTGTTTAAAAATTTCAGTCTCAGATACTTATATCAACATGAAAGACTATTCTACACAAGTTTGGCAACGTTGTTGGGATTCGAACAGCTCAAAGTTTAGAAAGATCTGTCGTTCAATGTTCGGCTCCAACTACCAGAAAAAGATAACAGGTTGGAATAATTCGACTAAGAGTTGGACTTACGAGATTCACCCATAAAAAATTAGTAACCAAATAGCTATCACCAGAATGTTCATACTGTTCATTCACCTTACATAATGTCCACTTTATACATACGTAAGAAGTATCAATAATATTTCAGAAGAACTAACTCAGTTTTTAACTGTAATTATATCAAATACAATTAAATATCTTTAATATTATCTGTACACAAACTTATTTTATATTGTAATCACTCAATACGCGCTAATACCTTTACAATACAATCTGGATACCTAAACTCATAGAAACTCGGAATAATTCCAGTAACTAACCCAATGAAAAAAAAAAAAAAAATCTTATTAGATATTCGGGGAAAAGTAACAAAACCCCAGGACCAGATGATATGTACGCAGAAACAATCAAGTTACTTAATGAAGAAAACCTAGACATTATTGTCAAGCTCTTTAACGACATCTACGATACGGGCCAGATTCCCAAAGATTGGCTTCGATCTACATTTATCGCCCTACCAAAAACACCACGTGCGAACTTCTGCAAGGACCACCGACTAATAAGCCTAATGAGTCACTTTTTAAAACTTTTCCTGAGAATACTTCACACTAGATTGTTTAAGAAATGTGAAGAGGTCAGTGGATGGAGTCAGTTTGGTTTCAAAAATGGACTTGGCACGAGAGATGCGATCTTTAGTATGCAAACATTGATACAGAATTGTTTAGATCAAAGAAAGGATGTTTTTATCTGTTTCATCGATTACGAGAAAGCATTCGATAATGTAAAACATGAATTGATGATAAAATACCTACAAGAGTTGGGATTGGATGCAAAGGATATAAGAATCATCGCCAATCTGTATTGGAATCAGACAGCAACAGTACGTCTTCAAAATTCCAACGAAACAGAAGATTTCCACATTAAAAAAGGAGTAAGGCAAGGTTGTATACTGTCCCCAATGCTGTTCAATTTATACGTAGAAAAAGCCTTCGCACAAGCAGTGAAGACTCTAATAAGGGTATTAAAGTTAACGGCATATTTATTAATAACATCAGGTATGCCGATGATACAGCCATAGTGGCAGATAACATCGAAGATCTTCAATGCCTTTTAAATGATCTAACTCTTGCAAGTGAAGCTCGGGGTTTGAAAATAAATATCAAGAAGACAAAATCAATGATTATAAGTAGAAATGATTACCCCAACGCAAAGATATATGTCTCTGGAGAAGAAATCGAACAAGTCAGGCAATTCAAATACTTGGGATGCTGAATGAGGGATGGGACCCCGAGAATGAAATAAAGAGCAGAGTTGAACAAGCCAGAAATGCTTTTTTGAGGCTTCGTAAGTTTCTGACTGATCGCAAATTGGACTTCAACCTCCGATACAAGATGCTTAAGTGTTACGTGTGGCCTGTTCTCCTGTACGGAATGGAAGCATGGACGTTAAAGGCCAGTTCCATTAACAAACTTGAAGTGTTTGAAATGTGGTGCCTGCGTCGAATGCTCAGAATATCATGGACGGACAGGGTCAGAAATGAGGAAGTACTCAGAAGAGCGGGCTTACAGGATAGGGAACTTTTTGATTATGTAAAAAGTAAGAAGACTGCATACTTGGGGCACATTATACGAGGAGAACGATACACTTTTCAGCAACTGATACTCGAAGGGAAGATAGAGGATAGGAGAGGTCTCGGACGTAAAAAAATGTCATGGCTGCGCAATATTCGACAATGGACAGGAATCCACAGCTATGAAATGCTTCGCAATGCTGCTAAAAACAGAATTATTTAATCCAGAATATTTAACATCTCACCTGACAAGACGATGTACGGTGGACGCCTACGCAGAAATGCACGGCACCTTAAGAAGAAGATATTCGGGGCTTATCATTGAATTTATTCTCTAAGTACACTATGCTACTTACCTCGGGACTAAATGGTGGTTTATACTGTTTGTGTAATTCTATGATGATTTTCAAACAGACCAACACGTTTTCTTCGTTATCTATTTCTAAAAGTCTAAACATGAGCGACAATATTTGCTTGACATAAGGGCGCAAGTTTTCATTCGTCGGTAGTCTATATAGCATCTCCAATATCAATTTTCTAACCTAAAAATAAGTGAATGTTGTTTAAATTACTTATTTTATTTAAATAAAAAAAGAGCATAGCTCTTGGTTAGTGCCGACAGGAGTGAATACTTCTTATAGCGTGTTATTACTATATTATGTAGGTTAATTAAATTTTATGTCTGCTTATTACAGAATTTTTAATATTTGTTATATTAACACTACACATTTAAAATCATTAAAATTTAACAAATCTAAATTTTTTTCTTTAAAAAATTTGTTTAATGACTAGTAGTTTTCAAAATTTGTTAAACACAATATCTACCTATAGAATTTATTCAACATATACATTTTCATTATTATCTTGAATTTATACTTAATTATTTCATTTTGATTATTATTACATTCTAAAAATAATCATGAATAATAGGAGAGCATATGAATTAATTTTCATTAAACACTTTCCATTTGTAAATACTTATCCACAAACGTATATTAAATTTCTAAAATAAACTTTAATTTATTTGAATTAATTTTGTTTCATTTTTATTTATTTTATATTATACAAATATCTTAAAACAAAAATTATTCAAATCGATCCAGTTGTTCTCAATTGTAAAAAAATATATTACATAAAATTATAATAAGTGCATATGCATGTATATTACGGTATACCGCAAGGTTTCGAGAGTTTCCAAAACATGATACCAAACGATAAGAAGTAATCACTTTAATAATAGTATTAAATGTTTCTGCTTGATCGTATTCACGAGGTAGGAGAGGAAAAACTCAAACAAAACCAAATTTTTAGTGTTTAGTCTTAACCCACATCCCGATGCAAAGCTTCAATTAAACGGAGTCCAAGTTGAGAAAGTTCACAAAATGACATATTTGGGAACTGGGATAACGGACCAACTAGATCCAGACATAGAAATAAAACATAGAATAGCAATGACTAAAACTACTTTTATGAAAATGAAGTCATTTCTTTGCAATAACCATCTCAGTTTGTAGCATTTTCAATTTCATTGATTCTTTGAAGTATATTGAAGTCCCCTCGTATACGAAATATTAAAATCACCTTATATATTTTTGATAGATCTAAAAATATTTCGTACGTATTTAAACCTAAATATCTTTTCATTTCTTTCTTAGGTCGGCCAAGTTGAAATAAACCATTTTAGAGTTGTTTATTTTACTTCGGCAATTTCTTTTCAATTTTAATGCGTCGCAAAAGTAAATGTACGTCGTTTCGTGGTGTCTTGTTATGTCAGCGTTTGTATGTATGCGTTCAATTTTAATAGAATTTCTTCACTCTCGTTGTAGCAGCTTTCAAGAGTGGTTCAACGTTATGTCCAAATTCACGTCGAATTTGTAAAGTATCCTGTTTTCGTCTTTTGTCATGAAGAATATGTAGCAGTTTGTTATTGGTTTTGTGGCAGTAAATGCTTCAATTATTAATGTTTTGAGTGAGGATTGGAGGACATCCTCGTTTTGTTTTTCTTTTGTTCCTGCTTTTATCCAAGGCTTTTGGCAGTTTTGGAGATGGAGGTTTTCGTCATGCAGAGAGAGTGGAGCCCTCAGTTCCAGGTTCCAGTTATGGTTTCAGAAAGTTGAGTGTGTCATGTGAATTAAGGTAACATTTTGTTCAAATTTTAAACTAAAGACAGACATTTTTTTTATAAAATAATAATTGCTTTCGTTGACATTTAAAATTGTAAATTTTAGGTTTTGAGTAAAGCTGTCAATTTGTGTTCAGTTTTTTTTTTGAAATTTAATGTTAATTTATGACAGCTCGTTTTAGTATTTTTGATGTTGATTGTTTTGTTTTTTTTTTTGTTTAAAAAGGTTAACCTCCATGCAATTTTGTAAGTTTTGTAGCAATGGAGTTTGTTAATGGATGACACATGTAAGTTTTTGAATGTTTAGTATTTCTCCATGTAACTGTTTGTGGTGACACATAAATAAATGTTAAATTTTGTTGTCTTAACATTTTATTTTTTTTTGAGCTAACCCTTTTTGAGTTTATTTGAAAAAGATATGTTTTTTATGTTTTGATTTGTTTTCTAATTATTTCCCTAGTTACAACTATTGGTTGTAATAGGCATAATTAGGCACCTCAAGTGGCGCCCTATATTAAATTCCTTGAGGTGTTTCTTGTTTATTTTTATTTTGTTTATCCCAAGAGCCCTTTATTTTCTTTTTGTTGTAGTTGTCCCATTCTAACCCCCATTTTACTTATCCACGACCCCAGCTCTCCTACGAAACCCTGAGTGTCCGTTCGCATCAGTAGCGATTATTTTGCTTGCCCTATCTCCACCCCCAATAGTTTTTTTTCCCAATTTTCTATCTCCCGTATTAATGCCCCCTGTGGTAGGCAAAATATTCTCGTTACAAGTTTAGAACTAAGGCAAAGGATAGTTAAGTTCTATGTTTGGTCTGTACTTTTGTATAGTGCAGAAGTGTGGACGCTAAAAGTATCGATCGTGAACAAAATTGAAGCATCGGAAATGTGGGTTCACAGACGAATGCTGAAGATACCTTGGATTGTAAGGAAAACTAATGAAGAAGTACTAAGGAGCGTCAACAAATATAGAGAACTACTAAAGAATGTTAAATATCGAAAAAAAAGTCGATATAAAATATTACAACTGATTCTTAAAGACAAAATATAGGACCGTAGAGGTGTAGGAAGAAAACAAGTTTCTTGGTTAAAAAACATTCGTGAATGGACTCAGATACCAAATGGAGGACAATTATTCCATATTGCAAACGATCGAGACGCCTTCGCAATATTGATCGCCAACGTCGGATAATTCTGATATGGTACGCGAAGAAGAATTAAAAGTTTAATATACTACAAATTTTTTTTTAAAATATTACTAGAATACCTATAACTAAATAAAGTATGTTATATATGTATCAAAAAAATCTCTACGTTGAAAAATTTTTATTTAGGTGTATTTAATTTTATTAATTTAATTTTCAATTTTTATAATTTTTATCATTTTTTTATTATTTTTTGTTTAATAATTTTTTAAAATTTTTTACATTTTTTTATAAGTTTTTATTTAATTTATTTAATTTTATACAAATATCTCTAGTTCTTATAGTTCTCGAGTACTCAAATTGTTATAAAAAAATATATTATATAAAATTAAATAAGTGTATATATATATATATATAATATATATATATATATATATATATTATGTATATTACATATAATATAAAAAAATGTTTAAAATATTACTAGAATACCTATAAATAAGTTTTTTTAACACATTGTTATATACGTATCAAAAAAATCTCAATGTTGAAAAAAATTAAATTCAATACAAAGTATGGTGTCCACGTTGCTATATTATAGTTCCTCCTCTATCGACCGCTATCAAAACGATATTGTCAATGTCCACTTCAGGCATACCTGTTAACCTTGCTATCAGAATCTTATCGCAATGAAAAGCATTTTGAAGTTTGGTCATATGTGAAATAATTCTCCCATGCATTTGCCTTAGATCCCAGTATTGTGATGGTCATGACAATACGTCCAGAATTTTTCGACGAAAGGGCTAACCAATATACGAATAGTGGGTTGAAAATGGTATCAAGATACTGCCTAACTATTAGAAAGCAATTTGGAAAATCAAACTCGGTTCTGCCGCCCAAAATCACTCTTCTCCATACTATTACTTTACCACTTTTGTATGTGTAAGCCCCTATACATGTTTATATAAGTAAAATATTTCCAGTTCGTCTCCTAACTCTTACCAAACGAGAAACTGGATCAAATTCTGGATTTATTAATGAATAAAATTATAGCCTACTAATTTTTATTACATAGAGACGATTTATTACAGTATCTTGGCCTCTTGGTATAGCACGCATACTGTTGTAAGTGGGTAACCAATGCGGGTGCTGTAATTATAGCCCGTTTACGTTCAGAGTGTTGCTTGGAAAGAGTTCCACTTTTACAAAAACACAGCTCCCTCAGTTTGCATATGCTAAAGGAGATCTAACTAAAATATAACTGTACTGTGTTGCTTCAAAACTTGTTCTAAATAGACGTTACTTTTATTAATTAGCGTAAAACCCAAAAATTAACCATGATAAGAGAAAACAATACAATTAATATCTTACTTGTTGAATATTATACTCCGCAACGAAGAGCGGATATCCTTCGTCTAATATCTTCAAAAATATATTCATAGAATGGTCTAAGAAGTTCGAGTATAGGGCTGAGTTCAGTATTATTTCAAAATGTTTACTCAGCTCTTGTGTAGCCTTTAATTTCAAAACGTCTTTACATTCCGGATCGGCTAACATAGTAACATAGCTCTTAAACTGATTCATTAGAGCAGTATGGGGATGGACGCTCCCCATACTGCTACTGCTGCTGCTAGACGTCGAAGCCTGCATGATAACGGATTTGGATTATTTATGTATCATTCAAACCTGAAACAATAAAATATATGTCAGTAAGATACAACCAATGGACATAAAAACTGTTTATATCAAATATATTGTAAATGAATGTAAAAAATAAAGCAATTTCAATACATGCAGGGCTATGTCTTAAGTTTAAACTCAAGACTTCCTTACGATAATCTTGAGTTTACTTTTTTAAAACAGTTAAATTACAGTTCATAACTGATAAGGTGGCTACCGCATGAATAATCATTACGCCAACTTGGTCACCGGAACTCACACCATTAGATTTTTTTCTGTTGGTTACTTAAAATCTGAGGTTTACGCTACAGTTGTCGACAGTATTGACATTTTGAAACCATAAAATGTTAAAGAATGTAGAGCAATGTCCCCGAATACATTTAACGAGTACGACACGAGTTTAGCAATAGGAAGAATTACTGGCAGTAAGTAGATGGAGCACATTTTGATAAGAACTGGTTATCTTTATTAATTAAATTAATTAAAAGCGAAACTACAATTTTTAGTATTTATTTAATTTATTCATCAAAATCAGCATAAAACAAAACGAAAATAGTATGATTGAATAGGTATTTTCAATACCATTCAAACGGTAAGTTTAAAATTATCGGTCACCGTGGCTCTGTAACGTCATTTATGACTATTTTATGACTAGTTGATTATGACTAGTTGAGATATCCGTTTATTTCCTTTCTCCAAATTTCACTATTATATGTATAACCGATCAAAATATACGAGGGGGAGGGGACTTTAGGCTAGCACTGAAAATAAAAAATTATATTTATAAAACATTAAAATAAATGAGATCTAAAAAGTGATGGGAAACAAAGATAATATCCATTAATCCATTACTGGCATTTGAAAAATACACCTTTCGTTACAGGCTATTCAAACAATCAAATTGTGCCCGAACATTCAAATCCATATTCAATTACAATTTGAAATTTGTAAATCACAAATTACAATCAGAAAATTTGTTGTACTGTACACTTAAATGTTAAGAAATACACATTTATACATATTTTAAAACACTTACCCCAACACATACTGTTATTAACATTTAAAAACAATAACAAAATATCATGTATATAAATCATTATCGTCTCTATGGTTTATTAAGACGATTCAACCTGTCCAACTTTGCAAACTAAAAGTTTACAAATTACTAAAAAGGAAGAACGGTGCTTGTCTTTACTTGGCAGCTATCGATTATTTCTCTCAACTTTCGTGATATTTTAGTACTTGTAAAGAAGTTGTGGCGCGCAAACTTCAATGTATTTCGCTCTTCCGAAGGTAAAACTCAAATTTTTCTATAACAGACAGTTGTAGCGGCGACAAAGATATTTTGAAATAATCATGGATGACCGAACAATAGATCAGATTTTCGCCGGTTCATTGGAAAGTTTACCTCCGGTCAGTTCGAAAATTGTGAGGATATTTACTAGTTCTACTTTTACCGGTGAGAAAATAATAAAACTTGCTTAAATAATTACATAGGCTTAATATGCTAAATTATTTGCTTCTATAGAAACTATTTGAATCTGAAACTATGTTCTTGTGACATTTTTATATATCTATTAAATTTTGTTGTAGAATATATTATCAAGTCTTTACATTTAAAATGAGACTAATTATGTTTCTTAATTGTTATAAACAAATTATCTGCGAATAGAAAAAAATATCCCTACTTTTTACCTAATAGTCTCAGAATAATTGTTTTCTTTTAAACTCCCGTAAAAATTGCCAGCTTTTCAAATATGAACAAATATTTCGTATACGAGTAATAGTTTAAAAGTTAATCGAATTGTTTATAAGGTAAAAATAACAGCATCTTTTGCAAAACGATTTTAGTTATAAAAATATTTTCTTTTTAACTTTTTTAAGTGAACATTAAAGGTTCATATAGTACCCGTAGAATTACGTATCGTTATGATTTTATCCCAGTTTTTTCCCTTTTTTCAATCCAAAACATTGTGGGATAAAAAATTTGAAATTTTAAACTAATTAATGGATGGATCTGAAATTTTGAGGGTTTTTTATGCACTACAAGTACCCCTTCACCTGTCACAGCAATCAAGTTAATTTTTACAAAAGTTATAAGGTTTCGTCTTATTTTGATGTTTTTGGAGCAACAAATCAATTTAAAAATTTACGCCATTTTGAAGGCTTTTCAATCTCTTAACAAATAAAATGTTTATATAAGTATGTAATATGTTAATCGGAAATTCAGATCAAAGAAAATGCAAAATATTAAAAGCTACTAGATCTATAGATTCTTTAATCTACCACGTATCTTGGGGTATTGCTATAGTGTAGCGCATGTTCTTGAAGCTGGCATTCATGCTTTATAGTCTGTTGATGTCATAGTTTCACACCATAGGCCTTGAATATGCTGATGTTTAGCTGTATTATTTTTACCGTAGTAAGTTGCGAGTCACATACATCAGAAGTTACAAAATTATCTTTAAACTGTATCCATCGGTTCTATTATTTCTCTAACTCAACTATTTGACGGGCAATCTGGAAACATTTCCAAATATTTTCCACATGGTATTAATATATATGTCATGGACGTATTAAATAAAGATTTATGTATATTACTTTCTCATGATTTGTTAATTTCCGTCGTAACACATAATTTTTTTATATAATACATTATTATAACTTAAATCATAGCATTCGTTTGTATTTTATTTTTTTAGACACAACAATGGAAAGGAATACATTAATGGCAAAATGTTATCCAAAAATTAAAGATTACTGCAGAGAAAAACACGGCCTTGAATTTCAGGTATTACAACCAAGTAGAAACAAATATTATATTATTATAAAACAGTTTTAAATCTGCCTTTGATGCATTTATTTTTTCACATCTCTAATCTCATCAATCATCTGAAATTCTGAGATGTATTATTTCTTAAATCATAAAAAATAAAACATACTAAGTTCACTGGAAAGTTTTTTACAATCATAGTTTTTTTTTTACTTTTCAACGAAGATGAAAAAGATATTAAAAAATCGAAAAGTTTGGGTGTTATTTTTCAACTGAAATATTTGGGGTCCATAGCAACAAGTGCGTAAGCATCTCGTAGGTTTCGAAATTTTTACTGCGTTGTGGTTTTTTATTAACATTTAAGCAAAAAAGCGACTTTTTTCATTCATTTCAATATTTTGAAAAAAACTACGCACTCTAAATGAAAACGTTTACCAGACGATTTTCTAGAAAAAAATTGGGTCTTTACAATTGTTTATAACAAAAAAGTTATTGTAAATTAAGTAAACCCGAAAGTAGGCATTTTTTTCAATTGTTTATAATTATTAAAATAAAACATAAAAATATTTTTAAAACACATTTCAGAATCTGAGTTTATTGTAGTAACCATACACTCAAAAGATGGGCCTCATCGATAGAGTAGTATTTAACCAATTATATTGGTTTACCCCATCTGACAAAGGAAAGGTCATTTTCAAATAGCTGTACATGTGTCAATACATAGAAGGGTAGTTCTCAAATTTAGATTTTTTAAAACATTGAAAAGTCAATGAAGTTTCAGTTTTTCATTCAAAATTAAATCAAGTTTAATATATAGCTATTGAAAAAAATAACTGACTGAAAAAATATATAGACTTGTATGTCCGAAAGAATAACATGTAACCACATGTCTGTAATAGACCCCGCCAAACATAGGGCAGTCTTGTCTGTACATTTTTGCTGAAAACTTATTTTTTAGATGGCCTGGGGAAAAATATTTTCAACGATGCAATTACAAGATTTAAAAGCATGCGTTCATATCTTAGATTAAATCAACAGTTTCTTTAATCTCAATTCATAAATAAATTACAATAAATTCTTAACGGCATAAAATCAAACCATTTGGATCTAAAAATTTTATAGTGTTAATTAAAACTATTTTAAATTAAATTTTCAAGAAGTCCCACTACGTTCGACCAAGCAGTAGCCCCATCTATTGTATAATTGCCTTCGGGTGTTCGACAATATTTTGGGTGTTATGCTTTGAAAGACCTGAATGATTTTTTACGTTAATTCGTCGAAATTTCCAGCGCGTTCATGCTTATAGTCGGTAAATTTGTTGCTTCAAATAAGTCCATACGAAAAAGTCGTCGAAAGGTGCAAGGTCAGGCGAGCGACGGTGGCATTTTTATGGTAATTTTTGTACTAATAACTCTCTTTTTTACTTAAAAAACCTAACAACTCCCGTGCATTGTGACCTGGACAGCCGTTTTGCTGCAACCAAATTACATCCATATTAATAGGTAATCTTCGAACTGCTAGAATTATGTTGATTTCCTCAGGCGATCTATAGTATTTACGACGACACAAAATGCCCACAATGAAAAAAGGGCCAATTACGCATTGTCATCTAAAATACCAGCTGAGACGTCAACTTTTTGACGGTATTGTGTTTTGTAAGGAACACTTTATGTATTTTCTGTAGAGTACCTTTCGGTTACAGATGGATTGTGAAGGCCAGTTAAATAAAAGGAAGACTCATCTGTAAACAAGATTTTTTCATGAAATCTTTTCATGAAATTTTTACTCACCAAACACCATCTGTCTTTCATAATCAGCAGGGAAAATTTCATTAGTTTTTTGCAATTTGTAGCAACGGCACTTGTTTCGTTTTAAAATATTTCGCACAGTTCTAGTACTAATATCAGATTCCCTTGAAGTTAGGGTGCTGCTACGGGGAAATTGATGTCAGCTAGACTACATACGGCAGTTTGTTTTCTTCATCACGGAACGGAGCAGAAAACGATTTGTTATTATTTTTTTAAATTTTCTTTATATATTCTGAAAAAATACAATGTTTTAAACCAATATTATTAAAAAAAAAAAACACTGTTTCTTTATCAAATTGTTTTTGGCCTTATTTTTCTTTTTATTATTTATACTGCTTTTTCAAAAATTTTATTTCCATTAACGTATATTTCAAATATTCATATCCATAAAAAAGTATTATAAAATATTCAAATTAAAAATACTT